TGGTTCGTCGGGATGGTTGTCAACCAACAGAATGCTCAACCGATGGCGGATTTTTACATTGATGTCCGCCGGGAATCCGTCCAGGAACATGCGGTTGCGTTCTTGTTCCGCAAGTTTCTTCTTGCTGATGAGAAATTTGGATACCTTGAAGAAGCTCTGGTAGTACGTGCCAAGCTCGACTTGAGAGCTCATGGGGCTGCGTGCCTGCTCATCGGAAATCTTCTGTAAGTCAGCTCGAGTGAATCGTCTGTCACCTTCACATCCGGGGTACAGCGCTTTGAGTGCCGTGACAAATTTGTCCCAGTCCATCTGTCCTGCCTCGGCTTCATCTAATATCTCCCATGTTTCCGCTTCATCTGCAGGTGCATACCGGATTGCCGCCTTGATGCGGGCTTCACCGGTTACTTGGCCGTGATCACATATCAGGTTGACGTCCTCGATTAATGCAAGGAGCTTTCCGGGGGTGCCGTCGAATTTGGGTGCGGCGTCGGTTCCCCTCAACGGCATTCTGAAGACGTTAGTTGACATCTTTGCGAGCGGAATGATAGGAGGTATAATCGGAGCGGGTGGTTGGAAGGGTGTAACTGGTAAGGGTATAGGGGGCGGAAGAAACTGGTAAGGCGCGGATACCCTTTTTGGGGACGGTGCGGAAGATGGGAGTGCTTCTAAGCGGGTGCGAGGGGACGGAAGTAGTAAGGTGTTCGAAGGTATATCGGGGACGGGGAGTGTGGGAGTGTGAATACGGGTAGGGTTAGAACTAAGGGATGACTCGGTAGAGGGAGTGTCTATAGAAATGAGCGGGCGGTTAGGGAAACTAAATGATCCGGGAAGTCTCGGGTATTCAACAGTGTCTCTTTCTTCTTCTTCCGGTGCGGATAACGAGTCCGGGGTCAGGTGTAATGGTTCTTCGTCGGTATCTTCTTCTACGTATGAGTCAGCCGGAACGAAGAAATCTTCTTGAGATAGCTGGATGGATTGAAGATCTTGTTTTGCGCGACGCGCGGTAGTGAGCCTAAGCGATCTGCCGGCGGTGTCAGATGATCCCCTCGCGGTGGGCTCCAGTTGTGCGAAAGTAATTCCGTGTAGCCTGTTAGTGTAGACTACCGATCCGTTTTGAGTGCGAGTATTATAGCTCGTCCCAAGGGGATTGCTACTGAGGGATGCCTTCGCAATAAATGCAAAGGAATCAATCCGACGGGCTTAAGATCTGAGCGGCCGGTGAGCGGTGGGGAATCCGATGTGAGAGGAAGATGTCCGGACGGGAACGATTCTGACGGGACGGGTGTCTAGCGGTGCAGATTTGGTCAAGGTGTCGAGGTAGCAAGGTATCGAGGTGGCAAGGTGTCTAGGTGTCGAGGTCTCGATGTAACGAGCTACCGGAAGTGATCCGAGGAACGGGAAGAGGTCCGTTGCGGTACGGAAGACTAAGGGGACTTGTTGATCACACCAACTTAGACAGTAAATCCAAGGGAGTAAAAGGAAGTGATATTGGTAGAGTACGATGCAACTATTTATCTTAACCCGTGAAAACTCGGGACCCACTTAAGCGACGGTAGTATAGGCGAGGCCGTAGCGCGATAATATGTAAGGGACGGCAAGCGGCCTCATGTATGGGAATGTACATGTAAACAGTCTGCTGTTTGATCAGAGTGATGAAAGGAGAGAAATAACGCACCAATGGGGATGGATGGACATGGATGGACAGGAACGAGGGGCAATTGAGGGAATCCGTCGCGGGTTGCGTACCCGTTAGGTGTCCGGGAGGGCGGGAGTCGACGGAATAGGCCGGATGAACATGGACATGAATACCTGACCAGGTGAGCTCCGGATCGTGCATAACTGGTGATTGTGAGGCTGGCGCCAGAATGTTTGGTACACCGCTCCAGCTGCTCTTATGGTTCCGACCACAGTATCACCAACTTCTTTGAAAACAACCCCTTTACTCGTCCCCAAACCCCTGGCCAGCATCGGGCCATGTGGGAAGCAGTTATTCTCGACATCCAGTATGCTATGAGGCTTGACGCCTATGTAGAAAGGGTCAGCAATGCCACCCTCAAAGAACTCATCATCATTTTCCGGGCAGCAGACGCCCTCACTCCCGCAGCAATGCAGTTCCAACTCGACTCTTCCACCAGTATTGGTGCGATCCCCATCAGATACAACCAAAGCAAGATCAAGAATGCAGTCTTGAACGCTATCCGACTCACCACTGATTTCGATGACGCAATCAGGAGGATAGAGGATGAAAACGAGTTTAATCCACCTCCCGAGCCGTTCATCGCAGCAATGAGGCATACGACTCCGACCCCTCCCCTAGTCATCGAAGAAGATGAAGAGGTAGTGGAGCGTAGCAGCTCACTCTATGTGCCATACACACCCCCTCCTGTAGCCCAGCCACCTCAGGACTATTATTTGTTCCTCGGTTTATCTCCCCCCAGTACGCCTCCCCCCAAAGTTGAAGAAGAAGAGCAGCAACTTCCCGTTGATATTTCCCCGTCCCAGTCAAGGACGCTCTCCCCCGAACTTTCGCTTTGCTATCCATTGCAAAATGAGGTCCCTATCCCTGTCCCACCTCCCACCACGCCCGTCGATCGTGACGAAAGGATGGACGTTCTCCGCAAAGCGCAAAGGCTTACTCGGATGAAGCCTAGATTGCTTTTCTCTATGGGGCTCCCTTTAAGCCAACATCATTACAAACATTACGACTTCGAATCTGCACTGGGATGTACCACCGCCGAACAATACTCCATTGAAAGAGCACAGTATGAAGCCGGAGAAACGACTCAAACCTATCCTTTCAACTGCGTCTGTCGTACTTGCAACAATTGGGGGCATAAGCAGAAGCACTGCAAAAGATACCAGTGCCGCATTTGCGGTAAATACGCCCCTAAGCACCTTACCCCGTTCTGTCCCCTCCTCAAAGGCAAGAAGCTCCTTCGTCGCGGAAAATCTGCTGATAGGTTCCATGGAGAAATGGCTAAGCTCGAAGCTGCCTTTGACCATGAGCGTGCTCGCGTTGCAGAAGAACGGGAAGAGAATGAACTCGACGCCATCGCCATGTTGGCAGAAATTGACGTTGACCCCATCTACTATTCCAACCAGGATGATTGAAGTCGGTGACTCCAAACCTTTGAACGGGAGGTAATGTTACGATAACATACTTCGGACCGGCTCCCCCTATCTTTTTCCCTATCATGTACTACCATTTGACGCCTTATCACCTTCTTGTACAGCATCCCTGATCACCGTCTTATCTCGTATCTCTTATCTTGTACCCTGTACCCTTACCATTGCCTTGGTAGTCCTGCCCTGAACTGACCTTTACCTATAAAGTAGTCGATCGTCTTACCTTGTATTCTTTAACTTGAATCTACTCAGTCTTCTGATAGACCTTCCTTGAGCAAGACAGCTCTCGTATACGATTTCACTAAAGACTCTTCGTCTTAAGTGCCTTTACCTGATCGATACCATTAGTCTTGTCTTCGCTTGCCGACTCTTGTTACCAAGCCTTGACCCCACCGATAACGATAACGAACCTCTGCATTATCTTCGTCTTACGCCAAGACTTAGTACAGAGCTCTTACCTGAGTCTACGCCTTCAGCGTAACAATAGTGATCCCGTAGCGATTTTCCGCTATATCATTCACTCTGAGTGTACGAGGGCTGCATGATGTGTCTGCCAGAGTGTGGCCATGAAACCTTTATGCAGTGTACAACCAAAACATCTTCACCTGCTGCGAAGTGACTTCGTCTTGAGGTGGTGAAGAAATAGATTTGTAAAGTATTGACACTCCCCAGGACTTCCTTGGTAGACGGTAAACGATAACTTGGCATGCTGCACAGCCTACATCATCGAGTTCGAACATAGGCCAGAAGAAACATGTGGAGTGGAGATCTAGAGGGAAGAGCTCCCTTCGAACTTTGTCGCCAGTTCAGAATCTGGGAGGCAGAGACGGGCGAACTGCTTGTGGCCACACTCAAGCATAAAAATGTAGTTCACAACTTGGCTTGAACGTCGGCATGGAACGAGGCCTGTCTCCGCGGTTCATTTGACCCAATTAGGATATTCGACACCACCACTTGGCAGCAGACGGAAGAGAGTTGGTTTTTTTTACTTATGCCACTACTCTCAAAAGGTTGCCTTGTTCTATTGCCCCGCAGGTTCGGTTAAGACACCCTTCCGACTCGCAAGGTCCATCACAGATGCATGTCTATGTAGTCCACAGCAAGGGCTCGTGATGTGATTCTGCGAATCAACCAATCAAAGACCTTCGATGAGTTTGAGATTATCCCCCAAGACACTGGGGAGGCGCAGCGCCACCAAACAAGTTAGACACACGATGACATGACATATTCCAACATCGTGCGAAGGGCCCTCGATAGTACATAAAAAAGTTTTGTCAGTATATTTGTCAGGCGACCATGATATCATTCCACAGGAGTCAGGTTTGCTCTAGGCGTTAGCTCCTCTCATTGTGAAGCAACAAATCATAGGATTGGGGCAGTATTATAACGTGGCAGACGATTCCTTATGCTTTGTGCTGAGACACAGGGAGTTGGTATGCATGAACTGTTGCTATACCCAAAGACCACTTGGGCAGTCGGAAGTAACACTTATTGTCCCGGCGGTTCTTGACTTCGATTTCGTTGACCGTCAGTACTCGGTGGCGGCTGTCAGTGCAACTATATTCATGGTTCCCACGCGGTGCTCCCTCGTTTCCCCGATCTCGGAGACACATCTCGAAGACAGTTGTAGCAGGTGAATGGGGCCCATCGAATGGATCGTGATATGATCAAGCACGAGGTGGCAACCCCGGCCGTTGTTGCACGGCATTGTGCGCGCTCCTGCCCGAACGTACATCTTTTCCTTCCATTATCATATCCTTCCTTACCCGATCAGTCAAAGTCATCCGCCGCACCAGACTCAGATCGAGAAATCATTGAGTTCCTTCCCTTCCCTTTTCCACCCCATAAGTTACTTGAGTTACTCGATTCACACAATGAGGAGACCACTGAGTGACGACAGACCTCAGAATCGCCTGAACCGTCTTATGCATGTCTTAAGGTGGGTTCAACGAGAGAAGGTATAAGAACCCTTGAATTGTACAGTCTGCTCAAGCACTGCTCGGTTCGTGGTCCCTTCAGTTGATTGTCCCCTTGCTATCCTGGCCGGCATTCCTTTTTCCTTTGTTGCCATTTTTGCCTTGAGACGGTTCATCGAGAGCCGACAGAAAAAGCATACTCTTCCGCCTGGCCCAGTGCCGCTCCCGCTGATAGGGAATGTCTTATCTATTGACACTAAGGAACCTTGGTTGACTTATACCGACTGGCGTGCTGCCTATGGTACGTGGACAGATAGTACAGTGCATATGTGTTGCAAACCATTTTATCAGGGGACTTGATCTTCGTGCAGATTCTAGACCAGGAAGTGGTCGTGATCAATTCTCAGCACATTGCAGAAGACTTATTGGACAAGCGTTCTCGGATTTACTCTGATCGACCATACTTAGCCACACTCCAGCCGTGCGTTCTCCCATTATTCCTCGATTTAAGCAGTCTGAGGTGCATGCAGTTATGGCTGGTCGGTCAACTTTTCGTTCATAGGTTATGGTGACGAATGGCGTCTTTGCCGACGACTCTTCCACCAAAATTTCCGTCCCGATTCTGCAGTAAAGTTTCGCCCAATGCAGATCAGGCGGGCTTGCGAGTTGGTCGTCAATCTAATAGATGAACCTCAACACTATCATTCTCACTTCGCAATGTCAGCGAATGTAATTTTCGTATTGAACGATCATTAACCTGTTCACAGATTTTCGTCATCTGTTGCGATATCGACTGTATATGACTACGAGGCCAGTGCTCGTGATGATTCTCTGGTGCAGATCGTGATAAATGCACTGATTCCGGGCTTGACCTTGTTGACCCCAGAGAGAGCAGCGCTGCTTAAAGCCTTCCCCTTCCGTGAGCTCAACTCTCTTTGGTGAGGCAAAGCTAACATTTTATTGCAACGTTGTGGAACTCAGTATTGAAGTTACCTGACTGGTGCTGGGGTTCCTTTATCAAACGTGATGCTCGAGCTTCGACAGAGCGCGTCAGCGAAATGGTCAATGTGCTGTTTCAATATGTGCAGCAGAACATGGTGGGTATCTATCTTTCTCTTGGTTCCAGACATTGATTCAATGCTTGCCAAGGCCAACAGCTCTCAATTTTCAATGGTTGCAGAAAATTTGCAACGGATGGAGAAAAAAGATGAGGCATCCAAACCGACGTTCGAGACTGCTCTGAAGAAAGCAGCTACTACTGCTATTGTGGGTCAGTAACTTTCTTTTGCAAGCGATGTCTCTTGACATATACACGCTATATAGCCTCATACGAGTCAGTAAGTAGATGTCACAACTACTTGTCTGCTTCTTGACCCCTTCGCAGACAACTTCAAGTTTGATGGTTTTTGCTCTCGCCATGGTGTTATATCCAGATGTTCAGAGACGCACACAAGCGGAAATCAACTCAGTGATTGGAAGAGATCGGCTACCAACATTCGAGGACAGACCATCACTACCCTACATTGATGCAGTTCTGCGGGAGACTTTCCGATGGCATCCCACTGTACCTCTTGGTAATCCTCCTTACTGAGTGATCTCACCTTTGCTGAACACGCTCATACAGGAGTGCCTCATTCTGCGTTGAGTGCAGACATATCCAATGGTTACTTCATTCCACAAGGTCCGCTCTCTTTGTCCGATGAACACATCATTTGTAATGTTGTACATCAGGCGCACTAATCGTGTACAACACATGGTCCGATATATTCTCCCCAATTTTCGTGATACTGACTTGATTGCAGGTGTATTACACGGGATGAAACGCGGTACCCCAAAGCATCTCATTTTATACCAGAGAGGTTCATTGGCGTCGACGGCGTGTTGACCAGTGATGACCCTGCACAGTATATTTAGGGATCCGCACGGGTAAACCCCCGGGTACCAGAGCCCATACCCGCACCCATACCCACACCCGTGTGGGGTTTACCCGCGGGTTGGCCATATGCCCGATGGCATAGAGGCTGGTGTTGTCATTGGTGTGTTCACATTCGTGCCAGGGCTACTCGAAGCTCGTTGTAGAAAGTGTGGTGCCAGATCTTCTCCATGTCATCCCAGTTTGTGACGATACCGTGCTCGATGGGGTATTGAGCATCAAGATACCACGCTTGGATCGAGCCTCATCACTGGGTAGATGTGAGCTGATTGCGACTACGACGCAGTAGGTGGCCTCGCATCATCTGGCGTAGCGTGATCGCTGACGTCTTACTGGTGGAGGGAGACATGGTCGGCGCTGGTATCTGAGCCAGCTATCTTGGGAGAGTAGCAACGTATAGCGATGACTGAAAAAAAGACAGCAATAAGTGTCTGCCTTCGGAGGGCATCTGAAGATGCGTTCACACTTACGGGATGGTGCTCTATGACTCCTTGATCATCAGACCATTAACAATGGACGGAGACATGGATCTTGCTCGTCTGAGGGTGAATTCTGTACAATTACCTGAAGGGATGAGACTACAAGACAACCACATGGAAGCAACGATATAATTTGGTCAACATGTCGCAGGATTAATGCCCATTGGCATGTGAGGGAGCTGCACAACAGAGGAAAAGTACGAGACGAGCCCACCATGGGATGGGTGGTGACTGCGCAGCTGCTACACTAGATGTGGTAGCATGAGTACCTGGTGCAGGGAATGTCGTGGAAGTCGAGGTGGTGGCAGGTTGAGTTTGTGATGATGACGCCTGGGGCTGGCCGTGCAACTGGCTTTGCTGCTGCGGCCGCGGCCATGGAGCAACAGCCAATGGCTGCAAATAAATAATTTACAATGGCGATGGGAGACGCATACGAAGAAATACTCACCTTTCTGTCCTGTACTGTAGGAACATCGACAATGCGAGGTCCACGAGAGAAGATAGTCCGCCTTGGACGTTGCTGGAGTTCGGTTGCTCCATCAGTCTCGGAGTGAGAGTGGCGGAACAGCGATGAAAAACCACTGAATAGTGTTTGTGGATTCAAAGAAAAGGCAGGGCAGTGGGGGTCATGTGTGGGGGTATTGTGATGGGTACCGTGCGCTGCGAAGGACTGAGAGCACAAAGATAAGAACAAGACCTGGTCAACAAAAGCAGATGACTCACCTGGACACCATCGAAAAAGCCCGGCGGTATTTGACGGGCATGAATAGCTGGACGTTGTGTAGCATTACCCTAGAATGTCTCCCGAACTCGTTGTGACATCACCGTGTTGACACGAAGGGAGCCAGTGGCCAGAAGGTCGAGTAACATATATCAAGTGTATGTACGAAGAAGTGTCAGTACTTTGCACAACTGAACATTAAACAAATTACCATTTTAGGAAGGCACGGGTACACCAGGGGTACGGGTTAGAGCACGGGTCTCAGAAATCGAGGGCATCTGTGAATTCGAATTTGCGGGTCCGACCGTCCAACCGTCCGTCCAGGTCTGTCCGGGTCTGTCCGGGTCTGTCCGGATATCAACATAGGTATGAGCTAGTACAAGTCTAAGTAAGTTGAAATATAGTGTGTAGTAGGTAATGTAGTAGACAAACAAATCGAACGAACTTGAACAAAGTGTAACACATAGAAAAAAGGATTGAAAAGCCCTACTTGGCAGGCCGCTGCGCCTTCTTCATGAAGGCGGTCCAGCGTCCTTTCTCTGTGCGACCATAATTGGTAAAGCGCTCACGAAGCGCTCGGTTCACCTCCAGGTCCCACACCTTCCTGTTGTCGTAATATGTAGAAGCTTTGAAGGGCACGCCAAAGTGGTTGATAAAAACCTGAGACACTTTGCGTCGTGAGTCGGCTGCTTTCTTGCATAAGTTGAATCCATTAGCGATGTCAATGACATAGAAGTCCACAGGCCAGATTGCGACCTTCTCCACCTCAATAGCATCAGCCTTCGAAGTCCCACGTGAAAGCAAGCTCCCAGAACTTTCTTCCTTAATGATTGGGCCTGCGAATCGAATTGAGACTGGTGATGAAGAGCGAGACTGGGTACTGGTCTCGGAGTTGGAAGAAAATTGGAACAACTCGGCAGATGGATGTCGTCGAAGGCGCAAAAGAGGACGAGGGGACAGGGAATCTGAAGGGGAGGCATGCTGCTTCAGGGGACGTGCAGTTGCTGTTGTCACCTCCTCACTGTCTGTGAGAGAGAGAATGGAAGCACTGCGATTGAGCTGGGCTTTCGTCCTAGCACCCTCGCTGTCTGTAAGCGAGAGCACAGATCCACCGCGATTTTGCTGGGAATGGTGGATAGTGGGGACTGGGCCAACATCATTGTCACTGTCATCATCAATAGCAGAAAGTGACCAGGATGGTTCATGAGGAGAGTGTTGAGAATCACGGATAGTGGGCACTGGACCAACATTGTTGTGCGTAATTGATGGGGATGGTGGACAAGAGCTCTTCACATGTGATGCAGCGCGCATGTACTTGCGCTTGGCAGGAAGAGCCTTCACAATATTAGGGCTGCTGGGATGGGTGAGTTTCTGAATGTGGCGTCCAAGATCTATGCAGTCCTTTACACAGGCGTTCTTGACAAGAAGTGCGCCGCCATCGCGGTCATGCAAGGTCACCATGTGACCTACATCGAAGCGCATCCAGGTGTCAAGGACACGATTGTATCGCTGGACGGGTGGCACCTGCACTGTGTCCTCAGAAAGGATTTCGAGTTTGCGCAGCATGTCGTGACTGAAAAAAAAATTCGGGAACGTGAATCCCTCTTGAAACTCATAGATAATGGGCTCGGTGCCATCCTAAATGGTGTCAACAACTGTAGCATTCAGTAAAGGCACCCTTACCTTAATCCATGCATAGATAATGATGTTGTTCTTTGCACGCTGTGCAGCTTGAAGACGTTCGCGGTCTCTTTGCCGCTCTTCCTCCTGTATGGACTCCTCGATTGCGTTCTGTTGGGTAAACAAGGCCGGAATCTGGGTCGCATAGCGGGGCCCTGAGGCCTTGCTTGGCTTGGATTGTGAAGGACCAGCGATGGGACCAGCGATGATTCTTGAGGGAAGGGCCACTTCAACTGCTCGAGCTTTACCTTTGTTGACCGGTGGTTGTGATACATCAGGGGCTGGGGGTGACGAAGGGATAGTGGTAGTAGGCAGAGCGATAGGAGAAGAGTGTTCAGGAGCGGGTGCAGGTGTGGGTGAAGGTGAAGGTGCGGTAAAAGGACGCCCTCAAAGCTCCAAATATGGATCCAACACAGCTGCGGGACCGTGGTCCTTGACAGAGCAGCCACCAAGCATACTGCAGTGCTTGCGACAAGCTTTATTGTCACAGAGCTTATGTGGCTTCCTCCCGCACACCAGTGCAGCACATATGAAGAGGAGTGTTGTGTCACTCAAAGTTGCAGGCATTGCAATGGGGTGCAGCTGCGGAGACTCTTGAGGAATCTCAGGTGACTCGGATGGCATTTGTGAGCCACTTGAGCCTGAGGCCCAGCGGAAAAAGGTACATTGGGTTTGCTGTTCCCCTGCGACCTTCTTGCACTATCAGCATGGTCAGCTTCAAAATAGATTATGGAGGTGAAGGCTTACCATCGCATACCAGTGGCCCTTGTTACCTTTCTTATTGCTCTTACACCTCGCCCAGGGAACCTCTTCATGGCAGTCATCGCACGAATGCAAAAAACCCGGTCTTGGTTGGGCGAGACGGGCATCAAGAGTCGCCTTCCACGATTCAGAGGTGGGGGGAGGACTCATTGTAGGTATATAACCTTCAAAGTGGTGGATAATGAGCATATACATCCAGTGGGCACATAAAGAGACACTTACAGATGGTACCTGATTTAAGAGCAGAATAAATCAGTCAAACATCACGCCAGTAAGCATATATGACTCGTGGGCACTACAAAACACACTTACAGGCGGTGTCTAGATGTAGAATAGAAGAGATTAGTTGAATTATGCATGCTGGTTATACATTGGTCAGTACCCGAGAAATTTTTGTATAAACATATACTCACATGCATGATCTAAGCCCGTAGGCCACATACCGAAATGGCAGGTGTACATAGTAGTCGTAGTAGTTTGTAGTATATGTAGTAGTGGTCGTGGCGAAGGGGCAGGTTCAGTCGTTATCTTGATCAGTGTGAGTGACTGTAACGGTCATGTGACACGAATGTCGTTTGAAGCTTTTGTCCGCTACCGTCTGGGTTGTGCCTGCAGTTGAAGCTCTCGCAAGTGCACGAGACATAGGATTGCAGCATAACTCAACCCTAGACTAGGGCCTTTACAGATGTACAAGCAGGTACTACATAGAGCAATTTGAGAGCGAATCATGGTCGAGCTTTGCAGGTTGAAGCTCCGGGCCTTAGACACCGATGGGGGACATGTTGTTACCTTCGTAGACCTCGAAGACACCTCCGTTGAATTGCTGCTCATTGCTGCGGAGGCACAAGGCGTCCAGGATAGAGTTCGGTTGATTTGATCTATGTATAATATAAGTAGCTGTATTAGGGTTAGGGTTAGAACAGTGTACCTTCAATACACTTGGCTAGTGGCGTGCTAGACGATCCAAGAAGCGAAGGTGGCGCAACGATAGAAGACCACGAGTCGGCCAATGTCCCTCACGATCTCCCTTGCCAAAGATTCGACTGGCAGGGCTAGAACGTGAATGGCGACTCAGGGCAGACTCTCCCACGTGCCTTCAGAAGATCGAGGATCCCCAGGCACTGTGAATGGAACGTCTCCAACGTTGAGTAGAGCAATACAAACGTCTGAAGTGAAGTGTTCAACAAGCAGAGAAACTAGATAGACTTATAGACTGACTCGTTGTTCCAGCAAATCAGATTGCTGTTGTGTATGGGAAGCAATGTGTGCAATCCCCTGTCGCACACCGTCACATCGTTCCATGTGATTTGCTTTGCTGCGGATTATCTCGAGACACGCATTCCCATTCTACAACTCACGAAGTCTATGCAGCAGCGGTGCGACTGGGATTGCGAGCAAGTGTCGCACCCGTACGCTGTGCTTGAATACTGCTGAAACGCTGGAGCTCCTCGGGCTTCATCGTAGCCTTGGAGCCGAAGCCAACTTTGCGAGCAGCGTGGCGAATGAACGACACACGGTTCGAGTACAATGACTCGTGTATCGAAGCAGCGCGAGACTGGGTGCGAGTGATGGGGACGCCAGTGATGGCTTGTTCTGCTTGTGCTGCCTGTGCCTGCGCGTGACATTCGCGAAGTCTCTTGATGACGGTGGCCTTCATTGCGAATTTAATCCAGTCGAGAGGGGCAAACCAAACAATGTTCTACAGATTCACGGGTGAGCAAATCCATGATGTTGTGGATAAATTATTGCTTACGTCGAGGCAGTCAGGTAAATACCATAGGCAACAGCGTACGAGAAGATCTCAGCGAGGTCCCAAGAATCAGGTGTCATCGAGGGTAAGACACGGTCGACTGAAAGCGTCATAATGGTGCCATCATTCAGCAGGGCAATGATCAGGACCATGAACGGAGGGAAGTCGAACTTGAACGCGAAGGCAAGGATAGCGAAACGGACAACGATACGAATGGTCACAGCGCAAGCGTAGATAGAGTAGTTGCGCATACGCTGGAAGATGACACGTGAACCCGCAAATGGCGTGGACGATGGTGGAAACAGCAGAGTGATCGAGCGTAGACAAGCGCTTCGGGAGACGTAATGTCCGATACCGACAAGCGCCCACTGCCAAATGACAACCAAGAGTTCGACCGAGACGTGGAAACTGAAGATGACATCGGGGGTGTTCCTTGAGTCGACATTGATGGACGCGGCGCTACCGGACATGATGGAACGATGAAGCAAAACGATGAGGATGGAGGCTGGGCTAAGTGATGGGGAGGTGAGGGACGTGTGCACCATAGGCAAGTCCCGTTGGGCTTGGAACCAACGGTTGTGGGGGGTAACCTTGCACCTTGCTGAGGCTGGTGATAGGCAGATTGAACCGCGTTCGCGGGGCGACCTTGAAGGAAGTCCTGTGGTGCCTGTAGTAGAGACGAGAGGTAGGAGTACTAGTGGTAGAAGATATAATATAAGGTGCCATGACTGAATTGCTGGGCGGCACAGGGTTCAGAGCAACTCTGGACACCCTGGCCAAGGTTTGCTGATGCAATGGTTACTGACCAGGGTTCAGAGCAACTCTGGACGCCCTGGCCATCCCCATGCACAAACCGAATTCATGAAGACACCTTACCTGGAGAGGATCGAAATTCAAGCAGACGCAAGTCCAACACGGTGCACGTGATGTTTATTGGAAGCGTGGTAGGTGCTAATACAATACTAGTAACCCTAACTGTGTAGTGACCTGATTTTTCCGTATACATCTTTCATATGCGCCTGGTCAGGTTGCCAACGTCAATAATGATCTGTTGGCCTTGTTCAGGCCTGGGGCGCGTCTGGGGGAGATCTCTTAGGTACGCTTACATTTCTTTGATGCTGTAATTTACCTTTATCTTTATCGCTGGACTGGAGCGTGTGTACAGACGGCGAACTGGGCGTCGCCCACATTAAGAAGTATGTCTTTCTCTTCCTTGAAATTCACCGTTGACTGAACGTTGCCAGATTCATCACTTCCGCTGGTACATATGTCAACCTCGTCAAGCAGGCCAAGTCGAAACAAAAAATTGTTGTCCGTTTGTCTCCCGTTTGACTCTAGTTTCTCCTTTGCTCCCTTTCTGCACGACACACAAGTCTTACGTGCAACCCCTCGCCTCGTTTCACGCCTCACCAAGTAAGTTTTTATTTTATTTACACTCTTAGCTTCTATCCCTGGTCCGACACGCCTCTTGGAGGCGAACCCGAGCACCCATGCTTGATGGCTTTTTAAATTTCAGCTCGTATCTCCCTGTATATGGCACTGACAACGAGCGTTATATAGTTCCTTTGACGGGTGCTGTGCTCACATATGGTTCCACCATCAGCCTACTGAACTATCTATTTTCCCTAATTCCCCATGACGCATTTACGCCTATCCCACTTCCAAAGTATAGTGGTGACGAGCTGCCATCAAGTCTTCCTCTTCCCATCGATAAACTGATCTTCCGCGGCCTACTTCCATCAGCTGGGCAGGCATAGACATTTGCAGGATGGCTGTGTGGACATGGCTATGTCATTGCGGCGCGGCGAACATTAAACGTTAAACAATTGAGGAGTACACTATCTATTACTGTAGGACTATCTATATTCAGGCTTTTGTTGGCCATGTTCGTGGGTTGTGCCCTTCCTCCCTCAACCTATGCTTTGTCCGTCAATTCCTTCTAAGGATGAGTTCATCGCAGAAAAAATTGAATTTACGTGCCAACATTTCACGGCAAATAGAATGGTAGCCACCAAACCAACCATTAGTCTGCTCAGCGACAGAGGAGTTAAATCGCCAGCCCTTCCCATTGTCTCCTAGCAGCTCTGGATAGTCTACAGGGTTGCAATTCGCCTGGCAATAGGTGTCGCTCTCTGAGTGTTTGCAGTTAAAGTGAAACACGTCCACTGACAAGCCGATGCCCTCGAAGAATGGGTCATCCTTCACCATTTTTGAAAGAGTGCAGTTGTTATCGAAGAAGATGTGGTCGGGCTTCATCGAGTCGTTACCTGCATATACATTCTTGATAAATTGCTAGAAGGGAGGCAGTAAGATATTTTTAAGATCAAACCCAAGGGAACGATGACTTCTACATACCACAACGCTTGCCACTCCCTCTGCCCCGAAGAAAGTCTGGTGTGCAATGATCATACCACATGGTGCAACCATCAGTTGTTCATTGTGTGTTCTTCGGCGACCAAACATTGCTTTCAGTCTTCGCCTTGTGGGCTGGCCATGACCAATGTTGACAGCAGGAGTCGGGTCACCACTGGCACCATCAACAACAGGTAGTGCTAAGGTACCCGTCTCATTGAGCTCGTATTCTTCTTCGGCATCTGGTGGGTGTAGCGTTGAGATCTCGACATCCTGACTGATAGCGTCATTAGGGTGAGCAACTCTAGCACGAGCAAGACGGTCCTGGAGCTGAAACCGAGACTGCCCACGCAACTCATAGGTTCCCTCGACATGTTTATGATCTGGTGTTGAGCATGTACGGCGGCCAGGGACAACAGGTAGGTTGCAGCCGATGATGGAGCATGTGCCATTGTAGCTAGAATGAGCTTGACAGAATCGGTGGTGGTTGTTCGATAGTGGAGTGTGGCAGTTGCGGACTGCACAGCACGGGTGACCGACAGTTACGCCATCGACAACCACGACAGAGACCTTGTGTGTGGCTAAAAATACATAGTAGTAGGTTAGCTACACAACATCAATGTTACTATACAGCACTCACTAACACCTTGGTCATTGGCATACATTCGAGTACACCTATTACAGTAGTGCCGACGGACATCTTCGAAGCCGTACAATTGAATGCGGCGATTCCTATCTATCATCGCTTGCGTGAACCGGTCCCGCTGGTTGCCAGTCTGAGGGACAGTGAGGGAACGCATGCGGCGCTTGCAGTCTTCGAGCAGTGTAGTGATTACGAACGCATCCCAAACGTGGTCACCAGTAATCTCGAATTTGACAAGATAACCGGCTGGTGCACATTTTCCCTGTGAGAGGCACATATTGTATAGTTGTGCGCAATTTGTTGCTGAAGTCCTTGTATGCAATATCCCACATCAGTCTCAATAGATTCATCTAAGCTAATAAAATAATTACCACGAGACATCCATAGCCGTCTTGAAGAGCTCAACTACATCTTTCTCCATGAAGACATGATCCGTGACCTGGATGGTCTTGGGCTGTTCGTCGTAGTAGGTCCGAATACCACCACACACAGTATAGTTGTGGCGGTAATCAATCTGACAGTCTAGAAGAAGACAGATTGAGGAAGAAAAGTTAGAGTGTGAATTGTAGTCGCTACCTGGGCAGTAAAGGTGTACAGATCGTGCAGCACATGGCCCATGTGCAAGGGTGAACAGGACAACATTTTGTTGCTTGGCCTTCTTTAGAGTCATGGCTTTGATTCGACGGGGCAGTCAGGCTGGGTGCAGTATTGGGTTGGTGGGTAAAGGAGGTACTCAGCTAGAGGTGACATCAGTCAAGAACAAGTGAGAAAGTGAGTGAACGTACCAAATCCCCTCCGTGGTGCATCGTTCGCCCACACTGAACTGAGATCCTTGTCAATGGCACCATGCCATATGACATCTTGTAAGAGTGCCCATGCATTGTTAGCCTGTGCTGGTGAGATAGAGCATGCTGCAGCAAGGAAAGTGTTGAAGGCGGGGGATAACACAGGTGGGGGCTCAGAGGTGGAGGCTTGAGCTGGTTGTACGAGGATTATGTCCTCTTTGAGACGGCTCGCGATACTAATGAAACAAAAAAGGGTGCTAATAGAGTTCCAGCTAATAACATCAGGCTGGCTCTCGAGGTGCTGCAGTAAGTCGTGGAAAGTTCCCATGCTCAGTGTCTTGAGTCGAGTGTCAATGCCTGAGTATTAAGTGTTCGATCTTGATTATCAGTCGACTATAATATGACACTACTGGCTGAGTCTATGGACATTAGCTAGACGGACAGAGCCGGGCGTAGGTGGTTGGACCCGGACAGACCCGTAGACCGCCGGACCCGGACTGCCGGAAATTCGGATTCCCAGACTTTCTGCAGAAATCTGACCTGTACCCGTACCCGTGCGGATCCCTAAGTATATTTCTGGCCTTGGCCGGCGTATATGTCCAGGTGTGTTGAGTTTTTCTTAATCCCATATAAGATTCGGTGACAAACAGACTTTGATCAGGCCGGTCTACTGCCGATGCCTCTGTGTGGTCTGCCATTGTGACCATGCTGGCTACAGTGGATATATCTTCGATGACCGGGGCAAATTAATCGACTTCACCCCCAAGTTCATTCCGGGAGTGGTTCGGTGCTTGGTTTTCCCATGTCATTCTATCCTCCCGTCGCTAACGGTTTCGTTTCTTCAGCTGTCCTGCGATCTTCCCTTGCAGTATCTCTGCCCGTTCTCATATTCATTCAAGACTTATGGATGAGTTGCGTACTGTCTTGTAATATATGTTTGGTCAAAGAAGACATGTCTGTATTCTCGGATGTGATGTAGAGTATGTGACCAACAAGGGCCGATGTGGAGTATGTGTTGGGATTAGAATCCTGCGCTCGCCATCTTCAGTGGGTTCGAACAATGACAAACGCACGCTTTGTCTCATGGGCACGCCAAAGTGCTACTAAAGCCATCAAATCTAAATCAGCAGTGAATGAAGGAGGTCGGTCATATGGGTGAAAGGGATCGGCAGGTATGCGCAAGGGAGGCAGTCTAGCCGCAAGCAGTGCTCTTCAATTAGCGTAAGTGTCTTCTTCAACATGAACTCTGGAACCATGTTCGATTGGATTAAACAAGCTTCGCCTGATAAAAGGTAAGTTGACCTTCGAATTCACGATAGAAGGGTTACTAGTGTATTCCTCTGATTGACCATAGCTCGTCAAATTATTTGTCGTGCCTCTGCTTGGACAGTCACCATCTCAAAGCGAGAGAAACACGACGTGTAAGAATATCACTGTAAACAAACTCCACCAAAACATTTCTAAGTTCATGATTGGATGTGTTTGAGTGCGCTGCTACGCCGAAGGCGGGCTTCAGGATACAGCATTGAGGGAAGCAGAGAGGAAATGCGACACTCACCAAACTTCGTCGCCAGCATTAGTTCCCTTACGTACAAGATGCACATAGCGCCGGTCAGACCTGAGCGCTTCATCTACACAGCAATGAAGCCGCGAAGCGAACACGAGGATGACGCATGGGACGCACCTTAAAAGACGGCTTGAACGAACAGGCGCTCAACTTCCTCTTATCTCAACTAGACATCCATTGATCGCTGGGTGATTTGAGCACTGTGTTCGTCTGAACAGTGCTTCTCGTGAGTGATACTGTAGGCTCTTCTGGAGGTTAAAGCTGACCACTTGCTTACTACAGCGACTTCGACCCATACACACCAAGATCTCTTGCACAGTCTCGAATAACAGCGCAGCGAGTCCTGCATACAGTCCCAAAACTGTCTTCTAGGGTGAAGACTAGATTCCTGTAAGTAGGTTGTCTCGTGAGCAATGGCTTCTTTCTGACAAGGGCTAACGTAAAAGAAGTAAGCCCCTGGACCTCACCAGCAATCATTGCCGTCTCATAACCAGGTCTGGTTCAAACATCTCAGCAGACTTCTCTTGCATCGATAGTCCCCAATCTGCATTATGGAATCCCCAGCGCTGTCCATTTCATCATCCACCAGCGAGGCGCCAGCAATCACGCCACTCCGGGCGATGCGAGGCCATACAAACTTGATCAGAGGTGTTGTCCATCTACCCAGCGGACGACGCATAATCACATGTTCGTTGGACGGCTCACTCCGACTATGGGACCTAGAGAGCGGTGCGCAGATAGGTGAGGACTGGCGAGATGAAAAGGTAGGAGTGTGGTCCATGTCATTGTCTCCAAACGACAAGACAGTTGCAAGCGGAAGCAGCGACGGGACAGTGAGGTTATGGAACGTCGAAACGAGGAAGGTCATCGCCAAATGGACGGGACACAGCAGTCTTGTGCGTGCATTGTATTGGAGCGCAGATAGTCAGCGAGTAGCGAGTGGATCCTGGGATGGGACAGCAAGAGTATGGGATGTCAAGAGCGGTGAAACTGTCCTGACAATCGAAACCGGGCATAAGTGGGTGAACGCGGTGATGTACTCGCCCAATAACGAAAAAATCGCGACAGGTGGAGACAAAGAAGATGCAGTCAAAATCTGGGATAGCAAGACGGGCAAGCTCATCACCACACTCAAACACGATTCCATAGTGCACAGCTTGACCTGGACGTGGGATGAAAAGAAGCTTATCTCTGGTTCATATGGCCCGATCAGGATTTTCGACACAGCCACTTGGGAGCAGATTGCCATTCTTGAGGGTCACGCAAACATTGTTGACGTCATCTCCTTGTCTCCCAACAACCGCCTCCTTGCAAGTGCATCATTTGATAAAACAGCGCGTCTATGGAATCTCGACACGAATCTCCAGATCGGACCACCCCTCCGGATCCAGCATGAAGCTATAGCTAGCTATAGTAATAATGTGGAGTCCGCAGCTGCCCTTTCTGCTGATGGAAAATTGCTAGTCACTGGTTGCCACAACGGAAATGTGTACACATGGGACATTCACGCTATCCTCAAAGAAGCTGGCCTTGAAGACCTACTACTGCCCGTTCCTGACGTGAGTTTAAACCCCATGGCTCTTCGGTGAAGATGCTAATATCTTCTTCGCAGGTCATAGAGTTGATAGACGTAAGTGGTATATTTCATGACCTTTTCTATCACTGTAACATCAGCATTTTATACCGATGCCACTCAGGCCCAGGACGATGAACTACCACCAGACTTTTTTGATGTTGGACAACCCAGTGTTTATGTGTGTCGTCAGCGTTTCTAAATCAGTTCATATTCTGACATCTTGATCTCAGTCCTCCACAGCATACAATAAACAATATCATTCCTCTGCCCACCGCCGCCCTCTCGCACACTCTTCGAGGAATACGCTCCTCGGCCGCCTTTCAACGCTCTTTCGCCGCTCTCCCTCCAACATTAATCAAGCAACCGAACTTCAGCAACGCCCAAGGCGGTCTATCTTCTCTCACAGCGGCCCTCGTGTCGTCGAGGTTGCTGCGGTGCGGGACAAAAAGGTACGTCTTTGTTTGGGTGCACTTCCAATAAGTGGGGTTCGATGATTTCTGTGTAGACGCTATATACTGCTCCGCGGCCGAAAAAAAAAACCCAGGCCCAACTACAAGGCCAAGCTCAGTCGTCGTCATCGCAATCTCAGCCTGCCGCCACCTCGACTTCCACGGCACCTCTTGCTGCTGCTGCTGCTCCCACTCCTGCTCCCGATACTAATACTGCAATACCAGGTGCAGCAACCGTGCGAACAAACATCCTCCGGTTCTTGTCTCATCTCGTGCTCTTTCTTTGTTGCGCATACCCCCCTCAAGCTGATAGACATTAATGCAGATACCGTATATGTGCCACTACATCGTGGTTGCCTCCAGTTCTTTGGAGTGGTTACCTTACTTTCGTTGTCTTCCACTGGTTTTTAGCAAGCGCACATAAATGTCTTTACATATATCCTGCGTGGGGATCATGCATCAAGTATCTCCTTCTGCCGCCCCGATATGATCGGCCTCAACACCCTTTTGTCGACTCTTGCGAATTGTAGGTGGAAAGCAGAAGCGTTGTAAGCAGCTACACGGAGCTCAGGTGGAACGCGTGGAAACGAACACCGGACTCCGCAGTTGGTCAATGTAACTGCATCCGACACTTACAAAGATTTCATTTGAGCGCTCTGCGTGTCATGCACAAGAGAAGAACAATCCGTCACCCGCAGACCTGGCCGTCTTCCAGACATTCCCTTTGAAGCTGCAAGGATACACGATGTCACTAAAGAAGACGATGTTGATTGGGGTTCGTCACCTCCACTTTCAAGGTGTTCCTATCGAAGAGTCCGCAGATTCAGCTCTCTGATGGTTCTTTAGCCGTTCCACCGTGACTGAGCAGGTAAAACGAGTCAGCAACCACTAAGATATAGCCATTCTTGTCTAACGTTCCTAGGGACCATACACGCTTCTTTTCATGTCGGAAAAAAGTTAGCAAACTTACGACAACGTTAACTGCAATACATTTCAAGGGGTAATTGAAAGGCACCTATAAGGGCGGCGTTGCGTTGAAAGAGCTCTTACGATGCCTTGTAAGCTCTTGTATGTCTTGCAAGTTGTGATCCAGCGTTATTATGGCCCTTGTTTTTCCGATATCTTGAGAACATGCAGTGACGGACAAAGACAGGGATTGTAGAGTGGAGAACGAGCACAACGTGTAGCACGGCGAGGAGCAAGTGAGGGGACGATAGCTGCATTACAGTGTTGTGTAACGTTCAAGTAATATTTGGAGGTTTCCGAGTTGGAACAACCGATGCCATCACTGGTAACACTAGTGATCACCGGCCTGACTTGCCGTTTACCCGTAGACCACCGGGGTGTTCAAAACCTTGGCTGACGACACTGGTCATACCATGTATTCCGGCCCAGAATCAACCGCTCTGGACCATCGTGCTACTTTTAGTCCTGAATTCAGAAGCGCTTTCCTGTTGTAAAAGTTATAAGCTTTGTCTCGATTGCCGGTGTCCGGAGGTTGACGAGCACGCCGAGGAGCTGCGACAAATCTGTCGCTCGTTCAGAATCCGTCCCGGCAGCGGTGGCTGCAGAAACCATCACAGTGAATCTGCAAATCCACAAGATGAGATGAAAGGACGGCCAGCCCCAGCTTATGCCAAAAAGGAGAAGATCGCGGATGGGAGGCACGGAACCAGGGCAAAGTGATGAGACATCCGTAGAGTGAGTTGCATGAACATGGTTATGTATGAATTGGAGATGTAGCTTTTCTAGATTGCGGGCTGGTTGGACGGAAGGCCGTGACATCTACGATAGTGCTTGGTATGTCTGGGTAATGAAAGTTGTCTTGAGCGTAAACTCGCGCCAATGATCCACATGGGTATATAACTCCAGAGGATGACCGAGACAAAATTGACGCAGCCCATGATTTCTTCGCGTGATATGAGTTTTAATGCAGTGCTCAATGTCATCCGAAAGATTCGGGCACAGTCCAACTGGGATCGTCCCAAAGAAGTGTAATTTGGGAAACATGTGTCCAATCGTGTTGTAGGAACATCCGAGCGTAATCGAGGGCCGCAGCACTTCGTGGAAGGATATTTGCAGCCAGACCCCCCACATGGAGTTCGTGTCAAGCGCTCGCACACAGCCACTGCTGGCAAGTGCCCCAGATGCAAGTGGCCAATCGGCATCCAGTTAATGCTATTAGTAAATCGACGTTCTCATGCCCTCAACATCGCCTTGTTCCACATAACTTCCACTGACTCTGCAATAGGCCAGGCTGTACTTCACTCCAATACTCATCGAAGTTCTGATCGTGTGCTCGCCCACATTTGCAAGCTCGAGTACTCGGAGTTTTCTTGCGATACCGATATTGACGAACGTTCGTACTTTGTTGACACCGGTGGAGAGCATTAATGGTACTTGGCGACCATTGCCCAAGTCCTAGTTAGTGAGCAAAATATCAGCTGGCTGGCTCTGTTCGTACCTCCGATATACTGGCCATAACTGTCAGTACTTCGAGTCTTCTTGAAATCGTCACACTTGAAAGTAACCATAACAGGAACTTCGGCCGCACCACTGGCGGTATCGTATAATCATGAGCAATCGACGTCAAGAAACGTGTACAGTCGTCAAACCTCATCCTGTGGTTGTCATGTAGCGTGCTGTGTGTGTTCTAAGAACCTTCTAGGATTCCACTAGTGCACACACCGAGGCAGTACCGGGAGGTTTTCACATGTCGAGCACAGATTACGTGGCGATGTTTGGCATGTTCCACTCGAAACTCTACATGCGCATTTGAGGCGAATATGTACGATTATGGACCCCAAATTCTAGAACACGGGTTCCTCACGACACCGCCCCCACCTCTGTCCCCACCTCCAGTGTCCTCCACTGCCCTGCGTGTGTAACGACATGAAACCCGGAAATTCGGGTTGATTTGGTTCGGGTTATCGCAAAGCCTGGCGCCCTCTTTCTACCTTGTCAACCAGTGTGATATGAGCTTCTACCGTATATGATTTGGTGGTAGATTATTCAAGATGGATCAGGGGCCTCAAGCACCAGGCTCGCATCTTCGTGGGCGATGGGTACCACAGCGGGCAGCACAACGACTTGGTTGTCAATGGTGTCCCCATTGTCGGCTAATGAAGATGTGCTAGGGGTTTTAATGCCACCTAATGTATGAAGCTCCACGGCTTCACTGTCAACCAAAGTATTGTCGATACTAGGCGCAAAAGTGGCGAAGCTCGGTGAGCGAGTGTTGGGGCGAGTGTTGAACTCTGTGCTTCTGCCCGCCAATGAGGCGCGGGCAGGTGATTGGGCAACACGAGATAGAGTTGATTCATGGTGTGTAACATTTATGGTAGACCGAGGAATGCCACTGCGGGATGCTTGTGTCCACCAGTGCCAATAGAATGAGAACGTCCCAAATATCCTCCTGGAGGAGGAAATGCTACGTCCAGGAGTCGCAGTGGAGTGCACAGGTGTGGCTGTGTTAGAGGTGGGCACGGAAGTTACACGGACAGGGATTGCGCGGAATGAACTCAGAGAGGTAGGTCGGAACCATGCTAAAGCGGAGAGCGATAGAATGAGGCCAAGGAATATAGCTGTCGCGGACGTGTTGTCAGTATCATGAAAAACAAGTGTCAAGGTGAAAGGAGGAAGCTATGACAATGGCCGCAAAGGCTCTAACAATCGGAAGGAAACAAACAAGCGAAAGATCAGGTAACCCTTTTACCCGATTCATTACCAAAGGATTCGAGGAACACAAACTCACCGACCATGACGACGACACCAATGATGGTATGACGATCCATGGACCCAGACTGACTCGGATCACTGCGAATAAGAATACTGGTTGCTGGGAGTGACTTGATAGGTTGGGTCTTAAAAGGAGCCATGAATGATGTGTGCTAGATAATGATGCAAGGGAACGAAGGGGGAGGTGCAAGACAGGGAGTAGTAGGATCTAAGGAGGTGCTGTCACGGTTTATATGGGTGAGTGTCGATAGTGGTAGGAAGACTAAGGAAGCGCCCATCCCCAGCGCTGAAAGGATTCTCGATTAGTGGACACAAGTACCCGTCCGCCATAACCGGACCATGTTGCATATGGTAGTTGGGAAGGTTTTGCCACCCAAATTTAAGAGCTTTAGACTTTACACCCCCACATTTCATGGGAATCTAGTACTTTTCCTGAGTCAAAGGCGAAAGTCGCTCATCCGAGGGGCAACATCGCTGCCAGCAGCTAAAAGCGAATCTCGCAGAAAACGCAGAGAACCGTATATTGTTACATGTGGTCATGTGGTCGGGATTCATCGGAATGAGATAAAAGAGAAGAAAATATCCCAAGCGCACCTTTGCTGTGGACGCTGGCCATCTGAGGTGGAACCTCAACTCATATGGGTCGACTTTGGGCCTACTGCGGTTCCTGCATGGTAAACACGAGGTGGCGCTTTCTTGGTGGTTTGGATGAACCCAACTTTGAATTGTTCTGCCACGATACACCAATAATATCGATGACAGCTGATGCAGGTTGAACAATGAACGTTGATGGCCGTCCATGCATGTGATGTGCGAGTGCCGTTGACGGTTGGGATGTCTTTGCCGCGGTTTGTGCCGCGGCAACCAAAACGGGACATTAGTCATGTTTGTGGCAGTGAAGTGGCAGTGTTGATTATCCTTTAGTGCGGACTTGGTGCGGACACGTATTTCAAAGGCTCTTGCCGTCGGCGAGCCTCAAGGCTCAGATCTCAGAGCCTTACCGATTTTTGTCTTAAACCATACAGTACTTGAGCATGACCTCGATGAGGGATGCTATTGCTCTGCTGTGCATTCTTCTATCAGGACTCCTTGGTGTCATCATTTTTACTGCTTACACAAAGGCACTTGCTAGACGCTCAGCAGAAGCTCGCCAGGCCATTATCAAGAACCTTGGCCTCCCCGCCACATCAAACCCCAAATTTATCGGTTTCTTCCATCCCTACTGGTATGTATTTTCTGCCAAGGACTGGGATGCTTGACTCATGAAACTTATGCAGCAATGCTGGTGGAGGAGGGGAACGTGTCCTCTGGACTGCTATAGCAGCCACCCAACGTGCCCATCCTAATTGCGTCTCATTAGTGTATACTGGAGACGTAGACGCGACCAAAGAACAAATAATAGCTCAAGTCGAAGCACGTTTTGATATCTCTCTTGACCCGAACTCTTTGCATTTCGTCTTCCTCAAGAAGAGACGCCTAGTGGAGGACGCCGCCTGGCCACGCTTTACACTTCTTGGCCAGAGTCTTGGGTCCATGATCCTCGCTTGGGAAGCCTTGGCCCAAGTCATCCCAGACCTATACATTGGTGGGCCTACTTGTTTTAGATACTGTTGGGCAATCGATGTTCATACTGCCTAGACAGCATGGGCTACGCTTTCACATTCCATGTAGTTGCATGGATTACTAAGGGCTCCATACCTATGGGTGCATATGTACATTATCCAACAATCAGTACGGACATGCTGGCCCGGGTGAAGGCCAGGAAGGCGGGTCATACCAACCGTGGAGATGTCGCAGGCTCGTTGGTATTGAGCTACGGAAAAATATGGTAAGTGCTAGTCATCCACCATCCACCTTTCGTATTCTTGCTCCATCTAGAATTTTGTCCCTGTTGTAGTTCTATTTGCAACTCTGGTATTGTGATGGCACTTCTGATAACACTTTCTCGCGCAGGTATTATCGTTTCCTAATGTATCACTACTCCCTGGCACTCTCCCGCCCTTCCTTCATCATGGCCAACTCCAGCTGGACAAAGAACCATGTCGATGCGATACTCTCGCACTCTGACCCCGTCATGAACACCCTGCACTACCTTAACCCACTCATCCTTCTTCGTCTCTTTGCGACTACTTTTAAGAGGTCGAGAGAACTTCACACCGAACCAGCAAACAAGAAACGAGAAGCCAAGATTGTCTACCCACCATGCGATACCCGCGAGATGGAACAATTCTCTTTAGACGAGAGGGAAAGAATCATACTGAGTATCGCTCAATTCAGGTAAAATTTTATCACATTTTTCATTTATTGCTGGAGCTCAAGTGTTGCTTTTGCTTTTAAAGGCCAGAAAAAGATCACCCCGCACAACTTCGCGCATTTGCGCAGCTGTTGGCCGATCACCCAACCTATTCTTCTGGTTCCACTTCTGCGAAACTTTTCCTACTGGGCGGCGCGCGTAACGCGGACGATCACGCACGCGTGCAATCCCTTAGAAATCTTGCAGAAGAACTGAAGATTACCCCTCACGTCCAGTTCATCGTCAACGCAAGCTACCCCGAGATGCTCGGCTGGCTCGCAATGGCCACCATCGGGCTCAGCACGATGGTGGACGAACATTTCGGGATAAACGTCGTTGAATTCATGGTGCGAATTCCCTGTTTTACCTTTTTCCCGTTCGATAGCGACTTACCTGTGACTATATCTAGGCTGCAGGGGTCATTCCTGTGACGCATGCTTCCGGTGGACCACTTCATGATATTGTCGTACCTCTGGACGGTGAAGCAACGGGATTCCATGCGCGGGATTCGCAGAGCTTCGCGAATGCCATGCACACGGTGTTGAGCATGAGTAAATCGGAGGAGTTAGCGATGAGGAAGCGGGCACGTACGTGGGCTGTGACTACATTTGCCGAGGAGCGGTTCGTAGAGGGTTGGGAAGCTGCTTGGAAAGGGTGGGTATGATGAGTGTAGTGTCTTTGCTCTTCGCGAAATCGTCGTTTACATAAATGATCTATAAACTTATCAGTAAATAATCATTCCCTGCTCCTTCATTCACTTCTGGCGACTTCGGCATCGTAAATCTGCCATCCGATTTGCCAGGGCCTACTAGCTTCTGTTCATTGGCACTGACTAGTTCTGGTGGGTGTGACTACTTATGCATCGTGAAATCATTCTATGATGTGCCACCTCCATGAGCTGGAGGCCAGTCGTCCACATCGAGTCGTGGGCCAAAGACGATAAGATAGTCGCTCATTCCCTTGCGGCTGCCTTCGACAACGACTCTGATGGCGCTTCTCAAGGGAGAATCACACCTGAGATGTGCATCGTATCTGCACCGTCGATTCCGGACTCTGCAGCTGCCGAGACGGCGAAGTCCTAGTACCACCAAGCGCGCCAGAAAAACATTATTTCTATCATCAGGCGCGGCAGAGCGGCCCAGGCTCATGTGGTCTGCCTGATTAGCCAATGCACAAAAACGCTAACCTACGGAAACACGGCGCGAAAACCGCAGCTTCTAAAGGCCCAGGCGTCACGACAAACTTTCGGGACGAGTTTTCCTACATTCCTGCAATGTTAACCTTCGAGATGTCATTTGGAGTACGTTGTTCATAATAATACAGCACTTCTAGGGCAAATGAATGAATTGATGCGTTAATATGCAATGCAATCTGCTGTTCAATCATCCACGGGTTCGAGAAGCTCGTCTCGCTTCCCAATGAGGTCATTGACATCACTGTACCCGCAGAGACCCATTGTGATATGCATATCAGCCACGGTTTGCATCAAAATCTGCTCGACTCCTGCCTGGCCGGCAATGGAAAGACCATACATGTATGGACGAGCAACTAGAATTGTTTAGTACAAAAGCGGCACTGGAGAAAAAGTCATGATACTTACTAAGGACACCTTGTGCACCCATTGCCATGGCCTTGATAACATCACTGCCTGTGCGGATGCCAGAGTCGAAGAGCACCGTCAGGTCGCCTTTCGTCTGCGCAGCGAGGACCTTCGGCGAGCGCATGACCTTGGATAACGCATCCAAGGAGCCAATAGCACCGTCGACTTGCCGTCCACCGTGATTGGACACAATGATGCCGTGAATGCCCATTTCGATAGCTTTCTCCGCATCCTGTTGCGAGGGTTATCACAAGTCATTGAACTAAAAAAAAAAATGAACTTACGGACACCCGCTGAATCCCTTTCAGAATGATAGGTCCATCCCAGTGATCCTTGATAAACTGTAGGTCATCCCAGGACCTGAAAGTGCCTGAATTGGTTTCTCCGAGCCACGCCTTCCCCAGTTTCATTGCTTTCTGGGCGTCCGCGTCACCTGCGTTCAACGCTGCGTTTCTGACCTTCTCTGGCTCGAATGGGAACTTGGTGGTCTCGTGCACAGGTTCGTATCCGGAGCGCTTCATGAACACGGGGTCGGACAAGCCAACTTGGATGCCGACGCCGTAGTAGAATGGTATATAGGCAGTGTCAAGGTCGTGTGGACGCCAACCCAAGAGCATGGTATCGAGCGTGATGACGAGCGCAGTGAAGCCTGCAGTTTTGGCACGATTGAGAAGAGATATTGTTATCTCGTCTGTGACTGGCCTGAGGTGTTCACAGTCAAGTTGTGATAAGTGGAATGGTGGTGCGAGATTAAGCTTACCAGTAGAGCTGATACCAACGCTGACCATTTGGCCCGTTTGCCTTTGCGATATCCTCGATTGAGCGGGATGACGCTGAGCTCATGATGTAAGGGATGCCACAGGCAGCGGCGGCCCTTGCAGTTGCGAGTTCACCGTCTGCGTGCAAGATACCCTGTACACCTACGGGGGCAATGAAGAGAGGCGCGTGGAATTTCTCTCCAAGGATTGTTGTCTACCAGACGCAGTACTACATTAGACAGGGGTATCAAGCGCCCATAAATACTCACTTCGACATTTCTTTTGGTGCAGTCCTTGAGCATTGCAGGGACAATTTTCCACCGGTTGAACGCACGCCTATTTGCGGCGTCTGTCGAGCACGTCCCTGCACTCCCAAATGTGTACATGTATGCCGCTAGGACGCTCATCTAAATGAAGAGTTGCGACTTGAGGGGATGATAACACTCACGAAGATGGTCTTTCATGACCTCCCGGGCTTTATCTTCTATCTCTTTCACTGCGAAAGAGCCTAGGACGGGCGGCTTTGCCTGTCCATAGATATCCATGAAGTATTTCATCCATCGAGTCGATTGGGCGGGGACAGCCGTCATAGCTATAATGGAGGAGGGTATGATAGAGAGTCTGGGAAGGCCATGGTAGACATGTCGACTTATTTAAGGCAGCATTCAACAAGCAGCATCTACCCGAAAAGCCGACGTGGCTAGGGAACGTGACGGGGATTGAAGTATGCAATTCTGTCCGCTATCTGACCACATGATACGTACTTACGAGAGATTTGCTTGCTGAATCATGTTGATATTTCCGGAGTGGGGCCGTTCTCCCGCTTTCCGTGGGCACTCTGATTCGCAGAATGTTTTAGCTGGCTTCAAGGAACTTCGCCAACGGATGTCCACGTAGTTGTAGCAACTACCTTGCACCGAACTGAGTTATGCGTTCACCTATATAGGATGGAACGTTCACATACTGGTTGAGTGTGTGATTGAATTCGTAGCCGGGGTAGCTCAGCTGGGAGAGCAACAGACTGAAGTGCGAATGTTTTCTGGAGGTCCCGTGTTCAATCCACGGTCCTGGCATATTTTTTGTTTTCCTTTCGTGACAACAAGCAAGATAGTGGCGTAGTCGGTTTGATGGGGGATAACGAATCTATGAGATCTTGAGAGCTTGGACTTCTACTTTAGCAAGCGAAAAGGATTAAATAAATTTAGCCAGACTACATATATAGGCGACGAACAACTTGTGGATAAAATTGAGGCGAGATTTGAGTGGTTCACAGACGAGTTTGTGAGCCAGTGCTAGCGGCCATCCACGCTAAGTAGGGACAGCTTGCGACAGTCCTGAATCAGTGCGTGCTAATTGCTTTCACCCGATGACCGTTATAACATGTTCAAGTGATGTTTGACTCTATTGAATTCTAAAGGTCTTGCCAAATATACACAAATAACAGAAGTGATTACTGACTCGCTACAGCAGTGCAGCTGCCAGTCATCACGCCTCCTCCTCATTTTTATAACAGAGTTGTGGGCACAAGTATTTGCCTGCTTTTTGATTATACAATAATTAATCAAGCTTCCGTTCCTTTTCAATGACATCTTCTCTGAGCACGAGACGCCTCATAATCCTTGATGGTATGTTTTACCGCTGCTTCCATTTACGACCACTGCTCATGCTGGTACGATCGCAGTTGCTCTATTTCTAGCTTCGCAGGTGATTATTCATTTCGTCCATCGTTATACTGCTGTTAGCTGAGAGTCCACGTGTCAGGCAGCGGTTTACTGTGCTATTCGTGTGCGTCTCCGTCATGGAAATTTACGGGAAGCACAATTAATCTCCTTGTAGTGGTACTTCAGGCGGGGCGATGACCGATCAACAAAGAGCGCTGAGGCAATCAAGAAGCTCATCGGACAGAAGAACCTCAAGCTGGATGAGTACGAGAGTGCGCGTGACCTCCTCGGCTATGCCTCGTTTCCTGCTGACCTCTGGGATTTTTCGCAGGAGCGATATCGAAGGAAGTTGTTCATCCAGACGAAATTAATGTTCGATTTCAGGGTTAGTTCGCCGTCCAGATGAATTCACAATGTCAACCAACATTTCTTAGACATCGGGGGTCTGGAGCCAATCGTATCATCTCTCCGCGAAACGATCATCTATCCTTTAATCCACCCAGCTCTTTTCACCTCAGCCTCTCCCCTCCTTGGAGCCCCAAAAGGTGTTTTACTATATGGACCGCCAGGATGCGGGAAGACTATGCTCGCGCGCGCGCTGGCTAAAGAATCGGGCGCAACGTTTATTAATGTTCCCGCATCAACACTCACAAATAAGTGGTTTGGTGAGTCCAACAAGCTAGTCGCAGGTCTATTCAGCCTCGCGCGGAAGGTCCAACCTGCTATCATATTTGTCGACGAGATCGACTCCTTCCTGAGGGAACGCCGTGGGGACGACCACGAGGTCATGGGTATGATGAAGGCAGAATTCATGACGTGAGCTCTACGTTTGTTGATTGATCTTTGGCTGATCTCGGGTGCTCAGTTCATGGGACGGCTTGACGTCAGGCTCTGACAGGATACTAGTGCTGGGCGCAACGAACAGACCAGGTGACATTGATCCTGCAATCTTGAGGCGCATGCCGAAGCGGTTCGCTGTGGGTCTTCCGGATGCAGAACAGAGATTCAAAATTCTATCCCTAGTACGTGTCTATACCATCGAATTAAGAATGCTCACTCTGAACTCCATTAGATGCTCAAGGACACGAAACTGGATCCCCATCTTTCCTTGCGCGCCCTTGCTTCTCAGACACCAAGCTTCTCTGGTTCTGATTTACGTGAATTATGTCGCAATGCTGCTATGGTCCCAGTGAGGGAATGTATGCGCGCCATGGAGCATGACGAAGAGGCGTTGACGAAGGTCGAGAAAGAGGTGCGTTTTGAGTTATCTCTGGTGAATTTCACCAACCACAAATATCAGGGTTTCAACATGCGTCCACTCGCCCTCAGCGATTTCTACGAAGCGGAGGGATCGACACTCCAAGCACCTGATCCAGACGATGAACTCATATCATTGCAAGCATTCGTTGATGCCCACACAGAGCCGAGTCCACTGACAGACGAGGACAGTAAAGTTCTAGCTATCGGGAAGTTTGTCGGGTACGAGAGTGATAACGAGTCGAGATTCCAGACGGACGACGAATCGACGGTGCTTGACGGCGACGATCCATCGACATTGAAAGATGAGAGCAGTGATGATTCATAATACCTACCCCATCCGTTGTGCCTCAATTTCTGATTATTGAGTAGCACTGATTATTATCATATAGACTAGACATGACTTATCATCTCCGCTATGAGAAAATTGATACAGGAGAAACTCTCGGATTAGGTGTTGCAGGATCACCATTATGTATCGCGGCATGGTATGTATCCTGTGTAATGCCCTGAGGGACAGAGTCTCCAAGGAGCTTTCAGGAGCTTCAGGTCCACTTCGGGCACTCTCTGACTCTGACGGGCCCCCTACTGTGCGTAAAGACTTTATCCGATATTCCAAGAAGTACTGGACTCCTGCAGTTGACCTTATCGCATGTCTATTGGTGGCGCGCGCATACGCAGGATGGCGTTGACTCTCGCTATCATCAACTGCCGTCCCATGTTCCTCCTCGTCCTCCTCTAGGTTCTCGGGTTCCTGCGCCCCTGCTTACCCCAATGAATCGTTGTTACCTCCCACCACTGGCACTATCTCTGAGCCCCTGACATTTTCTGTATGTCGAGTTAGCAGATATACTCACAAAGTCTTAGAAACAGGCCCCACCACAACCTACTTGCTTGGTCCCGGCCGTTCAGTCGATGCCCCCGGCGCAGTGACTCTCAAGTCCCAAGCGCAAAGTCTGTCTGGACGACTTCAAGTTCCTGGCCGTCCATCCTGGGTAAGAATAATTTTTGCCCTGCATCAACAAGAATGATAACCTTGAACTCCCGGGCCAACTATCGCTCAATTCCATGTTCGTTTAGTATCGTCAGTCGTCGCTTACCAGCGTCTATTTGGCGGATGTTCTGCCTTCTTGTGAAGCACACAGAGGTTGCGGCCATAGTCCCGGGCTTTCGTGGATATTGAATTCAATCCATTGCACGAGTATCACCATTGAGGCCCTTCACATAGAGGCGGCAGAAGGAGATACGTGATGTATGATCCCCACAGGGTGTATGTAAAGATATTTATGTGTGCTTGTTAAAAACTAGCGAAAGACAGCAACAATGAGGTGACCACTCTAAAGAACTTGATGCAACGATGATATAGTGGTCCATATACCGTATCTGCATTAACGTCTATCAGCTTGAGGGGGGTATGCGCAACAAAGAAAGAGCACGAGATGAGACAAGAACCGGAGGATGTTTGTTCGCACGGTTTCTGCACCTGGTATTGCAGTATTAGTATCGGGAGCAGGAGTGGGAGCGGCAGCAGGAGGTGCCGTGGAAGTCGAGGCGGCGGCAGGCTGAGATTGCGATGACGACGATTGAGCTTGGCCTTGTGGTTGGGCCTGTGTTTTTTTTTTTCGGCCGCGGAGCAACATATAGCGCCTACATCGAAATAATCAAACCCCACTTATTGGAAATGCACCCAAACAAAGACGTACCTTTTTGTCCCGCACCGCAGCAACCTCGACGACACGAGGGCCGCTGTGAGAGAAGATAGACCGCCTTGAACGTTGCTGAAGTTCGGTTGCTTGATTAATGCTGGAGGGAGAGCGGCGAAAGAGCGTTGAAAGGCCTCTGAAGAGCGTTATCCTCGAAGAGTGTGCGAGAGGGCGGCGGTGGGCAGAGGAACGGTATTGGTTACTGTATGTTGTGGAGGCCTGAGATCAAGAGGTCAGAATAAAAAATGATTGAGAATGGCTGAGGACGCACATAAACACTGGGTCGTCCACCATCGAAAAAGTCTGGTGGGAGTAGTTCATCGTCCTGGCCCTGCGTGGCATCGGCCTAAAATGCCGATGTTACAGCGATCGAAATGGTCAAGAAATGCACCACGTACGTCTAACAACTCTATGACCTGCAAAAAAGACATTAGCATCATCTTCACCAAAGAGCCATGAGATTTGAACTCACATCAGGAACAAGCAGGAGGTCTTCCAGGCCAGCTTCTTTGAGGATGGCGTGAATGTCCCATGTGTACACATCTCCGTTCTGGCACCCAATGGCTAGTATTTTTCCATGATCGGAAAGGGCTGCGGACTCCAAGTCATCTTCATGCTGGAGGGGTGGTCCGATCGGGAGATTCGTGTCGAGATCCCATAGACGCGCTGTTTTATCCCATGATGTACTTGCAAGGAGGCGGTTGTTGGAAGACAACGAGATGGCACTGACACGATATGTGTGACCCTCAAGAACTGCAATCTGCTCCCAAGTGGCTGTGTCGAATATCCCAATGAGGTCATATGAACCGGAGATAAGCTTCTTTCCGTCCGATGTCCATGCCAAGCTCAAAATTGGTCCGTCGAGTGTGGTGATCAACTTGCCCGTCTTGCTATCCCAGATTTTGACTGCATCGTGCCCGGATCCGCCCGTCACGATGTAGTCATTATCGGGCGAGTACATCACCGCGTTCGCCCACTTATGCCCGGTTTCGATTTTCAGGACAGTTTCACCGCTGTTGGCATCCCATACTCTTGCTGTCCCATCCCAGGATCCACTCGCTACTCGCTTACCATCTACACTCCAGCACAATGCACACACAACACTGGTGTGTCCCGTCCATTTGGCGATGACCTTTCTCGTCTCGACGTTCCACAATCTCATCGTCCCGTCGCCGCTTCCGCTTGCAACTGTCTCGCCGTTTGGGGAGAATGACACAGACCACACTTGTTCGTTTTTTTTACTTCGCCAGTCCTCACCTATCTGTGCACCGCTCTCTAGGTCCCATAATCGGAGTGAGCCGTCTAATGAACATGTGATTATGTGTCGTCCGCTGGGCAGATAGACAACACCTTTTACCCAACTGGTATGGCCTCGCATCGTCCGGAGTGGCGCGACTGCTGGTGCCTCGCTGGCGGATGATGAAATGGTCGGCGCTGGGGATTCCATAATACAGATTGGGGACTATCGATGCAAGAAAAGTATGCTGAGATCTTTGAACCAGACCGGGGTATTCAGACGGCAATGACTGCTGGTGAGTCCAGGGGTACTTCTTTTACGTTAGCCCTTGTCAGAAAGAAGCCGTTGCTCACAAGACAACCTACTTACAGGAATCTAGTCCTCACCCTTGAAGACAGCTTCAAGACTGTATGCAGGACTCGCTGCGCCGTTATTCGAGACTATGCAAGAGATCTTGCTGTGTATGGGTCGAAGGCGCTGTAGTAAGCAAGTGATTAGCTTTAATCTGCAGAAGAGCCACAGCATCACTCACGAGAAGCACCGTTCAAACGAACACAGTGCTCAAATCACCCCAGCGATCAATGGATATTTAGTTGGGAGAAGAGGAAGTTGGGCGCTCATCGTTCAGGCCGTCTTTTCTTATTTAGGTGCGTCCCATGTGTCAACCTGTTCCTCTCACAGCTTCAGTGCTGTGTAAATGAAGCGCTCAGGTCTGCGACGGGCGCGATGTGCGTCTTCTTGTACGTAAGGGACCTCATGCTGGCGACAAAAGTCGCATTCTTCTACCTTATTCGATGCTTTTCGGGATTGGGACTGTATCGCAACTGCTGTCGTTGAAGCTGCCAGGAAGGTGGAACAATGAAGCGACATTACTTACTGCATAGTAAGCGCCGGGCGACCATGGAATTAGCAGAACGATGTTCTGTGATACGGACAACAGTGAAGTACCATGCACTTTGTTCCCGTCATAATCAAGATCAACTCCAGAAATCAGTCCAAAGTTCGAAGCGCAGGTGGGCGAGTTCTCTGGATTTGGTCGCGCAACTGTGCATGTTGAGGAGCTACAAAATCTGCCCTTGGCCCAGCTAAAAAGTGTTCTGTTACTCTTTCCAAGACGGGTAGCGCCCGTCAGTGATGAAGCCGTTGTCGATCACTGCGAGGAAATGAGAGATGATTTGGAACGTTTCATGTTGATGCTGCTTAGCCGGTCGAAGCACTTTGAAAGGTAAGTTGGTGTCGACTCATTAATATAATACCTGCTGCAGCAAATTCATTCATCGTCGTCAACCTGTTTTTTTGAAGAATTTGGACATGTATGCCTGGCCGCTTTATTCTGGACGAGGAACAGGATTGCCTCAAGACTGGGTATTGGCTGATAATGCGAAAGGAATGTCAATACCCTAAGTGATGCCTCCTGCATCGTACATATTGTATCTGCATCGTTATTCTATACCGCTCTCTCGAGATGTCATTTTACCATCCTGAGATAAAGAACACAATATACCTGGAACCCAGATGAAACAAAAGAGGCGGCAGTAACTCGTGGCACTCACTTTATCATCCAGGACCTGAAACGTGAAACACGTTGGCCGCCAGTACGAGCCACGTCGCTAGGCAGAACCAAACCGGAGATGCAATTGAGACCGCACCAATGCCAGCAGTGCGCAAGATGAGGACAGACAATGCTGCAACGAAGAACAACATTCTCTCAAAGAATGAGCCAGCGATCCGTAGAATGTAACTGGAAACACACCCAAATCAGCAGCCCAAACGACAGACTCAGGGGAAAGAATCTCGAAACTAAGCGTAGAATGCGACATCCGTACCGTGAAAGAGACCTGCTTGCGGATATAAAGAATACAGGTCATAGAAAAGACATGAAACTTACCACATCTTTAGCGAAGTCTCGCCGACTATCATTCCACCTGTCCAGCCAGGATCAGTGAGACCACTATAAAGAGCCCATGACGCAGAGGGTAAACACATGCTAGAAGAGTTGCCGACATCTGAATCTCCTCTGAATGGGTTGGACCGCTGCATGAAAGCTGATATCAAACATCACAGCGGACTGAGATGGTCCTTTCCAATAACAAGAGATTGACAGTGTTGGATCAGTAGTAGCAGGACAGAAAGGAGACTCCTGTGCGACTGAAATGCGCCGTCTTGACAATGTGCCTCAAATAGCAGATGAACATGCGAATATATCGTCCACTCACGGAGACTCGACTGAAAGCAATAAACTCTGATTCTTCAGTACTGCGTCGTCCGCGACCTACGCTTCTTAAGCGGAGAACATAACGGCCAGTAGCAGTGCAGACTACAGGTCGAGACGTCTCGGTTGCATTGAGAGGGTGCGTATGTGCAGTAGGGCGAAGGAACGATCTAGTCCAAGGCAGGGTGTACATACTTGCTATCGGGTACCCAATAAATGAAGGATGACTGGTGCTCAGGATTTGCAGCACCATCATTTGGAGCCAGTACGTGTTTTTAGCGTGGTTGAAATAATAATGGAGGTTTCATGCCAGTGGTAAAACTAACCCGAGACAGAGGAGGTTGGGGCAATCAAATACGGAGTCTCAACGCGGACGAAGAGATAACAATGATAACACAAGAACCTGATCCAAAGATGAAATAGATGTCCATATGCTGCAGCGTCAATGCCCATCTGCATGCGGGAGAGATGCACAACAGAGAAAAAGGACGAAACGAGTCCGCAATGGAAGGGGCCGTGGCTGCGCGGTTGCTGCACCTGGCGTGGTAGTATGAGTATCAGGAGCAGTAGGTGTCGTGGACGTCGAGGAGGCGGCTGGCTGAGTCTGCAGTGATGGTACCTGGTTCTGCGATTGGCCTTGCTGCTGCTGTGTTGGTTGTACATTGCCATCGTGTTGAGAAGACGCACAGCAGAGAAAAAGAACGAGATGTGCCAGCATTCGGAGGGGTAGTGAATGCGCAGGTCTTGCACTTGGTATGGTATTACCATTCGGCTGAGTGTCAGGAGCAGGAGCGGGAGCGGAAGCAGGAGGTGCCGTGGAAGTCGAGGCGGCGGCAGGCTGAGATTGCGATGACGACGACTGAACTTGGCCTTGTGGTTGGGCCTGTGTTTTTTTTACCTGCGGCGGAGCAACATATAGCGCCTACACAGAAAAAATAAAACCACAGTTATTGGAAATGCACCCGAACAAAGATTACGGTACCTGTTTGTCCCGCACCGCAGCAACCTTGACGACATGAGGGCCGCCATGAGAGAAGATAGACCGCCTTGGACGTTGCTGAAGTTCGGTTGCTTGATTTATGTTGAAGGGAGAGCGGCGAAAGAGCGTTGAAAGGCCGCGGAAGAGCGTATTCCTCGAAGAGTGTGCGAGAGGGCGGCGGCGGGCAGAGGAACGGTACCGGTTACTGTATGCTGTGGAGGACTGAGATCAAGAGGTCAGAATGAGAACTGATTTAGAATCGCTGACGACGCACATGAACACCGTCTCGCATATCATCAAAAAAGTCCGGTGGTAGTTCATCGCCCTCGGCCTGCGTGGCATCGGTCTAGAATGCCGATGTTACAGTGATCAAAAAAGTCAAGAAATACACCGCGTACGTCTATCAGCTCTATGACCTGCAAAAAAGACATTAACATCATCTTCACCAAAGAGCCAAGAGATTTGAACTCACATCAGGAACGGGCAGTAGGTCTTCAAGGCCAGCTTGTTTGATGATGGCGTGAATGTCCCATGTGTACATATTTCCGTTTTTGCAACTAGTGACTAGCACTTTTCCATCATCGGAAAGGGCTGCGGAGTGCAAATGATCTTCATGCTGGAGGGGTTGTCCGATCAGGAGATTCGTGTCGAGATTCCATAGACGCGCTGTGTTATCCCGTGATACACTTGCAAGGAGGCGGTTGTTCCGAGACAAGGAGATGACATTGACGCCGTCTGTGTGACCCTCAAGAACGGCAATCTGCTGCCAAGTGGCTGTGTCGAATATTCTAATCGAGCAATACGAACCGGAGATAAGCTTCTTTCCGTCCGACGTCCAGGCCAAGCTCCAAACTGCCCAATCGTGTTTGAGTGCGGTGATCAGCTCACCGATCTTGCTATCCCAGATTTTGACTGCATTCTCGTTGTCTCCGCCCGATGCGATTTTTTCGTTATCGGGCGAGTATATCACCGCGTTCACCCACTTGTGTCTGGTTTTGATTGTCATGACAGTTTCACCGCTGTCGACATCCCATACTCTTGCTGTCCCATCACGGGATCCACTCACTACTTGCTTACCATCTGAACTCCAGCACAATGTACACACAACTCTGGTGTGTCCCGTCCATTTGGTGATGTTCTTCCTCGTCTCGACGTTCCACAAACTTACTGTCCTGTCGCTACTTCCACTTGCAACTGTCTTGTTGTTTGGAGACAATGCCATGGACCACATTCCTGCTTTACTCTCATCTCGCCAGTCCCCACCTATCTGTGTACCGCTCTCCAGGTCCCATAATCGGAGTGAGGCGTCATGGGAACATGAGATTATGCGTCGTTCGCCGGGCAGATGGACGATACCATCTACCCAGCCGGTATGACCTCGCATCGTCCAGCGTGGCGTGATCGCTAGCTTCTTACTGGTGGAGGAAAACATGATCGGCGCTGGGGATGTCAAGTACTGCAGAGCGCAGATTATCTATGTGAGAGAAGCCCGCTGCGATTTTTCAATCAGAACCAAGTTATCCGGCAACGGTAATGATTGCTTATGAGTCCACGGGCTTATCTTCTTTCACTTTAGCGCTTTCCAGAATCACATAAGTCATTGCTCACGAGCCAACCTACTACAGGAATCCAGTCTTCACCTTCTGGACTGTATATGCAGCACTTGCTGTGCTGTTATTCGAGAATGTGCAAGAGATCCTGGTGTATATGGGTCGAAGTCGCTGTAGTAAGCAAATTGTCAGCTCTAGCCTTCAGAAAAGCCTACAGTATCACTCACGAGAAACACCGTTCAGGCGAGCCCAGTGCTCAGATCACCAGCGATCAATGGTGTCTGGTTGGGAGAGGGGGAAATTGGGCGCCCGTTCGTTCAAACCGCTTTGTAAGGTTCGTCCCATCCCATGCGTCATCCTCGTGTTTGTTTCACAGCTTTATGGCAATTTGCTGTGTAGATAAAGCGCTCAAGTCTGTGGTTGGCGCTATGTGCATCTTCTTATATGTAGCAGACTTCATTGTAAGGCTTGCGGAAGTTCGAAGGGGAATAGTTACGAGACCACGTAGATACGAGAAATGCACCTTTTGCCAAGTAACACGAAGATAAAGATGGAAAGCATTTAGATAGACTGAGTAATTTTTTGAGATATGTTCAGCGTCAACCACGTGACTTTGAGCGCAACTCTTCGTATCCGAGTTAGGTGGATACATTCCTTTTTATTCTCTTCCACCATCGTGCATACCTCGTGCTCACGTCTCACTATCTTCATCGAGTATTTTCTCTGGACTATTTACATGCTCTCCACCTCAATTCTGGTTTAGTTAACCACCCGCGAACGCACAAATACAGCCCATGTATATTCCTACAAAGCAGCAGGGATAGTGGCGAAACATTCGACCCTCTGTTAGTTGCTCCCCCCAAAAGGATTTTGCTTTTTGGTACATGATTACTCTCAATGGCCTCGACTGCCCTCTTGATCACCATATGCATATACATGTCAGTGATTGGTCGACCGGTTAGCTGCCAGATTTGCCCGGACGCGTGTTCAACACTTATCAACTTGCAATGACCTCAAAAGTAGGACCGAGTACCTCCATTGGCATTGGCGAATTCCTCGCCGTGCTTCGTCCGTTCATGTCTGCTGATGCATCAGGCCCGACACTTATAATCTTGACTCTACAATGCTGCTCCTATTAGCTTCAAGTTGATTGTATCGACCCTTTCGAACTCACCAAATTCCTGCTATACTTATCATGGTAACACGCAACGACTCATTTGGCCGAGCCATCCTTTCCTTCAAGGCTGGTCGTGCTTTTCGACGCGCTGGAACCGATTTCGTGAGCGCCTTCCCCACCAACGGCGCGATTGTCTTGATCGATGAAGACGGCCTCATACACTTCATGTGGAAAGACCGAACGACAGAGGAGCTCGGCGAGGATCTAATCTTGTTTCCTGGCGATGCTAAATTGGAAAAGTCACGCAAAGTAGCTGGGGACAGGACCTATGTCCTTGCATTAGAGAGCTCTGACCAAAGGCATTTCGTATGTGTCTCACTTACTGCAAGCTTTTGGTTTTTTATTGGTTAACTGCGGTCCTTCTACATTGGGTTTGGCTACAGGTGTGTTTGTGTCACCGAAGTAATTTGAGTTAGACCTGATGGTCTCGCAGACTCGTCAACGTGCCGCGATGAAGAATTTGTGAAGGATTTGAACAGAACCCTCGCTGATCCCAACATCATCGCTATCGGTGACCGGCTCCGCAAGCGAAGACGGTATCTACATTTCTCAACCAGGCTGCATCATCACTAATATTAATTTTCACAGAACTTTGGTTGACAGACGTCCTGTCTTTTTGCTTAAGCTCTTACAACTGCACTTTGAATTGTTCCCATCCTCTTCCCTCATCTCCCACCTGAACTATCCCATAGTCAGATGCTACACCACAACAGGCGGTAGAAATCTTGCAGCGTATGACTATTCCTCCACCTTTTTGCTCGGCTGTGGGTCTTCCTGAGTGTGCTGTGACAGGTAGTATTGGCACATTTTTAGCTGTTATCGCTGAGCAGGCGGAACAGGAAGGCGGAGGCGGTGGTACTCAAGATGTCTCTGAAAAAGTCTAGATGAAGTCCAAATGAATCCGCGAGGTTGCACAACATGTCGCCCATTCTTGCCTACTCTTGTTGATTTCTCCATTAACATGTCATTAAACATCCACCACGTCACCAAACACTCACCGTACTATCGGTTATGGTTATCGCTTTTAGTCGTGGGTTTCGCAGGGATGTACCGTTACCACAAATTATCATGTTTCCACGCCAAAAGCACGAAATAGGCGTCCATCATGAATAGACTGTAAGTAATCAATAGTATCTCACCCCTCGCCGCATGCCAGCAGCGTGTCGGAATGCTTATAACGTGGACCCGTGGCGGGGCGACAAGTTCCTTGAACGATGCTTACCACTCTCCTAGTTGCATCATCGCTGCCTCTACTCGCTGTGGCGCAGAGCGCAGCGAGCCTTGCATATACTCCCGTCTATGGCGCATGTCCGAGCGGGTTTACTCTTGTTCGACAAGCGGGCTCCAGTGCTGCTGGCAATCAGACTCTAAATCCTCAAGAAACTGCATACATCAGCAGCCGCAAATCAAATGTCTTACCTAATGCATGGAAGACCTATCTCTCTAACATCGAGGCTACTGATGTGTCATTACCTTCTTATGTCTCTGACATACTCAGTGGCGACAGCGGTGACTATCCCAACTTGGGTATTGCGTGCAGCGGAGGAGGCTGGAGATCTGCCATGTTCGGCGCTGGTGTCATGAGTGTACTGGATAGTCGTAATGCAGCGTCTGCTGCGTTAGGCACAGGTGGGTTGCTTCAGGCAGCCCAGTACCTTACAGGTCTTTCTAGTGGATCGCTCCTGGTAGGAACGTTGGCTCAGGCAAATTTCCCTACTATGCATGACCTAATCTTTGGCACGAATTCGACGGACCCCACAAACGCATGGGGCGGATGGTTTGCGCAGCTCAGCCGAGCGGCTCCATACACCAACGCGACTCAGAACGCGGAGTACATCCAATTACTTGTTGACGAAGTGCGAGGAAAGTTTGAGGCGGGGTTTTCTGTGTCCTATGTGGACGTGATTGCGCGCGACAACGGGCGTCATTTTGTGAACGGGACTGATATTAATAACTTCTACGATGAGTTCCTGGTGCACGGAGCGGGATATACCTGGTCTGCCGTCGCAAATGTGTGAGTGCAGGTCGTGACTCATTGATATTTGGAGTGACGATTATCAATCTTTGTAGCTCAACTTTCATGGCATACGAGCAGCCATTCCCCATTATCCTTGCGACACTGTTGTCTCCCAATGGAAATCTATCCACCGTCGTCCCGGGCTTCCTTATTCCAACCTCGAACCCCGTCGTGGAGCTCAACGTTTGTACGTTTGGTGGGTGGTATGTGGTCCCGTTGCTCAGTGTGTGTTTCAGATGAAATGGGATCGTACGATCCCACCCTTGCCGCGTTTACGCCAATGAAATACCTGGGAACGGCGAACGAGTCCATCTGTGCCACCAATTTTGATCAAACTAGCTTTATCATGGGAGCTTCTGGTGATGCGGATATTTTCTTTAATACATCGGTGGGGCCTTCCTTGAGATAATTCTGTCAGCTGTGACTGATTTGTGGACAGGAATCGACCCTCATCAACTCCCCGATGTATCCGATACTCGAGGTTCTCAATAATACAATTCCCCAAACCGGCGTTGTCCTTGATGGCACGCTCTTCCCAAACCCTTTCCTTGGCCCCGCTACAGAGGGCGCGTTCATTGACGCGGATGAAACAATACTCGCGCTGTCTGACGGAGGAAGCAGTGGAGAAGTAATTCCAATTCAGCCTTTGCTGGTTAAGGCGAGAGGGGTTGACACCATTTTTGCCATTGACGCTGTGGGTATATTTACTGTTCCTTCGATCCGTTCCTTGATGTGCAACCTAGAGTCAAGACTTGGAAAATGCATATTGGTCAGCTGGTGGATCTCTGATTGTAAGCACATTTTTGTTTTCACTTGGCGTACGCTGAACAGCAACGCAGAACACGCAGAACCGAGTCAACACACTGTTTCCCACTGCTTACTCGTTCCCTCCTGTCCCAACCAATATCTCCGAGTTCATTGCCCAGAACCTCTCTACCAGGCCGACTTTCTTTGGATGCGATTCCAGCACGGAGGCACCGTTGCTCATCTATCTAGCCAACGGTGGTCCGCCGAGGGATGGCGAGACGTCACTGACGAATGTCGCGCCACTTAACGTCACAACCGAACAAATGCAGGCGTTCCTCGACCAGACTTATATGATCGCTATGCAAGGAAACTCGGCAGACCCGAGTAGTGCAATTGACCCCGAGTGGCCCGCGTGCCTTGCATGCGCAGTTGTGGACCGTGCGCGGAATAGGACTGGGGCGGATAGAAGTGGGATTTGTTGTAGCTGCTTTGAGCGATACTGCTGGAATGGCTCGACATATGGGCTATAAGTGACCAGCAGCGCTTGCAGCTTGTAGGATGGCGGGAGTGGTGGCTACGTCCTTCTTGAGAAACCTGGTTTACACGATGGGTTAATACTGAGGGTGAGTATTTCGTAGAAAAGGTTAAATCCTGACACATTGGGCGCATCATGGACAATCATAATATTGATACCATCGGATATACCTCGCAACCTGAACTTGAGAGGAGGGAGGGAATCTCGTTATTTTTTTAGATATTTGTGCACGAGACGACGCGACACGGCTTAGCAGAGAATAGAGATCAGGAATGCAAACCACAGCCCACAGACACTAAGTTATATATTTGATTTCTTTCTTTATCTCTCTTTCCTCAGTCCGGATTCGTTGTCTACGACTGAGGATTAGTTAAACATGTTTAAGGTATCTGTGAGTAACCATGAGGAACAAATTTGAGCCTAACCGTTCGGACGCGACGCACCCGAGGTTGCTTGCGTCGGACACCGATGTGATCAATTTTCAACTAGAGTGGAGAACCGTGACGGCCTTGAAAACATTTCTTGGGCCAAACTTTGCAAGTCCCAGACCTCCTTCGGATTAAGTATTCCATTAGGGGAATTCATAGTAGCGCGCTGTCCGCTGTTGCTTTCGCTTTCGCTGTCGTCCGAAACAAATTATTTTCCAGCGAGCACAAAATAATAATTATTTTCAACTCCGCTTCCCAGAATTGCGCGCAAACATTTTCGATTTGCTTCCTTCATATCCCAGTGCATCAAAGAAGCTCTGTTTCTGTTTACGCGCTCTGGGAACAATAATTTTGCAATTCACTTTCATCCCACTACTTTCGCTCATGGTATTTTCCCTCTTGCGAGCCATTCGCATCATCTTCCAAATGCTGTTGGCAAGATACGAAACCCGCCGGTGCGGATGGAAATTGTAGCTTTGCGAGAGGTCAACGCCATGGAGGCACCTCCGCCGGGATGGGCATCACAGAATCAAACTGTTCTCGTCTTGCAGATCTGTACTCCATATATGCCACGAGTCCATGACCCTGCTCAACCCTGCTCTGATAGAATCTCGTCGGCAAATCTTCAAGTTCACCCATCCCTGTTCATACAATTTCATCAGCGTGCCTAGAGTCATTAATCCTTCTTTGTCGAGGTCGCAAACGTGCCGCGTTCCTTCTGGGGATGTTGATCATCACACGTTGCTTGCAGCCTGCAGGCTCATTTCTCCAGGGTTCTCCTCGAACTTCCAGGAAACATCTACCCTTGTCCCCACGAATCGTATCTGTCGCGGCTCACGGGTACCTTCGGCAGATGTTCTCATGAGGGCTCTCATTATGACGTTCTAATTACATCCTACCTCGACTGACGCTGTCAAAAGGTATGCATCTGCTGGAGATGGATAACAAAGGCAGCGTGGAGTGCTGTGATTGTAATTGATCATGACAATGCGCGGCGTGCTCCTGTGAATATATATTTGCTTAAATGGGTCTGCGTCTACAGAGATCTTGCCAGCAACATATGAGGCGTTCGGTCAGGAACGACTCGGCAGGTCTTCTGGAAGAGCTCTGGTTTTGAAAATGTTCCACATGAGAAGCTGGATAGAACCGCAAGTCGTTACCATGTAAGTCCTTCGAAATTCTCTGACTAATATTTAGGTCACAATCACCGCAGGCACAATGGTCAGTGATGCATTCGAGGCACTCGCACTTAAGGTGCTGCAACTCAGAGCCAGAAATAGTACAACGGGGACGGACGTATTTGCACTTCAGTCCGCATACTATTCTTATTGTTCTACCATACTTACATTAGTTTTCTACCTCTAGGCTCGTGCGTTAGCTCTCACCTTTCACATCCAGAGGTCGGTCAGCGGCGGCCATCAAAGGAATTGCAGCAAGCAGAGTCAAAAAATACTTGAATAGGGACTTATCAGATTAACATGAAGCTTGACTATTCGGCTCGAATCCGTTTATGGATGAAGACGTGGCTTAGGTACTTACCGTTTCCTGACCCCTCTATCCAGACTTCTGAATATAGGTGCGAGAGCCGTTTGAATAGATGTTGCCGGCTGCCCTCCAAATCTAGCCCGGCTATTCGATCAAGGTTTAACATAACTTTGTCTGCAAACCCACATACGGGAAGCTACGGGAAGTTACCCTGATCATTGGCAATGTGGCCAAGAAGCATTGGTGCGATGATTGCGATGGCCTTTCCGTTCTCACGAACGAAAGGCTATTATAAACGATTGCGCAAATAACAGAAACCTCAGTTACCGGTGGCCAAGTATGTACTACAAGTCACTCTTCCCCGACCTACCAAAGATTCCAGAATCAAACGTCCACCACTTTCTCCTCGGCCGGCCTGAGCAGCGGAACTGGCCAGACTACACTTTGTTTGTGAATGTGGCGACTGGCCAGCGCGTTTCATTCCGGGAGTTTGTCGAGCGCGTCCGCGATGGGGCTACTGCACTGGGTGGCCTTGGTCTTTGTCCAGAGAACGGAGAGCTAGTCGGAATACTGAGCGAGAACTGCCCAGTACGTTGTTACCTGTTCTACGGATGAACCTAAAGTGACAAAGACATATAAGGACTATATCGCACTGATCCATTCGCTGCTAGTTATCACAGTCCCATTTGCGCTGTTCTCATGCTATTCAACACCACATGAGTTTAAACATGCCAATTCGCTCGCACAGGCGACTAGGATTTTTACGAGTCCATCGTTATTGTCACTCGCTTTGACTTCGGGTCTCCCACCAGATCGAATTTACCTTCTAGAGGGAGAGAATAAAGGTCACACAAGCTATGATCAGCTCGTCTCCTCGACTCGCAAGAATAAGATCCCACGGCTGCCAGTCCGTCATGCTACCAAGGACACTCTGGCCTACCTGGTTTATTCAAGTGGGACAAGTGGTCCTCCAAAAGGCAGGTATCCTGTGTTTTGATCTTCCGTCCTTGTATGACAGAAACAACATTGACCAACTACGTTATACAGCCGTCATGATATCCCACGGAAACATCACCTCAGCGACCCTCACAATAAAAATAAACGGTGAGGAAGCGAGTAAAGTTCAAGTGGTGTGTCTATGCACTCTGTTCCTTGCTCTCGTTGAACCCTTCGCCAGCCACCAGTATTGGACACTCCTGAAGGGCTTCCAGTATTCTTCAGTGTCCTTCCGGCTTACCACTCTCTTGGTCTCTGCTGGACTGCTTTCTTCAACTTCCTCAAACCCTTGACGATTATCATACTCCCGAAGTGGAACATCGACGCGTTCTTTGACAATATCCCGAAGTAAGTCATTGCATTTAGTGTATGCTGCGCTACTGGTACTGATGCTTGAGCGTGACTCAGATACCGCGTCACGAGTGTGACCTTGATCCCCTCCCTTATAATCCAGCTTATGCAGCATCCCCGATGGAAAACTGCCGATCTAAGCTCAATCAAAGGACTTGCCTGCGCAGCTTCGCACCTCCCACTTCAGCTCGCCGAACAACTTCTTGCTCGTTTTCCAGCCGTGGAAAGACTCCCTCAAGGTGCGTTTCCTCACTCCTTTCTTGCGTGGGCGGTTGTACTGACGTTTGCAGGGTACGGCTTGTCCGAATTTGTGAGTGATTTTTCCTCCCTACTCCTTCCGTGATCTCATTCCCAAGCTAGACGATAGGGGTCTCCCTGAAACCCTTCCCGGGCATGCTCAATGGACGCGCCAAATGGAAGTCCGACTCTGTTGGAATGCTTCTTCCTGGCGTCGAAGCATGCATTATCCGTCCCGACGGGTCCCTCGCGGGTCCAAACGAGGCTGGTGAGATCTACGTCCGCGGGGGCACCGCAGCGCTGGGATACAAGGGGAACGAGAAGGCGACGCGGGAGACATTCGTGGATGGGTGGGTGCGCACGGGAGACCAGATACGGATCGATGAGGACGGTGTGCTTTTGTAAGTTGGTCATTATACCCATCCCCAACCATATGAAGCTGATCTCCCCTTTTCGTAGCTTCGAGGAGCGCATCAAGGTGAGCTTGAACCATATGCTCCACGTATTATTAATTTCGTGTTTACTCACCCATCCTCAACAGGACACGCTCAAAATCTCAGGGCTGCAAGTCTCCCCCGTCGAAATCGAGGATACGCTCCATGTGCACCCGGAAAAGCTCATCACTGACGTGTCCGTCGCAGGCGTTTTTGGCGGGCGCACATCGGATGAGCGCATCCCGCGTGCGTGGGTCGTACTATCTCCTGCGGGCGTGGCTCTGGGAGAGAAAGAGGTTGTGGCACGGCTTCATGCGTGGGTGCAGGAACGGCTGAGTCGGTATAAGTGGTTGAGGGGGGGCATTGGGATCGTGGATGCGGTGCGTGTTTTCTCTTTCCACTTAAGGGTTAACATACTGATCCCCTTGGACAGATTCCGAGGTCGCCGACTGGGAAACCATTGAGGCGGGTATTGGTGGAGGAATACGAAAGGGAGTTGAATGCGAACGCGAAACTCTGAAGTCTGTACGTATCTTATCAGTTCAGGTGTTGGAGGGAAGGACGTGGTCGCAGAGGCCCGGGGTCTCCCAGTCCAGCGCAGCCGCATCAGGGCTAGCACCTGTGATGTAAGCACTTTGCTGTGATTGTTGAAACGGATTGTACACGATCTGTTGATTAGAAATGGCTGGTATTTGTCCATCTCATCATATATGCCAGAGATTCTCTACGCATTTCTTTGAAAAGGTGTAAACTATTGTACATAGTAACATGATGTTTGTGCTTGTCTTTTTGTATTCCTATACACACCACAGAAAAAACCAAAGGCATCTGGTAGACCTAATCAAATCATTCCAGATCTCAGCTTTGTGAAGATGCACATGGTCGCCATGTTCAAATAAAATCGCAGCTGTAACGATAGAATACCCGGCTAGAGCAAGGGTCAGAATTCATTAATCCAACGGAATATCGATTTGAACGCACGAAGCGAAGTTACTTTGTCCTGAGGTGGTACAAAAACTTTCGCAAGTGTTCGCAAATTATCGAGCTCACTGAAGCCACGGATGAAGTGGAAAGGGATGCGGCTCACACATGGCGCTGGTCGCAAACCTGGGCGCTTCGTCTACACAGTACTTAACAATAAGCTGTGTGAAGCGGACACATGATGTAATACATTGGACACACCTTTAATAAAAGATGACTTGAGCGCACAGGCGCCCAACTATCTTGACTCTGAACCGAACACCGACTGTCTCAACTTACAACCCGTGCTTCTCGCTGGTGATTGAAGCGCTGGTCGGTCTGAACGATGCTTCTCGTGAATGATACTGTCACTTGGCCGACCTTAGTACAAGCACTTTAGATTCCCGTAAAGATGTCTTGCGAGGGTTCCCAATACATCACAGCAACACCCAATGTACAGAATTTCTAAGCCGGTCTGACTGAATTCCTGGAAGCAGTCATTCTTATCAGCTTTGCCCCCTGCTTTGATGGATGACCAACTCGCCGTATCATCTTTACCATTGTCAGACAACCCGTTCTCGTTCAAGTTCAATCCATCACACATGTTCGGAGGGAACCAGGTTTCTCGAAAGTTCGGTTCGTCCGTCCGTCCGTGCCGTCCTGTCCCGTCTGTTCGGGATGTCCCGGCTGTCCCGGCTGGTCGCTGAGCAGTAGATACCACTAAGATAGCAGCGTCGACCTGTTGTACTATATCGAGACGATGAAACTAGCTTCAGTAGCTCATGCATTAAGAGCCATTGAATCCTTAACACTCGAGACACTGATATGCTTTGTGACACTAGCCTCAGCCATCAAGAACGACATTATTCTCACTCAAGAAGCTACATATGATCCATTGCTCCCTCCGCTACATCTTCCGGACAGTATACTCACCTTTCTATGTGGCGCATGCTCGCTATCGTTGGACTCTGTTCGAACTTGCTGGTCCGAACTGGCAAACAGCATTTGGTCAGACGAGTTCACACTGAAGGGCAGCCACATGAAACTGTTCGAAGACTATGGATATCAACACGGTTTCAGTTTGTTTTTTTACACTTATTGTTGGATGCCAAGCTCACTTAATGTCCTTAGCTGCAACGACCTTCTATCCGCCGTACAAAATGTGCCCAGACCGAGAATGTGACCGGCACAAGAAAGGGCTGCGTTTAAGCAAAGCACAGCAGCTTCGTGCCGTCTATTTTAGCTCGCATGATGGTGCGGTCCCTGCTTACAGCATATCTATGCAATACGAAGGTAAGTATCAAACCTCTGTGCCACATGATGCTGATGTGACTTTGAATACGAACAAGGATGCTCAACGACGTACCATCACAATTACAAGGTTGTGGGGGAGGATCGAATATATTACAACTTCGTTGATGGGCTTCCGGATGTCCTCCAGGTAGCCTCGCACTACTTCGTTGACACTCGCATCGGACGACTGTGGAAAACGATGATGCATACAGCGTGGTGAGTGTTGCTTGTCATGATATTCAGCATTCCATCTTGACGGCGAGGCTTGTCATGGCAGTGTTTCGGCGACAAACTGCGCACGTATATACAATTCTGCGATGGCGCAGGACAACCAGTTTCCACTGGGCTGGAAATTTTCACCGACGGTGACGATGGACCACGTTTGGGACATGTTTATCATTATGTCACTTCTAGACGACAGTCGACGACGGCAGCAGGCCCTTGTTGTCCAACAGAAGATTGAGCAAGCCCTCCGATTCCAGCATCAAATGGCACTTCGAAATCAGCGTATGCGTGCTTATGGTCAGCCTCTAGCTCGGCGCCACCATTGTGTCAAATGTACCCGCCTGTACAAGGGCCCAAATGACCAATGTTTGTCGTCACATCGTCATTTTTTTATTTGCTCACTCAATGTTTGTTTTACATGCAGATACTTCTGTTGTCCGAGTAATTGTTGTAGATGGGGTTATGATTGGTCGCCCCTGCTGTTCAATATCATATTGCGCGAACTCACTCCGCTCGGTCAACGATCGCTTTTGTCCTACCCACATGACCAACCACGGGCATGAATGTGTCATTCTCGGCTGCTCCAGACAGGCTGTTCACGGCGGAAAGACTTGCAGTGACATAGCTCACAAAGCTGTCGAGGAATTGCACGCCTTGCGAGGCCAGTCCAGGTTTCAGCTCCAAGAACGGTTAGAGCGTTCTCGTGCTGTTCGTAGCCACCCGCTGCTTGTCGAGAGTGACAATGATGGGGCCCATTCAGACGAGGGCGAGCAGGACTTTACTGTGAAGAGCCAAAGAGATAGACGAACACTGCGTGCACAGTTTGGACGCAATCGAACGTGTTGCGAGGTGTTGATTGTCTTACCGTGTGGTCTGATATGGAAACGGACAACAATGTATAAAGCTGAAGCGGTGGGTGCAGTTGCGGTAGGTGTGGCATTGCACCGTGCTTCATCAGACTCATGCTGCATCTAGACATTTATCAAGCAGTCGTTTCCTGATCCGATGACACGACCAACACACATTTTTTATGACAACAACTGCAGCCTTGCGAAGCATGTCAAGGATGACCCTTTCTTCAAGAACATTGGCCTCTCCGTTGACGTGTTTCATTTCAACTGCAAACATTCAGAAGCAGATACATTCTGTCAAGAAAATTGCAACCCAGCAGCATTCCCCGAGCTTACTGGCGACAACGGCACATGGTACTTCAATTCCTCTGCCTGCGAACAGGCAAATGCATGGTTTGGCAAGTACAATCCTATCACGCGGGGCATGAGACCAGAGAAGTATGATTTTTTCTTGGACGAGATGATCACTTGCAGGAATGAGGTCACACTCGAGAAGCTGAAGAAAGGGAAGTGCAAACCCTCTACTTGGCCCTTGCTCGACACTTTTGAGTAGTAGAACATATGATATATAACGAGTTGTAATACACAACAATACAGGGTACAGAATGACGAGTCTGATAAAATTATAGGGTGTGTAATTGCCAGTGCCGTGAACTCTCGCGCTAGCCTTGCGCACGATACTCGCGCATGAAAGCCGACCAAAGGCCACGGTCTGTTCGACGAGCCTCCAGGTACTTGTCACACAATGCCTGCGGGGCCTTGAACCAGCGTGTACGATGCTCGTGGAAGGTCGTCTTCTTGAAGGGGACACCAAAGTAGGATTCAAATGCCTTTTGAACACTGACCCTCCTTGACTTTCTGGCAATCTCACAGCGACGAAAGCCTTCTACCACATTGACAACATGGAAGTCAGCTGGCCACACCTTGACGTCGTCGAGGTCTATAGCGTCTGAAGGTGTGCTGCCGTGTGATGTCCAAGCGGACCCTCGAGTCGGAGGTGGAGTAAGACTTGATGGTGGTGGTTCTAGACGCCTTGGTGAGGGTGACCGTGCAGGTGGGGATGGTGATGGATGCCACGACGAGGGTGACTGTGACAGGTGCAGAGGTGATGGTGATATGTCCCATGTCCAAGTGTCTGGTTTCGAAGCAGCCTGACTCGCCAGTGGAGAAAACACAGGATGAACAATTTCGACAGATTCGTAGCGGACAAGTCGTCGATGTGGAGAAGCAGGGGGATGCACAGGGCTTTGGCTGAGCTTCGTGTTGCTCGTACTTGGTGTGGGCTCGTCCGAACTGGCACGTTCTAGGAGTATCTCCACCTCGAGCTCACTTGACGATGTTGGGAGGACTGGACTCGGAGGGGGCAAGCGCAGGCGAGCTGGGAGAGCTAGCTCAGCTTGCTGTGGCTCAACGAAAGATGGTTCATGGGCACGATTGGAGGTGCGAACACTTGCACGATCGGCATGAAGGTGCTCACGGATGTTCGGAACTATGGGGTCAGCTCGCGATCGTAGGAGTAGGTCAAGGCCAGCACAATCAGTCACGTCCGAGGCTCTCAGGATCAAGGACTCTTCGTGACTCTGAAGTGTGATCATATGGTCCTGGTGGATCCCTCGCCAAGCACGTGCACTCGGATCAAAGAGCCGTAGCTTCGATGGCTGGTAACCATCGTCCAGGTTGCTAGCAGGTAGGTCAAGCTCACAAAGCACCTCGTACGTGAGGTAGAAATATGGCCATTGGAAGCCTGTCTGGAAGACGAAGGATGATGGTGGCTCGCCATTCTGTTATAGGGCCTTCAGCTCACGTTGATGTGCAATTACAGACGACATACCTGGACAAATGCATGTACAGTCACACTGTACTTTGCACGCTGACTGCTCTTGATACGGACAGCATCACGCTGACGCTGTTTCTCGTCCAGGTCGTGTTCCTGCTCTAGCTGTGCAGTAAACAGGGGAGGGAGCTGCAACGAATGCTTAGGTTGGGTGTTTGACTCGGAGGTTGGCTTGCGGGGAGGGATAGCACGATTCTTGCCCTTGGTTTTGCCCTTCCCATTAGACAGACCCACTACTGGAGCAGGAGGAGGAAGATCCTCCTCCTCGTCAGTCTGTGAGAGAAATGAGTTCTCAGCAACACATCACAGCCAAACTACATACCAGATTGTCCGACAGCTCGAGAACTTCGTTGTCAAGTCTGTCTGACTCGTGAGCATCTGGTTCCAGATTGTCGTCGTCAGTGAGAGGTTGGTCCAGTGGTGTGTGGTCTTTGAGACCACAGCCTCCGAGTCCACGACAGTGTCTTGCACAGACCCTCCGCCCACACTTCGCATTAATGCGAATGCCGGGGCAGCCACGAATACGGCACTTGCCCTTACCCCTGCGACGTTTCTTCCGAGGCGGCGACTGCGACTCGCCTTGGGAAAGTTCAGGTGTTTGGAGTGGTGTGCCGTTTTTGCCGTATGCAGTGCGAAAAAAGAAACATCCGCTGGCACCCCCAACACACTGCGCCAATGTTAGCTACGAAAACAGCCAGAAAAACAAGACCAATACTTACACGAACCATCCATTTACCTTGGTTTCCATTGTCGTTAGTCTTGCAAACAAACCATTCGAGGACTCTATGGCAAGTGCCGCATGTGACGATCCACTCTGGGCAAGGTCCGTCGGGCATAATGGCAGGATACAACACAGCTGAACAATTACGAGGGCAGGAACAAAGGGAGACGACGATGAATGGGAAAACGAAGATTTCTGGTGAGCGCGGGAACAAAGGGAGACGACGACGAGCGGGAAACAAAGATTTCTGACGAGGGCGGGAACAAAGAGAGACGACGATGAGCAGGGATCTAGGGGGGTATTTATGCTTCTCAACATAAAGTTAGAGAGGTGGAGAACTCACTGATCTGATTGGCCCGCCGCCAGACATATTCTTGTGCGCATCGTCAATGAATTCTGCGCGCCGTCAGACTCCATTGCCTTTGATCAGGATGCCTGCGCAATGGATTACCGTACAAAATTGCGGGAATTTCCGAATCTTGGAATTCGGCGACCCGTCCATCCGGGACGTCCGGGACGTTCAGAATGTTCAGGACAGGCGGACGGACGGACGACCCGACCTTTCGAGGATTCCAGCTTCTACCATGTTCGAATGACGGGGAAGTTCAAGTTGGAGAGCGGCATACAAATTGGCGACAACTGGGGATAGGATGGGAATGAAAACCATAGCAACACTTGCAAGCGAAATTTCCGAGGAAGCGTAAGGTTAAAGAGGACGATGACCGGATGGCAACTTTGGCAAGAGGAGCCTCAGATGGCCCAATCGGACATCACCACTTGGCAGGAGATTCTCGAGGGTCACCTAGGGTCGCACAGATATTATGTATCTTCACAGTTTGATACATGAGTACTAGGGTAATACCATGTCTGACTCGAAGTCGACATATGCGTTTGAACCGACTCCCCAGTGGACAACAGTAAACCCCAAACCATTTCCGCCATTTCTCACGCTTGGCGAAGACTTGGAAAAGCCTCCACTACCATCCCCTCCTCGGAATGAACAGTTCAATGACAGGTATACTGTTAGCACCCACCTCGTTCCTGCTGCTCGCCCCAGATCAACTCCGGATATCCCATTACCTGTTCTGCCAGAATATACGACGAATACATTGGAATGGAAGAGAAATATTCAACAGCTTGCGACCCAAATTATCGAGCGACAGGAGCGCTTCGTGCAAGGAAATTTGGGCGGAGAAAGAAGTGAGAAGCTCTTGTGGAACTGCGTTAATCGATATGTAACGAGTGTTCCAAATGGGAGGAAGGGATTGACATTGTTCCTCGCCCACGCAAATGGTTTTCCTAAGGAGGTACGGTACTCATTTTCTTAACACGAATATTTACATCCACTGAATGTGATATAGGTATGGGAAACAACTCTGCAATATTTATTATCGTCATCTTCGGCTTCATTGATCGACGAGATATGGTCTTGGGAGGCTGTTCAGCATGGCGATGCTGCATTAGTCAACGAGACAAACCTCAGTGGCATATGTAAGACATTTTGATACAATGCTGCTTTTCATTCAAAGGCTAAGTTGATGCTAGTTGACTGGCGAGACAATGCGCGGGATATCGCACACTTCCTGATGCACTACTTACCCGAAGACGCCTCATTGAAAGTTTTACCAACTCATCTACAACAGCTGCCAGAAACTATCATTGAATACCGGAAGTCCGAAGGGTTTTCTTCCCGTTCGCTGGTTGCTGTTGCACATTCCTTCGGGGGCTGCTCTTCGTGTGTTTTTATTGCCAACCGATTATAATCTGATCCTGTTTTAATCTCAATGCAGAATTATAGCGGCTGCCAACTTTCCCGCACTGTTCTCCTCCATGATTCTCGTGGATCCAGCCATCATTCAGAATGACGTCCTTCCCTCCCACTTTTGGGATAGGTTGTCCACCACCCTGGCCAGGCGCAACCACTGGCCGTCACGGTAAGTTGTGATATTGCGGTAGTGACTTCTAAGTGTTCTAAGTAAAGGGTCATAAGTGAGGAGGCATTACGTTCATTCAAGGCGTCTCCATTCTTTGGAACTTGGCATCCTGATATCCTACGGCTATATGTTACCTATGGCATGTACGAAGATCCAGAAGGTGGTGTGAAGCTGAAGACGTCAGGCCTACACGAGGCTTTGGTGTACGCAGATCTTAAAGGAAAGCACGAAGCATGGGAGCTGCTGGAAAAGATAGACGAAAGAATTGAACTCCGTTGGGTTGTTCCAGGAAAGCCCACAGATAAAGGGTGCGTTGATCCTAGATAGGCTCAGTTTTATTAACCTTCGTTCAGGCTTATGGGCGAACAAGCAACGAGGGTGCGAGTGTGGCGAAGACCTGTTAACTCATCCAATGTGGTGATTTACTCTGCTGGACATCTGGTAAGCCGACATTTTACCTCCACCTGAAAAGCCCGATTGAGCTGGCTATCGTTCAGATTGCACAAGAATCGCCGGAGGAGCTTTGTAAGTGACTTGATATTTTCTGCATTGTCCGGATTGTGATGATGAAATTTTCTAGCCAAAGAAATATCGGCATTTCTGGAGAAAAAATACAGAGTGCGGAATAGAGCATACCTGTGATATTGCGTTTAGTACCCACGCGCTTGGTTTCCAATATGAACGTATCGATGTCGTTCCTGAGGAGGTCATGGTCCCGCACGTTGCAACACAGCTTGTTGCTCCCCAAACTTCAGCGCTTGTACGAGTTCGATTTTACATATGTATCATTGTACATACCTACCTACACTACATTAGACCAAGACATGATGTCCCAGAAACGACGATGGCTTGGTATTCGATGAATCCTTCGAATCTCCTTCATCGAACCCCAATTCGCAGAGGTTTCCGACTACGAGAGTATGCTGATTCGAGATTTCAGACGGACGCCGAGTCAACAGCGACGATCCATCAGACCTACATGCATTGAAGTGATGCGACGATCCATCAGACCTACATGCATTGAAGTGATGCGCCGATTCATGATATACGCAAAATGCTGTAACCTACTTCATCTGTTATGCGTCAATTGGTTGATTTCGCACTGATTATGATCATATATATTATAGACTGATCATCCCCTCTTCAAAAACAACATTCAATATGGTAGAGAAAACACTCTCAAATCGGGTACTGCAGGGACATGTTCGTCATGTAAGCCATTTCCTCAGCACGGTACGTATCTTGTGTAATCTCCTGAGGGATCAGGCCGTCAAGGAAAGTGAGGAGGTTTGGTGAGTTTGAGGTCCATTTCGGCCACGTGAGGTCCCCTACACCATTTGGGTCAAGGTTATTCACAAAGCGAACGAGATATGACGCCATGTCGCCTCCGTTGTAAACGTTGGATAGATCAGATGTGTGGAACTAGCAGAGGAAGAATGCCAAAGTCACAGGATAAGAATGTGCCTGACACTGCAACTCACCGAACCCAGTATAGAAACTGCCTTCAAACGCTTGCTTACTAGACTGTATATTAGGAACTTCTTGAAATATGGCTGGGTCCTACTCACGGAATGCCCAAGTATTCTGCTGATCGGAGCGTTGCTCCAAGAAAAAGCGACGCGGCGCTTGGAATACTGTGTCACCTTGGAATGCTGCGATACGTTTGAATTGCGTAGTTAAGGCATTAAGGGGTCCCGTATTAAACGGGGAGCCTCGAGTAATGTCCTCAGGGTAATACTCCATCAGCTGCTGGACTGCGGGGATCGGAGCGTTGGGGTACCAGTACGTCTGAAGAAACTCTTGAAACTGAGAATCCATGCTGGAAATTGAGCCATGGATGAGCATAACATAGTTAAGCGAAATGATGATAGACTGACGTGATGTTGAGGCTAGATAATGAAAACAGAGTTCCTTCGTCATCACAATCCCCTGTGATAAAAGGGATATTCGCAACAGAGCCTTGCAAGACCAGGTCTTGTGGATTGGCTGTTAGGAACACGCCATCCACTCTAGGCAACCAGACGAATGCCAAGCTCTGCATACAGGATCAGTGTCATGTGGTTACTTTCGGTGACTTTACTAACTTGGTACGAAAATAAATTTGGCGTCTGGTTGACAACGTCCATGAGGGTGTCATACGGAACGTCTCGCAGACAATCCAGCGTGTCCGAGGAGCCCGCGCATCCTGTTTGGTTCACAATGAAGTCGTAGTAACCTTGTCCATGAGTGATATCGCCAACTGGAATCGGCGATCCACTTTCCATGAATGCAGCGCGGAAAAGTTCCTCGGTATCTCCCCCATTGGTAACCATATGAAGTGCAACGGATATGGCGCCAGCGCTTTCGCCCCAGCTGAAGTGATGACATTAGCCTTGTCCTTGTGGGACAAGAGGACACAATGACGTACATAGTGACCTTCGTGGGATCACCACCAAAAGCACTAATATATTGTTGGATCCATCTCATTGCTTGTCGCTCTGTATTTCGATTGAGAACTCGATACGACAAATCCATCGCATTCTACTCACGATCTTGTAGTCCGAGGTTTCCTACTCCCGCTTGTTTGACTTCTTCAGAGGCAAGGAATCCAAAAGCTAATAATCTTTAACCAATCACGATCCTACCTCGATCCAAGACTGCTCACCTGTCAAGCTGAATGACTCTTGGGTCACAAACATCTTGACATGAGATTTGCGTGAAGTCCGACACTCACCGGTAATTCATGCTCACGTACACTGTGGGTAAATTCAGGTCGATGGCCTTATTGACAATGGCAGATCCATCATAACTAAGGAACGATTAAATTGTTTCCGTCGGGGCTTTCTGACAGCGAGAAATTTTACTGACAGACTGGTAGCACCTGTCTCGAAACCCCCTCCGAAGATCCACTAATGGACAGTTGTCATAGTCTGTGATGACAATGATGAGAATTGAACTCACTACCACAACAGGAAAATTTGATTCTGGAGTTGCATCCGCGGGCACGACGACGTTGAGAGTCAGGCCTTATAAAAAGAGTTCAAGGCAGGTCCATTTGTTGCCGCGTCAGACTTACAATCTTCAGCACTTGGAATGACAATGTTGTAGATCGTGTTTGTGAGGTAGTCAAGAGTCTCGGCAGGCAAACCTGGGGGAATAGGCAATGTCAAAGCCTGTTGAGGACAAGCAGGACCATATGCCGTCGCTGAATAGTTTGTATTGTAGGGGGGGATGGGTGTAGGTAGCTGGAACCGGAGACTTCCTATTCTGAATCAAGAACACAAACATCAATCAGCAATTTCAAACTAAGACTGCTCAGCACCTACGGAGGCAGTGCGAAGGGTATTCCAAGCCACTTGTTCACCGATCCTGACGCGACACCTGTGATAGTAGCGTTGTCTAGAGTCACTGTCGGCGCTACATTGTTGTTGAATGGGCTGGTAGCCACTAAACCACAGTAGGTTCCCAACAACACTAAAACAGGCCGCCAAAAGAGCATGACGAACCTCTCGAGAGTATGCGATCCTGAGGTCGACCGCAGGACTCAACCTAAGAACCATGTGATTATATACCTCAGCATTTTCATTTTACCGATCCTCTTGATATGCGATGAAAAGGTCCATTGAAGGGCCACTCGATGTAATTCCGGGGTTCTGGAGTGCCTCATTGTGCCTGTCAGATTTTCCAGGGGGGATGTGCTTGGATATGTCGGTTAGTATACTTCAGGGGAAAATCTGTCAACGGTCATGAAGTGCAAATGCGTTCAGCTGTCAGCGATTATCTTGATGACGGCACTGTTCGATTAGGATTCTTAGTAGTACCTGGAAGCCTAAGCAATGAGGATGAGCGTTTGATTTGATCAGCAGTTGCGAAGGGTGATACGCGACTTACCACGGTGTTCAACATCGACTCTCAAGGCTCGGTTAGTGTTGACATCGGAATAGGGACGATCTTGACGAGTGAAGGCGCTGGAAATAATGTGTCCAGGGCCGAATCCTGGATTATCCTGGATCTGATGAAGAACTTCAAGTTGAAGACTATGCAAGTGGTGTTTGAAGCTTTGAAGCTCTGCCACAACAGTCTGATGAGTGACTCACGTCAACGCCCGGGTCGGAGCCTTGCTCGGAACGTTACTTACAACTAGTTGCCGCCGGCACTGCGGTAACCAAATTATCGTGTCAAATTCTCGGTTAGCCTCAGTGCGGTATGCGATTATGTACCAGTGACAGAAGGTGAGAGACAGGGCGACGAGAGTCGAATTCAAGCCCAGTCGAAGCCACTGGTCAAGTCAGTCCCTGAAGCCTGTAAGGCGATCGTTTACAATGCACAGCACACCCGTCGTTGAAAAGTTGAAGAGTACCCTCACAGGTTAGCACTACTTAAATTTAGTGAAATCGGACTAAGGCTGTCTTCTGAACCGATCTTCCTACATATAAATCTGTAAAGCAAAAGAAGGAAGATGGTCCTAATCGTATCAATATCACTGCGACCAAGTCATGAATTTGCAACGAACACGTCACCTAAAGTCCTAGACCCAGCCGACATCGAGTAAGTTCAAGTTGAATCTCTAAGTCTCTCTTCAATCCCACAGCTCAAGTGCCGACCGCTCAACGCCCCAGCGTTTCAAATGCATGATCATCACCGCAGCCTACTCTTATCTTTGCATGCAGAACACAGCACGAAGTAAGGAGACATCATTGTTATGTTGGCTCATGCGTGTCAACAAATAAATACTCACAAGAACCACCGTAGCCTTCCTCGTAGGCCATGGAAAGACTAGTTCAATGCGGGCCGACGACGGACGAGATAAAATCCACAGCATCCTATTAGGTATGATGGCTCCTCTGTGTTGGGAGCGGAACTTTGCCCCTGAGCAGTGTGTGTTGGTCGTCCCGCTGCAACATGTCCTTGCGGTATTGAACTCTCGCTCATCTTGCTGTTCGTACGTCGCATAGCTGCTTCTGCTTCTGCGTCAGTCTCAGGGGTTATGCCGTATCTCTGCAAAGATATCAAACAGGGACATGTATTGGTGATAACGAACCACTTACGTCTTCATCACGGCAAGGAGCAACATCGACGGGACGCCTGGAGATTCTCACAGGAAATGGGGTGAGATGCAATCGCCGAGGCTGAAGCTGAATTGGTTGAGGCGAATTTGCAGGTCGAGTGCTGGAGCGCAGGAAGCCGAATAAGTTGCGCAGACCAGGCGGAGATGACCTCTCTGCTGAGCGAGGAGGCGTGCGGTTTGTGTGATCACCGAAGAAGTCATTGCCCTGAACAGGCGTCAGGATAGATAGAGCTCAGGATTCATCGTACTGGACTCACATATCTTGTTGAGCCTCTATTGTTGGCTTGCCGTCTAGGCGCAAGAGATATCTTATGAGACAAATGAGCGAATGAACAGGGTATTCACAATTTTATAACTAACTCACGTATTTAGGTCGAGTTGCACGTCCCTGATAAAGAAGTGAGATGAGGCATGAAAGAGAAGACAGGTGACTCGCCTTGAGCTTAGCGTTGGGGTCCGCATTGTCCTGACCGACACACAAGATCGCTTAGACATGAGACTGATGAAAGCGATGTATACACGCACGTCAACACCACGAGCACGCTCGAGTGCTGCTTCCAGACTCCATACATAGATGTTTGCATTGGGTCCCTTGACAGCACTGGCAAAGTATTGTCCATCAGAGGACATGGCAATAACTAAGACTTGGTCGTCGTGCCAAAGTGGGTCTCCAAGTTGCTGATTCGTTTTGAGGTCCCAGATGCGAACTGAGTAGTCAAATGATGCGCTAACAAGATGGCATCCATCGGGAGAGAGACAAACTTTGGATTCAACAAAGTTGGTATGACCCTGAAAAACGACGAGTTCTTTCCCGTCGATCGATTGGGGCCTTAGGAAATTGCCGCATCTGTGCCGCACCCTGCTGCACCCTACTCAACAATGTCTTATATGCCTCTTAAATGCGTCTATGTCGTACGCAACTGTCTGAAATATGATTTAAGAATAAGTAATACAATATTCCAGGTGTTTGTGTAGGGCTAACAGTGGTACTACAGTGATATATGTACTTGATGGGTGCGGCAGTGATGCGGTAGTGGTGCGGCAGTGGTGCGGCAGTGGCTGTGCACTACCGCACCACTGCACCGACACCAAACCACCCTTCTTATCAAGTCCACTTGCAGCACCGTTATGAGCAGCTGCGCGAAACTTGGTGAGAAGACTCAACGACCCCTCACACAGGCTCGCGCCTGTCAGGTTTGGCACCTCGATGCCTCCGCTTATCATTCAACACCTGTCTTTGCTGGTTGCATGCCTTGCCTGACTTCACTGTCACACATCTCCTCGACCACGTTCTGCAGCAACCTGTGCAAACGGATACCGGGGCTTTAAGGTATGTATGTCATATTTGTGTGGCCTTTTGTCCTTGCAAACTGAGTCTCGTTCATTTCAGAGTACAAACTACTGCTACGAGGCCCCAGCCTATGAAGCCTTGTGTATCTTCCTTGGTCGTGGCCGCGGTTTGGTTTTTTTGGTGTGTTTCTCTTTCTTAACTATGTCAGGCTCACTTCCCTCGCTAAAGTTCGGTCCGCACTATTAGTCGAACCATGTCAGACTGATCCGCGATGAAAAGCGATGATGACGCACGTCTACTTCTCCTTCAAATTCCGGTGCGTATGAATCTCGGTCGCCATGATTCCAGTGCTCAGGGAGGCCCTCATAGGGATTCCATCGCTCTTGGTGTGCACCAGCATCTTTGCCCCATTGTTCATTTCCTGCAGCTCCTGCAGCCAACGAGAGCTCGAACATCCGCTGTTCCAGTATGCCAAGACACTCCAAGTCGACGTCTATGTCCATCGAGGTCAGATCATAGCTGAGTTGGAGGTCAAGCCAGGCAGCCTGGAGAATCGCGTTTTCTCGCTCTTCCGGAGTAGGAACTGAGTCCATGCCAGGTCCTGACGAGCGACGTTCAATGAGGATATTTTCGGCTGGCTCCTGGAGTAAGTTTTTCTTGCGCTTCGAAACTACGATAGTGCAAGCATGTGCATATGTAGCACAGTTTAGCCAATTGATAATTCGTTCAGCTGCACCAGGGACATTTCGGTAAATCCAGTTTGCAATATGAGCACAGTCCGTGAGTGACAGATCACCGCAATACGGGACTGTAGTGTGCCTACGACCTGATTTCTCTGACAGGTCAGCGAGATATCCAAGAACTGGGACTGTGTCGCGCATTTTCACAGGATCCGGCTGCTCAAGAATATCTGTAAGGAGTTGAGTGTGAGGAGCCAATGCTTCGTCGATATTAATGCTGTAGGGTATATTCCTAAAGTTTGCAATGACATCCTCATGCTGGGGAACTTCGTGAGCGTGAGTCCATTTCCCGAGCTATGGTTTTTGAATATGTTAAAGTCTGACATATACCCACAAGAGTTACACACCCGGATCATGCGGCGACGTTTACGATCTCCATAGAGAGCATCAACTATATCTCCCTCGCCAACCTCACCTGGAGGTTGAGTGGTACCGAGTTTGAAAGAACAGTGCCTCCACCATTTGACGGTGAACGATGTCCTCAGACTTCCAGACACACGCTGACATGACTTTATCCTGACAGGATACCAGTATTTGCCATGGCGTGCTAGTGCCCCCTTCCCTGGTCTGCATATAATTGATGAGTTCCCGTTCACTATATAAATATCTAGGCAAACTTACAACAAGCGCTTCACCATAGGAATCGTGACGTGGCGGGAAATACTACGACGATATAACATTGTGAATCTCGATGCAACAAATAAAGAAACTCACCGCTCAGGCCGTCTAATTTGCGAGAGTGATACACGGTCACTATATGGCGCACAGTCAGGAGCATCACAGTAAAATGACTGCTTTTTTGTCAAGTTACTTGCCCGACCATCCCTCTGGCAAGCTACGTGAGACCAGCGCTCGCAGTTATCACACTGAATTGCCACTTCGCTCTCTTGCTGGAGATCTCCATGTTCCCGGCTTCCACACCGACAGTAGAACTCGTATTCTTGGGATAGAGGTGGTGGTTTGACCTCCTGGATTTCATCATCATCGCTATCTAGGACATTCAACTGTACCCTCTTTCGTTTCGGTGGTCTCGGCTGTGAAATCGGTGGGGGGGGCAATGAACTTTCCACGGTGGGTTTGTGAGATACATAGTCCACATATTTTGACGAGTTTGTTTGATCCAGGGCCCAGAACCGCTCATCTGACGGAATCGGGAGAATGTCACCGTGCAATTGAATTTCCCGGGGTATTGACAGTTCGCTATCAGTCAACTGGCTGCCATTATGTGCGTTGACAAACTCGATGTTCAACATCTGCTGGGCTAATGCCATCTGGTGTCGTGAAAAGTATCGTTGAGCTTCGGTCCCTCCACGAAGATGGTAAATCACAGCGCAAGTGTTGAATCGAGGGGGTGGGGATATCAGGCGATGTGTGCCTGCGACGTGGGTGGTTGTTTTTGCCTTCCTATCCAATGTCGCATAACCACCAAACTTTATCCCGTCGTAGTCATAGATGCGTTTGTCGGGAGTGGCATAACGAGCAATGAAATGACTGGTGCCTGGACTAAAGAATGGGGGTCCATTGATGCCTGGGCGGCCCATCAAAAGCTGTGTTGCGCCCATGCGGGGGTGCTCCTCGATGACTTGCTGGAAGAGATCCGATTCCACTCTCGTCAGATGCAATCGTCGCGGTGGGCGAAGGTGGTTGTGAAAGCCACGATGAACGAAGCACACACCGCCCGCAAATTTGAAAAGGTCGTAAATTATACCGCAGTGATTATGGACGAGCATGGCACCACACGAGCATGTTGTCTCAAGCTGCCTCGTAATGAGTTTCTTCGTCGTTGTAGGGCGGATGACAATGGCACATGATCCACCCTTGGATTCATGGTTGGTGCATATAATTACACCGTGGCAACGTCTACGACTACGCACACCGTCTTGCCACTGTAACGCATCGAGTGAGCCTTTATGTCGAGGAGCACCTACGCCCTCACAAGCCCAGTGGACGTGGAAATTGTTGACCTCGGGCCGTTTGGCATCTTCATGCGAGTAGGTGCGCACAATGTGGCCGTCAGGCCAGACATCCCACTCGGTATTACCACTGGTAGGTACCTGGGGCTGAGGTTTAGGTGCCCTTGGTTCAGAGACAGCAAAGGTGTGCGTAGCCTTTCGTCCATGTGGCTCGTCAATAGGAAATCGCACATTTCCATGAGGCTGATCTCGCGCCTCATTTGGTGGTGGTTGGTTGGCAAGTGCGAGCTGTGATGGGGCGGGTGGTTTTTGTACAGTCGGAGTGGTGTGAGCATTCGAGGTATAGTGCTGCGACTCGAGCCTTTGATTTTGCGTGTCAAAAACACGGACGGTAACTGAAGTCATCAGATAAAGAATTGGCGTAGTGAAAGAGAAGGGCTGAAAAATGCTTACCATCAACACGAACATGTTCATTGGGAGTATCAGTGAGAGATTGCGCAGTCACAGTTTCTGTGCGATTACAACCGGAGGCTGGAGGCCATGATTCAGGATGCCCGGTCTCTGAGCAGCCATTAGGTCACGCACCTTCCTTGGCACTATGGGTCACACCCGTGGTATTGGGTTGTGTTGTATCACGCTCGCATGGCGTCCCGCGCCGAAATAATTGACGGATAAAACTCTGGAAGATACAATGATGCAATCAGCAGAATTCACGAATTTAAGTCCTTTAACGTACCAAAATCATCCTTACGACTAGGGCTGTATAACAACAGCATTCAGGCAAACATCGAGTCTCGCTCAAGATGCAATGATAAGCGTGATACTGCAAAGATCGATGCCCATCCCTCGATATTAGTGGCTGTGCCATTGAGGGGTGGTGCGACGTGCACATGGTAATATGGAGCTTGTCAAGGGAGACAGGCCGTTGCGAGGTGGGTGCTGTAGACAGTCTGAATGTTAGTGTCTCATATATATACAGTATACTAAGACTCACCTTGATTGGAAGCTGCCGCACCCAGTACCGCATCCGTGCCGCAACATGCTCAAAATCGTTCTCTGAATTCAGACTCTCAAATGCATTAGTGTGAAGTGGATAATTAAGGAGTCGGACGAGAAACACTCCTAGTTCATTTATTTGGTGCACGAGAACAGTGCAGGCCGAAAATAAGTGTAGTACTTATGATTTGGTATGGGTGCGACAGTGGTGCGGTAGGGTGCGGCAAGTTGCGGCAGTGATGCGGCAATTTACCTGAGCCCGATCGATTGCCATTTTCGGATGGTGAAATCATTTGAGGCTGAGAAGATGTATGCCCCATCCTTGGACCAACATAACGATGACACCCACTTGTCATGTCCCTTTATCTCGATAAGCAGCTCGCCATCCTTTGACCACACCCGGATCATGTTGTCCTGACCGCCGCTCGCGAATTGGTCGCCTTGTGGAGAGTATTTGACTGTCCACACCTTTTCATCACCAGTCGTTATCGGTGGTGCAATTTGTCTGCCAGTGGCCGGGTTCCATCGTAGTATGGTGCCGTCCTCCAATGCACCTGCTACCTCCAACCCATTCGGAGACCAATCAAGGCACCTCACACATTTGCCATTATTCCCCTCCCACGGGTTACCGACCACGCTCCCCTCCTTTATATTCCACAGCCGTATCCTGCCATCTGAGCTTCCACACACGACCATTGTTTCATCCACAGACATCATCATTGCGTCTACCAGGTTTCCATCACCATCACAAGCCTTTCCTACTGGCTTTCCATCTCTTGTCCACTGGTGAATTGAACCATCGTCCGAGGTACTCATTATATTGCCGCTGGTGCTCAAGCAGGCAAGGGTGGTGTTGCACCAGTTGTCGCATTTGATGATACACTCTGGCATCAAACTCCCTTCTGTACGTTCTGGCGTTGGCTTCTTCCACGATGTGGTCCGAGTGTTGTGGTTGACGAAGTAGGACCGACCGTGCGGTGTGATGTGCCATTCGCATCCAGAAATGAGCGTCCAGGGATTATCTACGCTCGATCCTGAGTTCCTCGCTCTCGTCGCACTTTCGTTGCTCACCTAGTCGCACTCCTGGTAATGGTCTGTGCATTGCATACATGCTGAGGAGTGCTTCGTCATGATAAAGTGGCACGTCATCATGGGGTCTGGACTCTGTCCACATAGGAGGGAGCGCCTCATTCCCTCCTGCTCGATGTTGAGTCGGTCAATTGGTTTCACAATGTGCTCGCTCACCTTTCCAAAGTGCATCCTGCCGGTGCTGTGCACCATAAGCCGGCGGATTTTCAGAGCGCTTCAGGGGAGCAATAAGTTCTGATGGGTCTGACAGAAGTCCTTGGTCCGTCTCTCTCTGTTTCGCTGCCGTGCTTGAATCGGCCGTTTTGTTCACTGGCAGCATGCCGACGATTGGGGACGTAGTGGAGGTAATGAGCATACCTGCTAGATATGCTGTTTCGCATGCTGTATTCAGGCGCCTTGCTTAGGTGATAACCCGTGCCTCTTAGGCGTCAGTTCTAAAATAGTTCAATCGCTCCCCGCCCTCTACTGATCCCTGTGTTCTCGAGACGCGGAGACCATGTACATTGTACATTGAAAAGTTGACCTTCAAAAAAGGTATACCATCTAATAGACACTGGACACACAAAAATGATTATGGTGAGATCTATATACATCTCCAGCCCACCAAAGTCCGCGATTAATAGAGGATTTGGAAGATATGTCAGTAACATTTCACCTCCCCTCAGTGCTTCTAGCGCCATCCACATTCACTCACGAAGGTTCAAAATTCAAAGATCACTCAAAAAACAATTTAGACAAGGATGTTGGTACCGAACTGTACCATCACATCATGCACCAAGTCCACAGGCTTCGTACATGGGCGCCGCCACTGGCGTCTCATTGCGCTCCTCACTAACCTTGGAGTCTCGGTTTCCATCCAACTCTTTTCTGGTCCTTCAACTGTACCTCGTGGATAGAGCGACCTCAATGGTGCCCTGGTGTCAAGCTGCCCTCCCCATTATATTCTATACCTCAGCCTCGCTCCTCGTACCTATTTCTCAATCACAAGCTACTAGTCCTGCCGATCTTCTTTTCAGCACAGGTTTGCCTCTCCTCCTAACGGGCGTTGGGGCAATCTCAATCGGTGACACTGCAATGCACACGCAGCTACCAGCAAGAATTACAATACATTTCTATACACCGCAAAAGAGAGAACAACAACAGTGTACGTACTGGGATGACAGGTTTTTGCCATACTCTATGTACGTGAGCTTTTGAACCTCGGAGCCAACAACTGACACCTGCAACGTTTACAATAAGAAAGCAGATGCCATAAAAGATATCACTACAGCAGTGATAACGGCCCCGAACGATGCCTGTAGACCGACAGCCGCACTCGTGGTAGTAGCAGCAGCAGCGACGAGTGCTGGGCACTGCGGAGCGACGAGCTGCTCGCCGTATGTAGAGGCAACCCAAAGGAGCACACCATTCGTCCATCCAAATCCAGCTTGAACGGTGTATTCGCCGCCATATCCGGAAGAGTCGACATTGAGGTTGGAAAACTTCTCAAACATCTGCATCGCACGTGAGTGTGTGGCCTGCGGATCAGATTGAGAATGACGAACGTTACCGGTGTTACCAATACTGCCGGTCAGATTTAATTCACTGGCTGGGAGCTGGGGCAACAATCCCGGAATCGAACCGCCAGTGGCATGCCTGACGAAGCCTCAACATCGTTTCATGAGAACAGGCGCACCCCACTTACCAACTGCAGAGCACGCTTGTATAATATCTGTTAGCCATCTCGCGCTGAAGCGTGTCTCTCCACCCTTCGCCCGCAGTGGCATTTCCGCCGTTGACAACAGTACCGTCTAACTTGTTGATGTCTGCGGCTGGACCAGTTGCGGTCGCATTCTGATTGGCTTGTGCTCCGCTGAAAGGTTGACCAGGAAGCTGAGCTTCCGTAAATGCAAGCTGGCCTGCCGGAACGAGATCATATGTAGACTGGCTTGAACTGGGTGTAGGCAGCCCATTGGTGGTAAGATTAGACGGAATAGCCCGAAGTGCTTGCATGATGATGTACTGGTGTGGGGGCCAGGAGTTCGGGGCGTCCCTGTAATACACATGTCAGAGGATCCACGCAGAAAAGGCGTAGAGTTACCATTGCAAGCCAGTCCAATCAACAAAAGTAACCGGAACTGTGCCATTGTACTTGTTCACCACCAAATTGACCGCTGCAAAGTAACCAAATGCGTTGGATTGGGATGCAAGGACTTCGTTTGGGATGATGCCGTTCCAAACAGGATAGAAAGTTGCGGTCGTAAATATGTCATTGCGTGCATTCGAAGTCAGGTTGAAGTCGTAAAAAGCGAGCTTGACCGGGTCCCAGAGGAGGTCGAGGATACCCGCACGAATGCCGGCAGCAACTTGGAGGTGGGTGCTAGACGCAGTCTGGTTGGACGTGCCATAGAGGCCAGCAAGAAGTACTCTTGCCTTGTCTGTTATCCCAGAGTTCCCATCAACCAAAAACGCACAACAAAACAGGTTAACATACACAGAATACTGTTAAGACAAATTGGGATGTTGTTCTTCACATTGAGCGAGCGCAGGCCAGGGTTGCCAAGTTGTGGGATAGCCTCAAAGCGTGAACTGTAATCCCATCCAGTCTCAGCGCCAGATGCGAGCTCGCTGTAAAGGTCGGCAGCCTGAGTATCTGTAAGAGGCGTAGAAAGTGTCGGGTCGTTAACGGTCAGATAATCTAGATATGGGCACGTTGAGAAAGAATGAGATTCGGATTTAGTATGACAACCTACCAGTGAGGTAGGATTCGGGCCGAGGAGCAGTGTTGTTGACCGCATAGTGTGCCATCATGTAAGACTGGTTGGTGTATGGGCTCGTAACCTCGATAGTACGATTATTCGCCCACCAAGCAAGCTCAGCCTTGACAGATATTCAGAATCCATACTACATAGACATAGTAAGCTACTGACCTCAGCCAAAGGAAGAGCACGTTGTAGGATTGAGGTATCACCAGTCACGTTAACATAGTCGTATACCATCTGTGTTGCGACTTAATGCCATGAGCACATCAAAGAATTCCAATCAGAACTCACATGAATAAAGAGAGGTGGTTGTGAGCGGTTCAAGTCTATACCACCAACAATGAGATGCACTGACTCGTTCATAACAGTCTGCTTACAATAGATACGACCACCGTTCGGAATGAAACCGAAGCCCTCGATCTCATCCATGAAATTTTGCAAAGTCGCGTTTACAGTTGAATATAACTCTGACTGAAGCAGACCCTGAATAATCCAATAGCTATCCCAATAATCTGTCAAGAGCCAGGAGATATCATCGATATCTGCCAACACAGAGATGCAGAGAAACACAAACATTGTTCTCTAAAGCGACCACCGGGGATCACGAAAGTATGGTTCAGGGGAATCAACGAGCTCTCGCACGTGCCGCTGGGGTATTCGCTACAAAGAGCAGACTGGTTGGTATTCCGGGCCAGCTGAGTCCAGTAGTCATGGACGGTTTGCGCAAACGCCTTTAACAAGGGGTCCGTAACATTGTTGAGGAACGCTGGAGTAGGATTGAAGTTCGTGAGAGCGGCAGCCTCCAGTTCAAGTCCTTCTCCAAGGAAATCAGTATCAACGAAATTCACGATCTGGCCTTCGGTAACCGTCGACACGTTGAAGTTGCTGAAATCTGCAAGAACTTGCTGGGAAGACTTGCTGGTTGGCTTGTCCACGAACGTCTTCGGGTCAGAGTATACTTGAGCAATGTTAACTGTCTGTAGCAACTGGGCGAGGGTTAGTAATGGGTTGCAAACTTCAAAGCAAATCAGAACGTACTGAACCAGCGCAAAATATTTGACCAATGCACCATCCTTGGGTTGGGGGTAGTGGTGCCTGCGAAGGCAGAGTCGCACCCAGTGATGCGCTAGGACTAGCCACCGCCGTCGAAATGGTCAGCGTTGGCACCGCAGTTCCAAGCGCAGTGGTAGTGGCGGTGGTGGCAGCTGCCAATGCATTATGAAGAAGGCTGACGACGACCGCAGCCTTCAAGCTCGACACCATTATGAGTGCGGGATATGTATGTCCTGGTCACCAGAGGCTCGAGTACCACCAGATGGGTCTTGTAATTACTAGGACCTCTTGAGGCTTGCCACGACACGGCGTAGACTAGTAGTCGCCAGCGCATGAGACCTTTTATAGGCGCTCCGAGTCCATTTGCTACCCTGGCCACAAAAACATTTACAAATCCTGGTAATTGTTGTAATTGTTGATTCAGATATGGATCAGCAGTTGCCTTGGCCGAGGTCTGCTGACTTGGGCGTCTTGCGAACTTATTAATACCAATATCTCCCACTGAGCTTGGAGCCACATGAACAACACGTACGTTCTCATCGCCTTTCTCTATGTTCACCGTCAAACCGACGTGAAACATTGAATTCAGAACAGACCAGGATGACTCTGGTCCGAGTCATCGGCGGGTGATAGATTTCACGAGATGGAGGCTGAATATTGAATTCGTTCGCTGATCCGTGGGCTACGTAGGATGCTGACAACGAGTCACTTGTAACATGGTGGCGTGGAGGCCACATAACGCCGCAATACATAACATAATCAGATAATGGCCCATGGTTCACGCCCATGACATGTAAATTAATCATTCATGATCAATGTCACGCTAGCGGCTAGTATTCGTCCAGCAGATCACCGTACTAACTACCCAGCAGACCCTGAGCGCTCATGAAATACAGAGCGCTTCACCAAATCCACCCACATGGTCAGCACAGAATCAACCACGTGGACGTACCTGAAAATACCTCAACGTAAAACCGATGGCGACAGCAACAACGTCAAGCACGCAGCCGAACGTTGGAACGGATGTCACGTTCACTAATAAAGCTACAAAAAAAGAAGTAGAAAAGAAGTTGAAGAAAATCTTGACAGCCACGGTCGAAAATAACGTTTGACTGCGGTCGGGGGCAGGCGGCTTAGATCGGGTCAACGAGACCGACAACATCAAGGAAAGGGCAAAACTCAACGAGTCGAGGGCTACCAAGGAGTGCCTCAAAAGGAGCGCTCGTTCAACAATGGTACCTTGATGGCGACAGCGAAAATAATCAAGTCTAGGCGCATAACTCATTATTCATTCCCTCGTCAATTAATGGCTCCGACGGGCAAAGCAGGGCTTGAGAACTCAACAGCAAGGTGCCATGTGCAACGTGCGCTTTTTTGAAACATCCCAAAGGTCTTCGCCGAATGATTGATACAGGTACGCTCAGAAAGAAGTATCATTCGTCACAAGAATAGGTCAATGACGTACTTACGGATGCACCGTTGTTAGCCCTTCCGCAGCCTATCACGCTATCGCTATCCCGAATCCTCATCTGGCGCTAGTGTAGGTGCTTCTCGGAGCTCATACACCTCAGCAGACATGATATTAATGCTACAACGCACCTGCCCTCCTGAGCAGAGCAACCCCAGCGTGAAAAAGCCCACCCCTCTGTTCAATCGACCATCAGCTTTTCTGTGTGTAGGCCTTCGCCGTATGCCATGCTCTCGAAGATGATTTGTCTCCAGATGCTGATGGTGAATTCTTGCGCCTCTTCTTCCAAAACCTGTCCAGAGATGGCAAGTCAATAAATCGCACATAGACGAATCATATATAAGGCGCACCGGCTCCAGCCCTTCTATAAGCTTCTGAGGTCCCTTGTGATCCTTGAGGTGCTCCACAACAAACATGACGAGGTCGTCATCCTCTAGTTCCCCAAGATAGTTGACCATTTGGCGTCGTATCAACGGCTCCAACTTGCGGTCAATCATTGGCTATGGCACCTTATTAGCAGGCAGCTTGGACACGAAAAACCCAATCCTTACATCTGAAACACCATCCCACCTGACTTTTGCCTTGTACAACACTTCCTTATTGTGGGGCACAGACTCCTTGATCATCTGGAGGCGTTCTTTGGCCTTCTCGCCCTCGGTGGCGCTGAAGTCAAGTTTGACGAGCGGCACCTTCCGCTTCTTGATGCTCTCTTCCTCCTCCTCTTCCTGCCCAAACACAGCTGGTTTCGTGTCCTTGGGAATAGGTTCTGCCTTGACAGGCGGGGGGTTCAGTGACACGCTAAGCTTGACTGGCGCACCGTCATCCAGAAGCATGCCTGCTTTCCGCTGCTCTTCGGCAAGAGCTTGCATGTCTTCCATCTGGCGTGCGAGGAATTTCTCAGACTCGACACGAAGATTCTCTGTCTCACGTTCTTCATAACTGCGGGACTCGGCATCCGTAGCTTCCTCAGCAGCAAGCCTACGGGAACGAGTCTGTCTCCACCGCGCTCTAACATACACTGTAAGCGGACTTACGGGGCATAAACTTATGAACGCACCTGTCCATGTAAAACTGTTCATCACTTTCGTCGTCATCCCAAACATCCAGACGACCTTGCATCTCGACACGATCACGTTCTTCTGCCTCTTTGATGGCAGTCTGACGGGCTATCGAACGTTCTAGAGCTGCTATGCGGGTGCGCTCTCGAGGCTCGTAGCGACGTTCGCGCTGAATCGTAAAGGTTAGCATGACGATTCTGCATCATACAAAATAGCTAGTGTGACTCACGTCACGGAAAGAAACCTCCTCGTCTCGTCGTCTGGCTTCCTTGCGGTCCTTTTCAAGTTCCTCATCTGTCTTTGCGCTCTTGCCTGGTATATTCCGATCATCAGACCCCATTGCAGCAGCGCCATCCTCAGCTTTTACAAACCCCACAGGTTTGTTGTATCCTTGAGCATCCTTTCCGCGGGGAGCAGATTTACCAGGAGCACCTTGTGGTGACTGTGGGGTTTGTGGTTTTCCCCACTCGCGGACTTTGGGTCCGCTCGGGGTAGGCGCAAGCTGAGGCATGGCGTCACGAACGTCACGCAACTTTTCCCGCTCCCGCTTTGCGGCTCGTTCACGAAACTGGGCAATTTCAGATATGACAAGACCACGCTGCGTCTCAGGAAGATCTGCTTCTTGAAGATCGTGAAGATGTGGGGGAATGACGTATTTTTCTTTGTCGAGAAGACCGCTGTTGGCTGCTTCTTGTGATTGCTGATTGATCTCGGCTACTAATTCATCAACCTTTATTTTTGCTTGTTGCACCATTACTTCGTCAGCCTAAGCGCGTCGTTCGTTAACTCATCGACTGTCAGGTAAGGAGAGTAGGGAACACATACGTCGGTTTTCATTTTTTGTGCAGAGTAGGCATCGAGAAAAAGCTTAGTCTTTTCATCGGCTTTGATCTGGACATTCGACGTAGGCTTGAAGGGAGAAATAGACGAAAAGCACGACGCACCAGCAATTTCTTGTTCGCGCACCCATCCTCGAGTGCCGGCAACTCAACACCCTGCAAAAGAGCAAGACATCGTAAGGCAGAGTCAGGATCTTCGAACTCAGCAAATCCAAAACCCTGCGGCTTGTTCGCTGGGGTGATGAGGCGTTTAAAGGACTTGACGGGGCCACACGCCTGGTAAGCCGGTGTAAGAAATTGACATGAGATGGATTGGATAATTGGTTCTTACCACAAGAAGTCTGTTCAGAAAGCTATCGGTGACACCACCTGATATTGAACCGACGAATAGGGAGGTGAGCTTCTGTGCTTGAGGAGGGACAAATCCCTGATGAAGCATTTGTTGCTGCTGTGCGAGAGCCGACATTGAGGGCCCCTGGCCGTATGATGGCAAAGGTGGACGCAGACCAAGTCCTAACCGATTTGGAACGGGTTGCATTTTGATTGAGAATATATCTTCAAAGTAACAGGCAATTGACTCTGTGAAAGAATCAGAGAAGACTCTCAATAAAAAAATAAAATAAAAACATACAAATGAGATACTGTAAGCGTTGATATAAACAGTCAGAACAGCGATGCAAAGCAGACAGTGGAAGGCAAGCTTGCGTATGGTGGATGGCTCACTGGTGGTAAGTAAGCGCTCGTCGTGGTTCGCGTGCAAGGGCAGCACCCGACATTTCCCACGCTCCTTCATCGTTTTCCAAATAGTCCTCCTGCCTGCGGCAGCTCACGAACACAATGGTCCTCTTCTTCACATCCACTGGTAAGTTTTTCATTCATATTTTGCAGTCATGCTTATTTCTGGCAAAGCGGCCGATCCGCCAGCAATAGTTTACATGGGCAAGGACAAAGTCGAGAGTGAGCCCAGCAACATCCATCACACGATACAACTGAAGTTCACCATCTTAGATCAGACGAAGATCTGATTAAATATGCTTGGCCTCAGGATGTCTGGTTCCACGTCGACAAATTGTCTTCAGCGCATGTCTATCTTCGCATGCCACCAACCATGACCTGGGACAATATTCCTCAGGCGCTTTTGACCGATTGTGCGCAGCTAGTAAAAGCTAATTCGATCGAAGGTTCGTGAGCACATTCAGATCATTAATCGCCTGGTGATCGACCTTGGACGTATAGGAAATAAGAAAGACAACCTCACCATTATTTATACTCTGGGAAGTAACCTCAAGGTGGGCCTACCACAATCCTCGCACTGGGTGCCCACCTGAAGATGTTCATACCAGAAATCCGGAGACATGGCTGTCGGTCAGGTGTCATTTCACAGTGACAAACAAGTGCGTGCGTCCTCCATCTCTTGATCTTCGTCGCCGACTGAATATCGTTGATCTGCAGGTCAAAAGAGGTTTTCAAAATCCTTATCCACCCTTTTTTGTTGCTAATACCCCCTCAGTTCACATCCAAAAGAGAGAAAATATGATCGTAAACCGCCTCAACAAGACAAAAGTCGAGAAGGTCGTAGATCATGAGCAAGAGCGCGTAGACCGCATCAAGAAAGAGAACGCAGAGAAGAGAGCTACAGCTGCTCAAAACGTTCGCTTTACATTTACTCGCCCTTAAATCAAGCGCTAATCTTAGCATGCAGAAAAAAGCTGAAGCAGAGCTGACCAAGGCTAGAGAAGCGGAGAAGGCTGCCCGCTCGTACGATTTATTATTCCAAGTCGAGGAGGATCCTGATGTACCGAAGCTTACCGGAAAAGCTATCGAAGAGGACTTCATGTGATCGTATAAACCTGATTCATGTGACTGTCAATGATTTTTTGCTCTCTGTCTTGAGTCCGTCTTATACCCGTATGGACTTGTATCAGGCAAATTGCCTCCTGTAATATCGGTAATCGGATAGTTTTGAGTCCTCCTTTCCTTCCGGCGTCTGCCTAGATTCAACCATAAAAACTATGACCATACGTTTTGCCGCAGCCACGATCCATACAACAGGGGAGGACGTAGACGATCAATCAGTATCGTCGGAATCAGACTCAGAATACGCCGAGGAAGACAACAACTTCGACGATTGGGTATCGGATCAAGCGCAAAATCAGTCTTGCCGGTCACTCTTCGAGGACAAGGCTTTTCCTTCGGCTGCTGCTGCTCGTGCGCACGATAAGGATGTCCATAACTTTGACTTGCGCACCATAAGCGCGAAACTGGGTTAGTGTCTACTTGTCGTGAATTTTCAATCAGTGACGATCGAGCCTAGAACTGGACCTTCACCAGCGCATACGGGTAATCAACTTCATCAGAAAACATGTGCGGTTTTTATTCGACCCCTCACGCGTCGCGTATTGACAGACAGCTTCAGGCACCCACGCCAGAGGACATCGGAAACCTAACAGGGGCGGAGTCTTTCTTCTCTTCAGACGAGTACCTGATCCCACAGATTGAAGATGATCCGCTACTCCGTGCGTATCCTTATATCACCTTGGTCTTTCATACGATGCTCAATCATCCAAAGAACTGGAAATGGACGACTGGTCTGATGATGAAGACCTCTCCACCACCGACCAACCCCCAGCACCACCCGCTGATCTACCGAAAGCGCTCCGGCAGATGCAACTCCTTGAAAGGAAGCTCGCACAGGCTCATCGGGACATGGCGGAATACCGCTCCCTCGTCGGTCAACAGTTTGACGCGGGGCGTTTCGCAGAGATCATCAACGAACCGGGTCCTTCATCAGCAGGACCGTCCCCGCGAGATGATGACACCCATTATTTCTCCAGCTATTGCGAAAACGGTGCGTGATTTTCGCAATGCTCGCGTTGAGAGACCTCATATGTTGTAAAAAGACATCCACGCTGTTATGATCCAGGACAAAGTCCGCACTTCTACCTACGCGTCGTTCATCCTCACAAACCCCATTCTATTCCGCGATGCTGTCGTACTCGATGTCGGATGTGGCACCGGAATCCTTTCCCTCCTTGCCGCTAAGTCAGGGGCAAAGCATGTTTACGCAGTCGATGCAAGCGACATTGCTGAGAAGGCTGAACAGATCGTTAGAGCCAACGGGCTAGAAAACGTCATCACGTAAGAACCATCTCCCAATTTTTCACGTCCGCTTCGCATGATTGAACACGGAAGTGTAGCGTCATTCGCGGAAAAATCGAAGAGATCTCCCTTCCAGATGATGTCGAGCACGTCGATATCATCATCTCCGAATGGATGGGCTACGCGTTGCTCTACGAGTCCATGCTCGACTCTGTGCTGCAAGCACGCGACAGATTCTTGAAACCAGAAGGAGGCGTGATGGCTCCGAGCCAGTGCAGGATCATGTTCGGGCTCTGTGAAGGTAGTGAAATCTTGAAGGATCGCGTAGGATTCTGGAGTGATGTTTACGGTGCGTATTTGTTAATCACATCGTATTGCATGATTGATAAGTACTCCACAGGTTTTGATTTATCTGTCATGGCAAACGATGTTTACGAGGAAGCCATCGTTGACGTCGTCGGGCCCGAATCAATGGCAAGCGAACCTTTTCTCCTCAAGGACCTCCACCTAAAAGACATCACAACCCGTCAACTCGACTTTACTTCCCAATTCACCCTCGTCTCAACTACCCCAAAACGCACCAAAATACACGCATTCGTGTTGTACTTTGACACGTTCTTCACGACGACGGGCGAACCAGTTCCTCCTGAAGTGCCCGTCAGAGTGACGAAAGAGGGTGATGTAACGCTCGCTGAGGTATGGCCTGTGGGCGGGAAACCACCCCCGCAGCGCCGTGCAAGTGTGGGTCCTGGTCTCAAGCAAAAGGAGGATAAAAGAGTGACGAGCTTCAGCACTGGGCCCCGTAGCCAGCCGACGCATTGGAAACAAACCATCTTCCTATTAAGGGATCCAATCCATGCAGAAGACGGTATGTTGCACATTTCCACTTGGCATCCGTCTCAGACTTAATGAATGCAGGCACCATCGTGACGGGGTCGTTCTACTGCAAGAAAAGCGCTACTAACTCTCGCGAACTTGATGTGGAGATCCATTATTCTGTAAGACAGAATGCTGAGACAACGGCAGTTGGAGAGACTGTGGTTCAGATATATAAAGTGCGGTGATATTTGTTGCTGGCTATAAAATATTGTACACAGGTTGGTGTCGTGTCCTAGATAATCCCAAGTTCGTTGTAGTCTGCGCGTGTTTGGTTCAGTGGGTCCGACAGCATCATGAAGATGTGTAGAGCACACCATGCCAGAACGAAAGATACCATCTTTTGCACTGGCATGGTGTGGTTTGAAGGCTCTGCGAGTTCGAGGGTTGCTCGCATCCATAGCCAGTACTATGGCTCACGCGCAGTACTTCTAGGTATCCATATACAGCCGTAGTCACGCCATAGTTTATTGAATTGGTGTGTTGCATCATGATTTATCTGATTTATAATTAGCTGTGCTTTACCCGAGAACTCATTCCGAGTACCAACTTGATCCATATCGTTCACACGTTGCACGTCTGGACTTCTGAAACGCGTGTCCTGGCTTGAAAAAGCGAGCTTCAATCAGCTTTCTTTTGCCTTCAACTACATAGTTCACTTTTCTTTCCTAATGATTGTCGCCCGCCCGCCTCTTCAGTCTTCGTCCGACTCTGCGAGTGCCGCAGAATCATGACCCTTTAAGACCGCCATCCCATTTAAAGCCTCTCTATCAGATACTACCATGAATCGGGGATTCTTGAAATCCAAAAAGGCCAAACGATGCATCGCAAAGGCCGTAGATTCGGAAACTACCAAGGAGGCACCACACAAGAAATCCCAAGACAAGGGCAAAATAGGAGAGCGGTATGTCGCTATAATTGATGCCATCGCACGCTATAGTAGATCCATCTTGTTGCAGCCTAGATGCAGCAATACGCGTCGAACACACTAATTTCAGTACGATCGACCTCCATGAGCTTTCCAAGTCTATCCAAGAACAAGCCGATAACGACACGCGTTGTGTTGCATATGGCAAGAATCGCATTATCTTCCTCTTCTGGTTTCGTGATCTCAAAGGACAAGCCATCACTGAGCCATCTACATTGCGGGGCAAGGAGGCTGGCAACGGAATTGATTTGTGGGGCGCGACACTCTACGACTTCTACCGTGATCGACGTCTCCCAAATACGCCAAATTATTTCACCAACTCCACAGGAAGCAAACTTGCGAAATGGATGCGCCAGGCTGGTGAGCTCATAGCTCAGGATGAGCTCTGTTTGGCCGACAAGGAGGAGGATCCCAAAGAGATACCAGTATGCGACACCAGGGAACTCATAGCGTGCTATGATGCACGCATCAGAATGGGCATATACGATCAGTATTCCCGTCGAAAAGAGATTAGAGAGAAGGCAAAATCAGGCTGGTCGGGTTCCAGCTACATAGTAGAAATCGAAGAACTTACCTTTCAAAAGTGCTACGACTGACTAGGCAGCATCATCATGAAACGTTCCAAATCAACTCTCATTTCCTCCCAGTGATCAATCGACAACGACTTCACCACTGGAAAGAGTAACAGAACACCTTTTATCTGGGCCAAGGGCAGTTTGTGTAGCTCCTCAACATGTACAGTCATCAGCTTGCGCGACCAGATCCAGAGAACTCGCCCGCCTTCGCTTCGGAAGCTTTGGACTTATTTCTGGAGTTGATCATGATCATGACGGGAGGTCATGTATATCTTACAAAGTGTATGGTACTTCACTGTTGTCCGTATCACAGAACATCGTTCTGCTAATTCCATGGTCGCTTGGCGCTTACTAATATCCAGTGAGTAATGCCGTTTCAAATATTGTTCCACCTTCTTGGCAGCTTCAACGACAGCAGTTGCGATACAGTCCCAATCGAGCCGCTGACCATCCTGGTGTACCCGATCATATGAACACGCTCTGGCGAACTTCCGAACAGCATCGGGTAAAGTAGAGGAATGCGACTTTTGTCGCCAGCATGAGGTCCATTATGTACAAAAAGATGCACGTCGCGCCGGTCGCAGACCTGAGCGCTTCGTCTACACAGCACTGCAGCTGTGAGACGAACACGAGGTTGATACATGGGACGCACCTAATTGAGAAAAGACGGCTTGAACGAACGAGCGCCCAACTTCCTCTTCTCCCAACTAAACATCCATTGATCGCTGGCCCGGTGATTTGAATACTGTGTTCGTTTGAACGGTGCTTCTCGTGAGTGATACTGTGGGCTCTTCTTCAGATTAAGGCTAATTACTTGCTTACTACAGCGACTTCGACCCGTACACACCAGGATCTCTTGCGCATTCTCGAATAAAGGTGCAGCAAGTCCTGCATATACAGTGCCGAAGCTGTCTTCTAGGGTGAGGACTAGATTCCTGTAAGTAGGTTGTCTCGTGAGCAATGGTTTGTGTTTCTGACAAGCGCTAACGTGAAAGAAGTAGGCCCCTGGACTCACCAGCAATCATTGCCGTTGAGCCGGTCTGGTTCGATCTCGGCAGACTTCTCTCACATACATAGTCCCCGATCTGCAGTATGGAATCCCCAGCGCCGACAATTACATCGTCCACCAGCGAGGCGCCAGCAATCACGCCACTCCGGACGATGCGAGGTCATACCGACTGTGTAAAAGGTGTTGTCCATCTGCCCAGCGGACGACGCATAATCACGTGCTCGGTAGACCGCTCACTCCGACTATGGGACCTAGAGAGCGGCACACAGATAGGCGAGGACTGGCGAGATGAAAATAACGGAGAAGTGTGGTCTATGTCGTTGTCCCCAAACGGCGAGACAGTTGCAAGCGGAAACAGTGCGACAGTGATTTTGTGGGATGTCGAGACGAGAAAGGTCATCGCCAAATGGACGGGACACACCCATCTTGTGTGTGCATTGTGCTGGAGTGCAGATAGTAAGCGAGTAGCGAGTGGATCCTGGGATGGGACAGCAAGAGTATGGGATGTCAAGAGCGGTGAAACTGTCCTGACAATCACAACCGGACACAAGTGGGTCAACGCGGTGGTGTACTCGCCTGATAACGAACACATCGCGACAGGCGGAGACGAAGAGAGCGCGGTAAAAATCTGGGATAGCAAGGCGGGCAAGCTCATCACCACACTCAAACAGGATTATCCAGTTTGGAGGTTGGCATGGACGTCGGACGGAAAAAAGCTAATCTCCGGGTCATATGGCCCGATTAGGATATTCGACACAGCCACTTGGCAGCACATTGCCATTTTTGATGTTCACATAGGAAGTGTCAACGCCTTATCCTTGTCTGCGAACAACCGCTTCCTTGCGAGAGCATTTTCATTTGATAAAACAGTGGGTCTATGGAATCTCGACACGAATCTCCCGATCGGACCACCCCTCCAGTATGAAGACCTTTTGGCCTCCGCAGCTTTTTCCGCTGATGGAAAAACGCTAGTTACTGGTTGCCAAGGCGGAAATGTGTGCGCATGGGACATTCACGCCATCCTCAAAGAAGCTGGCCTTGAAGACCTACTGCCTGTTCCTGATGTTAGTCCAAATCTCATGGCTCTTTGGTAAAGATGATGCTAATATCTTTTTTGCAGGTCATAGAGTTGATAGACGTACGTGGTATTTTTCTTGACCTTTTCGATCACTGTAACATCGGTATTCTAGACGGATGCCACTCAGGGCAAGGACGATGAACTACCACCAGACTTTTTTGATGGTGTGCGAGACGGTGTTCACGTGTGTCGTCAGCGATTCTAAATCAGTTCTTATTCTGACCTCTTGATCTCAGTCTTCCACAGCATACAGTAACCAATACCGTTCCTCTGCCCACCACCGCCCTATCACACGCTCTTCGGGGAATATGCTCCTCAGAGGCCTTTTAACGTTCTTTCGCCGCTCTCCCTCCAACATTAATCAAGCAACCGAACTTCAGCAACGTCCAAGGCGGTCTATCTTCTCTCATAGCAGCCCTCGTGTCGTCGAGGTTGCTGCGGTGCGGGACAAACAAGTACGTCTTTGTTCGGTGCGTTTCCGACAACTGAGGCTTGATTATTTCTGCGTAGGCGCTATATGTTGCTCCGCCGCAGGCAAAAAAAACACAGGCTCAACCACAAGGCCAAGCTCAGTCGTCGTCATCGCAATCTCAGCCTGCCGCCGCCTCGACTTCCACGGCACCTCCTGCTCCAGCCCCCACTCCTGCTCCTGATACAACTACTGCAATACCAGTTGCAGCAACCGTGAGAACAAACATCCTCCGGTTCTTGGCTCGTCTCGTGCTCTTTCTTTGTTGCGCATACCCCCCACAAGCTGATGGACATTGATGCAGATGAACCATATGAACCACTATATCATCGTTCCTTCCAGTTCTTTAGGGCGGTTATCTCATTTTCGCTGTTTTTCGCTAGTTTTCAACAAGCGCGCATAAATATATTTACATACAACCTGCGCGGGGATCATACATCACGTATCTCCTTCTGCCGCTACTATGTGAACGGCCGATCTCAAGCAAGAGCTTCCGCTTGATAGACTTTGGCAGATCGAAGATGTTGGACAATCCAGTGAGCAAGGCGAGCGAGGAAGACACAGCTTTGCGCTTGTTTTACTTGTTTCATCACGAAGTAATGAAAAAAAAAGTAGAAGTGTTCTTTTCTTGTCGCTCTACTGCTTTGTAATAGCAACTCTCATCAATCGTCTGCGCAAATCCAATATTTAATTTTGACGTAGATCACAAAATGATGAAGAGAACCAGATCAGTCGACGTCGTTCCCGATCACACTTGCTCGCCTATGCTTGTGACCAGCCTTGCCAGGTGTCACAAGTGTGACCAGCCTTGCCAGGTGTCACAAGTGTGACCTGGATTTTCACGTTGTCCTTAATGTTCATCAAGCGTTCATTGAAAGCAACTTCGAAGTACTGTCGGCGATTCGGTCGTGGCCTTGAAATGTCTGAACAATCATGTGCCCTGGCTTAAAATTTAGCGGGCCTCAATCATCAGGCAGCACGTCAGTACTCTAGGCACTTGGTATGTTGACCCTCCCTTTTTAAGTCTTGGGAATACCGTGACACGACTGACTGCGACCCTTTGGACAGGTTGCATGCCGCATAGCATATGTGCCGGAGTATGTAGCACTGCGATACTATAAACTGAACAAGATTCACAGCCCTGCAGGACCGATGGGAATTGCGGCACTGATACAACCCATGATCATTACACCTACTCTGAGCACTGCGAACACAGATTGATAATGATTTTACTTTGTAAAGGAAATATCACGCTAGGCTCGTGGCTGATTGGATGCTCGTGCAGAATCGCAGGAACTTGAGCAAGACAAGTACGATAACACGGAGCGTTTTGGGTCCAGGAGGTGGAGGCGAATGACCTGGTGCCTTGTCCCTGGAGCGCCCAATGAGACAAGATGCAGGGCAATGCTGTGAAACGGTAAATATTATAAAACGCCCAGTATACGTACCTCTCCAGCTTTGCCATTCTCGACACCAATCAAACGTCCCAAGAATGGCGGGAGAAGCAGCGCAGCCCATCGATCCAAGCACCACACCCGTTCGAGCGTTTGTTGATCATGAAGAATTTGTACGGGCAGTCGCGGTGTTCCCCGACAGACCACGTATGGTAACGGGCTTACACAATGGGACGCTTCGCCTGTGGGACTTGCAAGAAGGCATTGTGTTGAAGACGATGAAGGGGCACCGTGGGTTGGTGCAAGCAGTGGCAGTATCACGAGATGGGCAATCGATAGCAAGTGGTGATAGGGAAGGAGAGCTCATTGCCTGGGGTGGGAACGCCGGTGAATCTACCACCAAAACCATTAAAACCCACTCTGGTCGCATTCGCTCGCTGGACTTTTCCCCAGATGGCACAGTTCTCGCGACTGGATCATCAGACAAAACAACGAAGCTGTGGGCCACAGAAACCTGGCAGCCGCAAGGAAATCCAATAGAATGTGGTACAGAAGTCTGGTGCGTTCGGTATTCGCCATCTGGCGAAAATATTGCCATTGCGACGTCCCGAAACATACAAGTATGGAACCTGGGCACGAGGGAATGCATTGCAAAATTGGGGGGTCACGCATCCCACTTCTCACTCGCGTGGACACCCAATGGTACACGCCTTTTTTCAGGGGGCTCTATTTTCGATCCCACTATACGAGAGTGGGATGCTTCAACCTGGAAGCAGATCGGTGACTCCTGGAAGGGCCATACCAGAGACATCAACGCCATCGCTGTAAACTCAGCCGGCACCCTCATTGCTTCTGCATCTGATGATAACCAAGTTCGCCTCTGGCAGCTCTCGCATCGACAAATCATCGTCATTTTCAACCATTCTAACCCAGTGTACCTTGTCTCCTTCTCCACGGATGGCAAACACATTCTAAGTGGAGGTAATGATAAGAAGATCTCGGAGTGGGCAGTCCCCGAGGAGGCATTGCCTGAGGACGCTCCTGGTGAGGAACAGGCGTCGATCACAGTAAGTTCTCATCGATTCCCCGTCCCTTTATTTATCTCATTTCGCATTCAGACTAGCGCATCCAACACTACGACTGTATGCCTCATTTCTATCTCCCAAATTCCCTTACTCATGTTCCTGCATTGTCACCCGATGACTATCTTCTTCATTTATGTACTATAATGGCCACCCAGGTGGAGATACCCGGCCAAGTTGAAGATGACAGCACGCAAGATACACCACCTGGTTTCTTTGGAGGATCTTATGATGTGCGTACACCAGCATATCCTACATTTCGCATTCACATCATTCGCTGCAGTATCCTCATTCTTTCTCGCCACGAACCCAGCAGAGCCCAGGACTCCTCAAGAGACTCTTCGCTATCGCTAGGAGCCCTCGCTCAGCTCTCCCACGACCACAACCCAGGACTGGTCCAGCGACCGAACTCGAGCAGCGTCCAAGGTCGAGTATCTTCCCTCATCGAGGTCCTCGCGTTGTCGAAGTTGCTGCAGTACGGGACAAACAGGTACGCTTTCTCGAGGTTCGTTTACAATCACCGAAGTTTAATGATTTCCGTGCAGGCACTGTTTGTTGCTCGTCGGCCAGAACGAGACAAGGCAAAACCAGCACAGCAGCCACACCATCCAGCCCAGTCGACATCGCATACTCGGCCGACTGCTGCATCGATATCCACAACGCCTACTACACCTGCTGCTACCCCGACGGGTGCAGCAGGCGCTACGTCTCGTCCCACTGTCATCATCGAGAACCCCCCATGGTGGATTCGTTTTCTGGTCATTGTGTGCTGCGCATCTACTCACCACGCCGTGAATCAATCATAGAGATACTGCACCGGGAGAGTTATTTTATCTTTGCCCTTAGTTACGCCATTGTATGTCTCTTGCGCACAATTAAGTTATGTCCGTTATCAGGATATCCAGATCTAAACCTGCTGACAGGATTTCGAGCCCTAGTTTAGGTTTTGCCCACATAACACGGCTGGTTCGCAAAAGCGGGTGCATACCTCTGCTCAGCACACTGACAAATATTTTTGAACGTCGTCCCAGAGGAGAACTTGTTTACAGCTTCGGAAACCTACAGTAACGCTCCCGCAAGTGGGTCGGCCTTCGACCTTCGGGCGATGACGACGATACTAAAGATATTCGCCGTCCTATTGCGCTCAGCGAGGAAAACCTTTCAATGACCTGCGAACACCAGAACTGGACGGCCCCGGGGCAACATGAACATAACACAACACGATTCATTCAAACTCAAGATGTGTGTACATAAGGTTTGTTACGCCATTCGCCAGTCATTCTTTCACAAGCTACAGCTTCGCTTAGTTGTCATCCAAGAGCCAAAGCTGGCTGTTGTCACTGTTGTCTGGGACAGCGAGCTTGATCTACAAAACGCGAACCGTGAGATATTCTGTCCGGCGGCACACAATGAGCTTGAAGCAATACCTGAGTGAGGTTGTTGCCGCTGCTGAGGGCGCAAACCAATTCTCCCTCTTGGCCTTGGATCCTGTGCGTACGTGAGTGCGTGATTACATCTCTCGGTCGCATCGCTCACATGTATTGTCCCATGTCGTTCTGTTTGACAAGGGTCCACTTCGTGGCGATGGTGCTGCCGAAGACGCCTTGGCCCTGCAAATTTGAAGACGCGTCAAACAGTATATCACAGGAGGAAGCCTGCATTTTTTTACCAGCCTCTCTGGCTCGGCCCTCATGTAGGTTCCGGTTCCGTTGTTGGCCAATCTGACGGTAATATTGTTGCCTTCCTCGTCCTGATCGAGGATTTGCACATCCCACTACGCTGACGGTGAGCCTGCGCACTCTGAGTCAAGGAATGAATACTAACGCGCTGGTGCGGGTTTGTGGTGGTGGCATTTTCATAGCCGACGATAGGAGTGCCTTCGGCGCTGCTGCCGTACTGCAGGTCAACGACCTGGTTGGAGTACAGGACGTTAAAGATCTTGCGAGTGCCGCTCTGCATGGTAAGATGGGTTGTGAGCTGAAGTAAGTGGGACTTGAAAGTTGTAGGTTGGTTTGATGAAGAGGTGACCGCCAAACACGACAGCCTTTATATGCTGAGGAAAGGCTGTTAGTCAGACTGAGTCAAGCATGGCAGTTTACGCACTGATTGGACGGATAGCAATGTGCCGGGCTTAGCCTACTGGACACAACCAGCCCGAGAACGAGGATCACAGTTGTGTCTGGACAGTATCTTGCGTGCCGTCATCTTGAAGCATCTTGACTGGGGATCTCCACCTGGGTGGCCGTTAGAGCAAAATAAGCCTACAGACGATCATCGGGCGGCAATGCGAGAAATCCGCCGTACGTTACAATCTCCGCACTTCCGTACCCATCACGATTCACCAGAGCAAGCATCAGATATTGAACGTCCTGAATGTAGAGATACGACAAGCAGATGTGCGTGCGTTCCAGTAATATTAATGGGGTACACGCGTTCTCACTCGAGCGTGGTTCAAAGTTAGCGTTGACTTGTGCTGCGCTGCGCTGTGGTCACGATCGCGAAGTTCTGTCTAATCTGGAACTTGGACGATCATTTCAACTCCCTCTTTCCTCCCCAACTGATTTCATTATGATATGGGGATGTCCGTTTATGGTAGGCTTCTTACACATTTTACCTGCTTCTCACTACACCTTCGTCGGTGCATCAGTTGCTGCCAGTGATAGTTCGGGTTTGTGCGCAAGTATGGGTTCTGAAGTTACTGATAACGTGCTTAATTCAATAGATAAATCCACTCTAACACATGAATGGTGTACATAGTACTCGATTCTGACACTCCAACAGTCAGGTGTGCTGTTCATGTGAGCACGGGTTGTGAACAAGGTGGCAGAAATTGACAAACTCCTACCCGATCCAGTCAGCATTAAAAAAACCACATGATGTGTCAACGATTCCCGCAAGTCGACGTCGCCGATAACGGCCCCAGCGTCTCATGTTGACCGCTCTAAGTAAGTCGGCTTTGTCTCTGTGCATATAAATACCACCCTAAAGACATGATGGAACGCCAGGTCGTACCCAACCTTTTTCTACTCTCTGATCTACCCCAACCATGAGCACTGCCGAATACCACTATCCTGTGATTGGCCGCAAGGGCACTGGATGTACATTAGATCGCTTACCTATCGAGACCCTGCAAAAGGATCATCCTCACCAATTTGCATTGTTCATCCTTGCCTATACTGCAATTCAGCAGCGCCCTGATGCTCCCCAAGTTATCGAAGAGCCTGCCGCCACCTTCACAGAAATTGCCTCAATTCACGGAAGGCCCTTCATTGAATGGGCTGGTGACCGCAACAAGGACACCTCAACTGACTTTGACGACGCTGACAGGACTACTGCCAGGTTCGGAGGTATGTTGGTCGTTTCCATTGTAGTTCCCCACAGCCAGCCTGAAAATACTGCTTGTCACAGGTTATTGCACGTAAGCTGGTGTCCATGTTCTCGCTCTGTTGATTTTGAAACCTTTGTTCAGCCATGGTGCCGTTGTTTTTCCTACTTGGCACCGCCCATATGTCATGCTTATTGAGGTACGCTCAACAGATGACGATCGTGACTCACATGTCGCTCAATTTCTTTTGTAGCAATCCATCGGAAATATCGCCGAACAATTGGCCCACGATATCGAAGCTAAAAACCCGCGCGAAGGTGGAGTGTGGGTCAATGCTGCCAAGGAACTGCGCTTTCCGTGCGTGCTAAGTCATTCCTGACACTGATTCAGACTTCTACATTATACGCAGATACTGGGACTGGGCCGGCAAGGATGTACCCGAGAATGGGCTTCCTCCTGTTCTGTACGAGGACAAAGTGGAAATCGTGACCGCTGGAGGTCAAAAACAAACTGTTGATAATCCGCTCTCATTTTTCTCGTTCGTCGATGGGATCCCACAAGACTTTGATGACAAGACGGTCAGGGTACGATATCTTTGCCTTTCCTTATCGCGGAACTTGCTCAAATGTTGTTCGTAGTCAGGGCACGTGGCATATTTCTCCCAGTGGAAGAGGACGTACCGCTACGCTGCTAGTGTCGTGAACCCTGAAAGCAGCGACGTAGACGCGATGCAACAGTAAGTATCGATGAGACATGTGGTGCGACACGGGAGCTGATTTGTATTTTGTAAGGGCGTTCAAAGCCGGGGCAGCAGATGTAAGAAGCAAAGTTGCTCAACTCTTTACAGTCAATGATGACGAAGATCCTGCGTTGGCGTATGTCTTTCCTTTTGCTATCCCACGTATTGACTAACATCTTGATAGCTGGGACGAATTTTCTAACCATACTCCGGAGTCAAAAAACTCCGTCTTCAACACTGGATCACTTGAAGGCGTGCATGACGTTGTTCATGGATTATTTGTGGGTGAAATACATTTGTTCCAACTTGGCATGTGCTTACTCCAGCTATGATTTAGGGTGGAACCGGACACATCGTTAGTTTTAACTGCTTGGGTGCGAAAGATGTTGTTGATCTTAATTAAATGAACTTGCAGGGTGACTCAGACTACGTGAGCAGCTCCTTATCTGACCCTCTAAAATGATGTTGAGCTCTCTTCATATAGGCCGGTTTCGATCCTATCTTCTACCGTGCGTGAATAGGCGCAAGTTACTTGCATGCATAACTTATATGACATTCCCTTCAGTTCACCATGCGAATGTGGACAGAATATGTATGTGTCATTTAGTTCAAGGGTGTTCTCTTGTGACCGAATCCCCTAAGTGGCTCTTTGGGAGTGGTGCTACTCCGAGTACTGGATGGAAAACGGGTATACACTCGACGGGAAATTAATCCCTTGGACAATAGTATGGGTTTGGACGATGTCCTGACACACGTACTCAGTAATCGTCTTTTAGAATCTCGGTACATATGCGAAGCCCCTCAACGCACAGCTCCTTCCAGATGGGCCACTCCAACCATGGCGAACGGAACAAGGGGTCTACTGGACTACTAATCAAGCTCGATTTTTGCATGCAGACGCCTACCCCAAGTGTAAGTAGCAATCCTTTCTATGGGATCACAATAGTAAATTCACCTTGAACAGATTATTCGTATCCCGAGTTCTCGGGCATTAAAGTTGATAGAGCTGCTACGTCACCCAACGAGCGTGCCTTGGGGCGCAAGAAGGTTGCAGCGTACTACGGGTTTGATCCACAAGCTACCGCACAGCAGGTGTCGGCTCCCGCTTGGACGCAACTTCCTGTTCCAGACAAGGACCATCCTGCTGTGCCAGATGGCCATACTGTTGTTCCTGGGTACCGCACATTTGTCGTGGTTGTGAAACTTCTGGAGCATGCCTTCAACGGCACCTATTCATTCCAGCTCTACCACAAAGGAAATAGTGTTTCGGCTCCGCAGCTCATAGGCACCGTCACATCCTTTGCACGGCCAGACACTTCCGCTTGTAAAGCGTGTGATAACCGTCGTGCGGCGGGAAGCGTCATTCGCGGCATCATTCCAATTCCTCCCGCATTGATCGAAAGTATCATGAAAGCGAACGGGGATGGCACATCGGCGGCTTCGTTTGACCAGACGCTCGCTCACATCAAGGGGGAGCTCATCGGAAAGATTGTGGATGCTTCTGGCGCTGAGCTTGCCGGGGCTATCGGAGGCCTGGACGCCCCCCAGGTCCCAAGCCATAAAACCACTTCTGCAAACGTTACTCCCGTTGAAATTTCTTTGATATCGACTGCTGTTGCTGAACACGGAGACAAGAGTCGTCCTGTTTACATGTTGGACTCGCAGCACCACGATAGTGTCTTCAGCGTAAGTATCCTTCTTAATTTGGATAATTTGCTTTGCTGAACATTACCTTTTTTTACAGAGTGGGTGGCACGCGACTCACCGGGATGCGGCGTGATGCAGTATGGTGTCCCCTTTGTGTCTTTTCCGCAAATAAGTGAAGCTGTGAGGGAATGCCAGAGGTTGGCGAATGGCAAATATGCTTCTACGTCTTGTGCCAATGTCTTGTACCAACGCTTTGTAACAATCTGTCGAGCCATATGATTTGTATGAAATTGTATCGCGTTTCATGTTTCCCAGCACCATCTGGTTATAGTGCTTGTGTTCGCGAGACCTAGTCTAAGTGGCACTGGCAGCCCACCACAAAGCACATGTCATACTAACACGTATATTATCTTTACCATGAGACTCCCGCCTAATTAACCCAAGGGAGATATTCGAATCCCAATTCTCACTGCACCTAATCCTCATGGTCTGTGCTCACACGAGACTTAGTACTGAAACCATTGATATAACTTTCAAGTCTAGGTTGTCTAGTAATACATTTCCTTCAAGCGCTGATTGACATATTCCCCAGCTGATACGGGTCCATACCTCGCGGGTCGCTCGGCAGATACACAACTTGCAATAGGCTGCTCAACTATCTCAATTGTCAAGTGTTCAAATAATAGATAAGCACGCACCTCGACGTTAACATCGTAATCAGTGCCGAAGAATAGGGGAATAGAATATCGGTCTACGCCATTCCGATTGACAGCCCTATGGACCGTGGACTTGAAAATATCATCTGAAAATCGAATGCTGAGATGAGGCCCGATGGCGGTGCGAAAAAAACGCACTTGTCCACCTAGCAAATTGATCACCCAGGCTTGAATAAGACATTCAGCTATTGAAATCGAAAAAAAGTAAATCTGATCACTTGATAACCAGCGTCCCGTCAATGGGTGGGGCTTTGATCCACTCCTTCTGGGAGTTCAGGATCTGGAGCGCCTGTATTCCTGGTTGTTGCCAGAGTATCGTGAAACACTGTAACATAATCGATGCGAATCATGATAGAGTTCTGAGGTAATTGAATCGCACCTCAAAACTAAATGTTTACAAGGGATTAACATGGTGAAAGAAAGATACCAATGACGAATTAACTCACTCTGTGTGGGCCCCGATACCGACGATACGATCATCTGCGGGGCCTGTCTGTGGAGGGTAGTGTAATGTGTTCATAATTGCAGCTGAGTTCTTCGTCTGCGAGATATTCAATGAAAGTCCAAAGATCACATGCCATTCACACGGCACTGTACCTTGTCGTCAAAATATCTCTCTGGTAAATCCAAGGACAGTGCGAAAAGTGGGAAAAGTATCTTTCCGACAGCTACTGCCGCGTGGCTTACGAGGCTATAAGTTTAGATATCATATTTCAAGGCAGAAGTACTCACTAGTACTTCAACATGCTTTCTCTATACTCTTCGGGACGCTCGGGCCAAACATTAGCGCCCGCCATGGCACCATCATTTGCTCGCTTCTCATCATAGGCCTTTGCCTCGAGCTCCTCCCAACCAATTTGGAACGCCTCGTGCAGGTCACCTCTGTTCCCAGGTTCGATATTGGCATCAAGTAATGGGGTGTATCCTTTGAAGTTGGCGACGGTTTTGTGGTTAAGCTATGCAAAGACGCTGCCGATTAGCAACTCTGACCACAGGTGACAGCTTCACAATCAACACCTTAAGCTTTTCCTCCGTTGGAAGGTTGAAGTACTCCTTGTTGACTTTAAGGACATTGTCTATGCATTCCGGTGGTATCCCGTGGTTTTTGACTGCCAGTGCATGTAAAGTGGTCGTGACGTCGCAGAGGAGCCGTTTCTATGCGTCTACAGAGTGCTTACCATAGAAAAACCCTACATTCATACATGCATCGCGTATCTGATGCGCAAGTGCTTTCCTCTCACTCTCGTCCGGACTTGTTGCACAGGAAAGATCGCTGCAGTGAAGTCAGCATGGTCGTGCTTTGCAAGTAATCTTAGCCAGCGAACAGACATTATGGGTATGTCTTGAAAAGCGCCATCAACGACGGACGCCGACTCTGCTAAAGACATTATCGTCGTCGTTGAAGAAGGAAGGATTCTCTGATTATCCCGAATGAGATAAGATCATAACTATATGCATATATGTATTTATGCACATCACATGCGCCGAAATCTGCATCCGAAATGCTCCAGCTGTGGCCTTGGTAGTAACTACAATTTACTTATTATACATGTCTTTCAATCGCTGCCTCACATACTCTCCGGAAGTGATGGCTGCATACTTTGCTGGTCTTTCAGCTGACACGCAGGTGTGCATTGGCTGTAATGTATCGAATCAGGCCCATTAGACAGCGTGAAACAATATTCAATCAACTAACCTCGATGTTAACCTCGTAGTCAGTGTCAAAGAATAGTGCGATGGAGTACCGATCAACGATGTTCTTGTTGGCGACTCGATGCACAGTAGACTTGAAAACATCGTCTGTACAGCGTGGTAAATATCCCGACTATATCACCAAAGGCAATGGGGTTTACGCACTTGTCCAACGCGCAAACTGATCTCCAAGACTTATAATCCAGTTAGTGACTGTATAATTATTAGGAAGCATGCGAAATATTCGTACTTGACAACGAGGGTTCCCGGCAGCGGTGGCACATCGATCCATTGCTCACGAGAGTTCAAAACCTGGAGAGCCTCGATGCTCGCTTGTTGCCAGAGAATCGTGAAACACTGCCCATGGTTGAAAATCCATTACGAGCTCGGAAATATTGGACTCACCCCAAAACTATTGCACCCGAATGGCGTCAAGGTTACACATTGATAGATAGCTTCGAAACAACTCACTCGGAATGAGCTCCGATTCCCAGCACTTTATCATCTGGAGCATCTAGCTGAGGCGGATAGTGGAGTGTACGCATGGTAGCGGCCGAATACATGGTCTATTTAAACTATGACGGGTGGTAACCACACTAGGGCGTGCAGACACGTACCTTGTCGTTGAAGTACGTTTCAGGCAGGTCGAGCGCCAGTGCAAAGAGGCAAAACAGCTTCTTTCCGACGGCAAGGGCAGCGTGACTGTAGGTTAGCATTGTGAGTTTCTGATGTCTCGAAAACCAAATATCAACTCGACTAATAATCCAAGCAAACGGATCTAAAATGTTCAGGTTTATCTGGCCAGATATTCGCACCCGCCATCGCTCCATCACGCCGAGAAGTCCTTTGGACCGCTGGATCGCCGGATTTCTCTTCCCAGCCAATGCGGAAGCTCTCGTGTAAGTCGCCTTTGTTCCCCGGTTGGATGTTGGCCTCCATTACAGCGCTATAGCCTCTGAAATTTGATGCAGTTTTATGATGAAGCTAGTCGTGAATGCGTCATAAAGTCAGTCAAGTGCAGCATTCAGAAAGACACACTTTCAGCTTTTCCTCCGCTGGAAGCGAGTAGTATTCCTTGTTCACTTTCAGGACTTCGTCAAGGCAGTGCTGTGCGATGCCATGGTTCTTGACTGGGTGTAATGTAAGTATAAAATGTGAGACGGAGAAATGCCAAGCTGGGCGTACCATAGAAAAATCCAACGTCCATACATGCTGTTCGAATTTGTTGTGCAAGGGCACGTCGTAGGGCTTCATCTTCGCTAAATGCACCTTCCAGATCACTAATCAAAGCACCGTCAAATAATTTGCGGAGGGGAGCGGAAGCGATCGTACATGATTGGCACACTTTCAAACGACATGGTAAAGATTAGGATTGCACTTCGGTTTCTGTACCTTGAGTCATAAATCGGATTTAACTCGGTTCCTTCAAACCCTGAGCAAAAAGTGTCCGAACGCTTAGGCTTTGAATGTGAGCGCCGCGGAGTTCTTGCTCCGCAGGACTTTTACACTGCTGAGCGCGCTGAGCAAGCCGCAAGTTACTAACTGCCACTGCCAGTGAGATATAGATCACGATTACGTAACTGCACACTCTGGCAGCAACTTATGACCTTCCTGTGTTTTGCAACTGCGAATGTCTTCTACTGAACGTTCGCTGATCGGTTCTGTATTCGAACGCAAGACATCTACTGCCCAAAGCCTACCCTCTCCGAGGTTTGCAAAAACTCCTGGCTCAGGTTTTCCAGTTGTTCAGCATAGGTCAAAAAGCGCCTTTGCTCGCGCAAGAGAAGAGGAAAAGAGCAGCAGCAATGCAAGGCCTACGACCGTACCCTTCGTAATACCTGCGCGTCCCGCCGAACAATCTCAACCTCGAGATCTTGAGGTGGATTCACGAACCACCGATGATGCTATGCGTCAGCAGATCAGTGAAGACAACGATCGCCGACTGGCCAATATGACTGAAGAGGATCGAGAACAAGAGAGACGGGAGGTTTTAGAGCAACTGGGAAGTGGTGCAGGTGCCCTTCTGGAGCGTGTACGCGCTGCAAGGTTAAGAAATGCAACGAAGCCTCCCGCTATAGCTGGGGGTATGCCTGTACAATCCGAGCAGGCCCCAGATGTCTCCCACGAAATTCCGATCGTTGCTCCGCTACCAGGGCTTGCCGCCAGACGCAATTTATCAAGGGTCAAGAGCTTGGAAGATTTCGGGAAAAGAGGCACGTCACTTCCAGGGCTTGATGGGTATTTTGACACGAAAGCTGCGTCTTAGCTCCTCCAATCCTGGTGAAAAGCAGTACTAGACCTTCGTCACCAAGTAAACCCAGTCGCCAACTTCGCTTTGCCGCATTGACGCCTGCTGATGTCTATGTGTATGAGTCTGCCCCGGTGTCTCCCAAACGAAAGGCCATAGCTCTTCCTCCGCCTCCAGATGCTCCAGACTCCTCAATTGTTTCTCTGGGTACTTTTAAAGAGAATCGTCTGCCGCGGAAGCGACCACTTTCTCCTACTACAAGTCCTAAGGCTGATGATTGGCCTGAGCAGAAGATTGCCCATGATAGATCGGAGCTTGAAGAAGGCACCCCAGAATATATTCGGAGACGATACTTCCCAAGTGTACCTGCAGACAACCCATCCATGTCTTGGATGAAACCTTCGTCATCCAATTCGGAGCCTGTTTTGCTTCGCTTCGATCTGACGGGTGCTCCCATACCTGCAGAAATATCTGCCTCTCTGCCTTCTCATCTGGGCTTGCACCACCATGCAGATGGAGATCACGCAGGATACACTCTTGATGATATATTTTTGTTGTCTCGCTCCACTGTCCCTGCGCAACGCACCACGATGCTTAATATTTTAGCTGGCATTACGCGCCGGTTGGGCGTGCAAGCCAGGGACCCCTACTACGCAGACAGGATTTTAGAACTTCAAGGAAAGGAGGAAGAACTGCGAAAACGTATTCTCGCCGCAGGACTCTCCGCGATGAACGAGAAGGGTGGCGTCGGTGTCCGGGCGATTGAGATCGTCTGGGAGTGTCTTGTCGGCTGGGACGCCCTCTTTGATGCGGAGCATGCCGAGTTGAATCTCGCTCCTGCCATCATGTCCACTTTGCAGGTACCTGACTTCCTTATCCAAGCAATTGAGCTCTTCGCACAAGCATACTTGCCCCCTGAATCCCTGGCCCAACTTCTGTCCATTATCTATCGGTTATCGCAGGAGTCAAATACTATTGCTGAATCAATCATGAAGACCCCTCGGTTGCTTCCAACCCTAATACAGACATTCCTTCTTACGCCTATACCACCACCGTCAGACACACCCCTACCTAACCCTGTCGCCCTCCGGTGCCTCACTGTCCTTGCGTCATCCTCTCGCACTAGCGCTTTGGCACTATGTGAGCCAGCCGATGCACTTCTTCGCTTTATTACCATGCTGCCTCCTGCCTCGCCCTTCCCTGAGCCCCTCGCAACAAACCTGCTCACAGAAACCCTCCGCCTATACACCACTCTTGCCTCATATGGTCTGTATTCGCACATAGCGACATCTGCCGCTTCCTACTTTGATTCTTTGTCGACATATGTTGTTTCATCCAACTCAACACTGCTGAAAGTGGCATGGGCAGGACTTGTGGAAGCATGGATAGTCTGCGCAACGGACCCACATCGCACGACTCCACCGCATGATATCTTGTGGAGCCAAGTGACTAGCTGGGGCTGGGGTGCCGAGGTACTTCAGCTTCGCCAGGGAATAACTGAAGGGGAGGCGGGAGTGTGGGCTGCCATCTGGTGTGCTTCGTCTGCGTGGCTCGAAGGTGCTCGGGTCAACGGTATCAGGGGAGGAGAGAGAGAACGCGTAGAGATTCTCAAAACTATCCGGGACGGGTTTACCCAAGGAGTTGAACATAGCGTAGTGAGGGCTGCCCTAGATGCTCTACTTACTGAACTCGCACAGATACACGATACGCCACTATCGGAGCGGTATCAACGCCTGCAGCGCATTGGCATGCATGCGCGTGTGCTTTCCTCTGTAATTCGCCTCTGGCTTGCATGTACACCTACCGCAAACACCGACGCAAACACAGATGCTCCACTAGGTGCCCCGCCGTTTAGCCTTCCTTTTGCCGAGCTATCGTCTTTCTGTGCCCTCCTCGTTTCGCATCCACTTTGGTCGCTTGTTGCTAGGGGTGTCGAACAAGCTGCCTGCAAGTCCCTAGCGACATTTTTGGCATATTTCCATCGGTTATCGCGACATATCCCAGGGACCTCGCCTGACCTCTGGGTAGCACAGGGTGTGGCAATCCTCGAAAGGCAGCTACCTGGAGAAGAAGAGCACACTTTTCAGGTCATTCAGGCTGTTTTAGCAGTCCTCACGCCGCAATTCCTCGGTACGATGGCACCCTCTAGCATTTGGGAGAAGGGCGGATGGACCGTGATCAAGCCTTTCTTGGATTATGCAATTTGCCCGAACCAGGAGGTATACATTAGCCCCAGCGACGTCACGCCAGAGTCAATCATGCGGTGCACTACCCTTCGACTTCCATCGTCCAGCCCGTCATCCTCTATCCCCGATGAGCATCGCCCAACAGGCCTTCCGTTGCCTCATGGGTGGCTTGCCTCACCAATTGACCATCTTCTCCGGTCCGGGTCTTCGCCCATATTCAAGGCACTTCCTTCCGCATGGGACGCATCGGAAGTTGATATTGTTCGCACATCGCTGCTGCTTGTCAAAGCATTTCAAGAAATTCTATTGCGATACAGCTTGAGCCAGTTCGCCCTGAAGCGTTCAGAGGTGGTCTTTACTTGCATGAAAGTGTTCATGCTCGAACACGGCCAGCAGCAGGAATATCCCTCGCCAGCTACAGGAGACGAAGAGGAAGTGTTTCGGGACCTCATTGTTTCGAAATCAATGTCTGACCTCCTTGCACCGTTCACCCTCGGTGCTGCCACCGCTTCGTCGCCCTCATCCAAATTGGTTGACATTGACCTGGAGCAGGCCTCTCTCCCATTCCTCGGATCGGGCACGCCTTTTTACCAGTTTTATACAGACTTCCTGGCACTATACGATGCCATCTCCTTCTCGCACCCGACCTTTGCCTCCCTTCTACTCCCACCTCTTGCGCTAACCTACCCCATCGACTATCGCCGGTTGCTATGGGCAGACTTTTCACATGTGCTGCGTACCGTGCGCACCCCTGTAGATCAGGTCATCGCAGGAGATCTCAGAGATTTCCTGTACCCTGTAGAGAGAGGCGAAATGATCGGAAAATACGTTGGTCCGCTTCTCCAAGGGTCAGTGGACGGATTCCTGCGCCTCGTTGCAGTACACCACGTAGCGTGCAATATCTGGCCTGATCTTCGGTCCGAAGAAGTCGGTGTCGAGCAGGAGGATGCGGGCAAGAAGCTGTTGATGATGGTGGTGGAGAAAGGAGATGGACGTACTGTGTATGAAGTGCTGAGGTACCGACAGGGTCGTGGAGAAACGGTCATTTATCCCCCTGCTTGCTTTGAAGCGAGTGGGGAGTGGATAGCAGACCGAGCGGGATTTGCTCAGCAGGTGTTGGGCAGCGAGTTGCATGAAAGACTTCAGGGCGTGTTTTATGGGTAGTGAGTCCTTTGACGCGTATGTATTGCTGTTACATGTTCTAACGTAACGACTGGACAGAATATTGGGTGTTCAAATGCGGTATATAGCTCAGGCGGGCTACGGTATATAGAGTACATCTCGGTGGTCCGTGTATTGTTTATTGCACAACGATAAAAACACTGTTTTGCATCCCGACGTGGGAGAACCCTGCCGTGCGCACCTCCATCTCTAACAGATCGACTGGCAGGCGCACGGCTCTGATGCCCTTGTGTGTATTGATCTACGGGGGGACGCTCGTGTGAACGAAATGATTGGTGAAGCTTTGAAGCTTGAAGGTGAGCTCGGTCAGCTTCAGACATGATGCGCTCAAGAATGATTGCAGCTTTTGTTGTAGACGGTCGTGGCGCCGGCCTGTTCAACACCGATAAGTGTCGAACTTCCTATGTTGCCAGCAGTACTAGATGATGGCTCATGATTAGGGTTTGTGTGTGCTGGAGTCAGAAGTATAAAACGAGCAAGTGCAAAGATGTGGTGTGTGCTAGTGTGTCGATGATTACCATAGATTCAGTATATACATCTAATTTTAACAAGTGGACATGGGAGGTGCTGCATGAAGAACTCTCCGAAGTTTGGGACTATTACGTAGCGAGGTATGAGTGAAGGAACAGAACAAGGTCTTTGAGCGAACGGGAGGCGCGGGAACGCACTTCTTGCTTCCGCGCCGTGATCATCGTTCGTCATTGCGCAGCTCGTTTAGATCGCATTTATTTTTTCTCGTCCTCCCCTCCCCTTTCTCCATCGGAGATACCATATTCTAGACCGCCTCGCAACTCTCCGCGTCAGGATCACTGGGGTTGTGAGGTGGTCTCACCCGCCCTCGCAGCTCGCCTTCTTCTCTTGGATTTGGACTCTTCCACGGGGCCTGAAGTGCTGCCTTCGCCCGAAAAACTTAGCATTAGCATCACACTACGTCAGATGTAAACGTCGAGCTTTCAAGAGTTTCCCAAGAAACAACACATGATTCATGTAGCCTAGCGATCGTGACTATTCAAGAAGCTGCATGAGCACTACCAGCCTGATTCGACGGGAATCCCAATTTGACATGTATTCAAAGCCACAGAAATACGAGTTTGTTTCATGTGTAGAGGCGCAGAGAGCGAGATACTATCGAGGAAGGCGCGGATGATCACAGGGAACACTGGTTTTGATCAATGATGGTGTGGAATTGAACAACCTTGGGCGTCTAATCATGGACGTCTATGGAAATACAAGTTAACCGTGCAGGGAATCCTTATCAACCATCAATATACGTATACGTCGTACACCTCTGCAGCTTCCAACAAAATTCCTCCAAGTCCACCACGATCCCGTTCAACACAACCAAACATCAATAAAATGTCGCAGCTCCTTCCAAGCACGATACCCGATCGAGAGTTTGAATACCATACGGACGGCATACGCTCTGTGGCAGTTTTGCCCGATAAACGACGTATGGTCACGGGCTCGAACGACAAGACACTTTGCCTGTGGGACTTGAGTACGGGTGTGGTACTAAAGAAGATGGTGGGGCATTGCGATAGGGTTCGGGCGTTGGCGTTGTCACGAGATGGGGAATTGATAGCAAGCAGTGATGAGAGTGGAGAGATCATGGCCTGGTACGGAAAAACCGGGGAATCTCTCACTCAACCCATAAAAGCCCACTCCAATTATATCTTATCCTTGGATTTTTCACCTGATGGAACAGTTCTGGCGAGTGGCTCATTCGACGGAATGACCAAGTTATGGAGTACGAAAACATGGCGCCTCCAAGGAACTCCAATCCAATGTGGTGACAATGTCCGCTGTATCCGGTATTCGCCGTCTGGCGAACTTCTTGCGATTGCAACGCACAGGGACATCGAAATTTATAATCCAGACAAGAAGGAACGCGTCGCAAACTTCAAGGGTCACATACAATGGAACTGCTCGCTCGCATGGTCGCCTGATGGTACACGTCTTCTCTCGGGAGGACATGGTTACGATCCAACTATACGGGAGTGGGATACGTCGACCTGGCAGCAGGTCGGTGATCCTTGGACGGGCCATACTCAGGATATTAATGCTATTGCGATTCACCCTACTGGCACACTCGTCGCTTCCGCATCTGAAGACAGCAGTATTCATCTCTGGCAGCTCTCAGATCGACTAACCATTGCCATCTTCGAGCACTCATCCATGACGAGATGCGTCACTTTCTCCATGGACGGCAGGCATATTCTCAGTGGAGGTTATGATAAATTAATCTCAGAGTGGGCGATACCCAAAGATGCATTGCCAACCGAAGTTCTCAAGAAATCAGCATCAAAGGTACTTTCCTGTCAATTTTTTGCTCCCCCACCATCTCATCGCGTCTTTTTGATCTAAAGGTTCGAGTTTCGGAATCGGATTTGAAGGTAAATTTCAATCCTCAACTCTGACAACACAATTCGAGCATGCTCCGGCCGCAGATCCTCGCCATAAATACAACTGCTCGCAATGCATGCATCACGGGTGACTTGTCTACCGCTGAGGCGCTTCTCACACACGAGATCGATACTAATGTCAACGACTACACATCGTATGGCAATCGCTCATTCATTATGGCACGAAACAACGACTGGGACCACGCCCTTCACGATGCAATCAAGGTGAGATATACGATCCATCGTGGGTGCCTCACGAAAAGTTAACTTTCATCGTGATTCGGACATAGTCTGTCACCATTCAGCCCTCCTTGATAGGCTATATCTCCAAGGGAATTGCCCTCTGTGGAAAAGGGCAGGTTCAAGACTCGATGAAATCGTTTGATCTCGCGTTCATGTTCGCCGACGATGATTCAAGAATTATTCATTTCCTTCTTTTGATAAAGGTACATTAACTTTTTTATACACTCCGTTATTCAATTTTGGTTTTTAGGCCATCGCTATTTTCAATGCAGATCAACATGAAGAGGCAATCATACGCGTGCAAGAGCTAGCCAAAGCTTGTCCGAATAATGACACTCTTGCGTGTCGCGTCGTCGAAGTGAGTGCCATGTCCTTGATCAGCCCCACGTTCGTACGTTGATTCTGACCCCTCTGAATTTCGTATATTAGGCATATCTGCGTGTTCGACTCGGAATCAGTGCTATGGATGATGCGCGTCACAATGAAGCTGTTGACCATTTCACTACTGCTGTCAATTCCATTGCCTTCTCATCTACATTAGCCATTCATTCTATATACGAGGACTTGGTGGTGGTACGTTGATATGATTCATACAGACCTACTATTTATGCTGAACTCCGTGCTTTTTGCAGCTCTTCGGATGGGACCTGAAGTCCTTGTGGCAACATGCACACCAGAAATGGTGCGATGCGCTCCTTCAGGTAGGTAGACTTGAAGAAGCCTTCCAATCGTATGAACACATGATGGATTTGAGTGACGAAACTACAATGTCCAGCTGTCTTGACTGGTCCAATGGCAAGTTCAAAGTCCGTCATGTCATACAGGCTAGAATCCTCATCTGGATTTCACTCAGCTTTCAAGCAAGAATGCAGCATGCTCTATCTCGACAATGGAAATTCTGCCCTCGCAGCAAGTGATTCTGACCGGGCTATTGACTTATACTCAGCGGCGATCGACCTCAATTCTACGACCGACATTATCTTTGCAAACCGCAGTAAGGCTGAGTTGGAAAGAATGTTATGGGATGATGCGCTTCTCGATGCGCAAAAGGTACGATACCATTTCGTCCAGTTGTTTTGTAGTATCTAATGTTCACTTTGGTGATATGTAGGTCATTGAACTCAATCCTTCGTCTCATGTTGGATATCAGTTGAAATATAAAGCGCTTCATGGTGCACAACACTACGACGAAGCTATTGGGGCCTTCCAAATAATGCTCTTTAAATTGAACAGCGCTGCCGACGTGCAGATACGAAGTAAGCCCTTAGTATCGCGTGCATTAAGGTGCTTAACTCTTTCCTCAGAGCTGCGCCAGCAGTATGTTACACCCTCCACAGCAGCAAGTGTCATTCGAAAGGCCATCGTTGTTCAGCTCGAGACTGCCCCAATTCGTCTACTCAACACTGCTACGGGGCTCTTGTGTGGCCGAGAAGCACAGATAAAAGCGTTCAATACGAGCACGGAGTACAATGAGCTTCTATTTTCGACTATGGCGCACCCAGACCCCCGAATGGAGCATATCACAGAAGTGGTAGCGACGTACTTCCGTTGTGTTATGCTATCACACAGATGGGAGGAGAATGAGCCATCTCTGGAGGATGTTCAGAACAAGGATGTGTTCAAATTGAACTCACTCGGCGGAATTGTAAAGTTGCAGAAATTCTGCGAAATCGCTCGTGATGCAGGGTATCGCTGGGTGTGGAGCGATACATGTTGCATCGACAAGAGCAATAACGTTGAGCTGCAACAATCACTGACCTCCATGTTCGTCTGGTACCGCCACTCGGCGCTTACGATCGTCTACCTTTCGGACGTTCCGCCTTCATCCAAGTCTGGTGCATTGGCGAAGAGTGAATGGAACAAAAGAGGATGGACTTTTCAAGAATTCGTGGCTCCGAAAGTCGTGCTCTTCTATCAGATGGACTGGACCCCATATCTCGATGACCACTCACCCAACCACAAAGAGTCCGCTGCGATCATGGAGGAGTTGGAGGGTGCGACGGGCATAGATCGACAGGCCCTCATAGCCTTCCTTCCAGGGATGAGGGGCATTAGAGAGAGACTTCGATGGGCGTCGGCACGCATTACCACATTGCAGGAAGACATCGCATATTCATTATTTGGCATATTCAATGTCCAGCTGCATCTACATTACGGCGAGAACAAGCAAAACGCGCTCGGGCGCCTCCTGCAGGATATCATAGCTCGATCGGGCGACATTACTGCCCTCGACTGGGTGGGACAATCCTCCGACTTCAATAGTTGCCTTCCAGCCGATATTTCATCATACGCAGCTCCCCCATGCGCCTTGCCATCTTTGTCTGAAGATGAGGTTCAAACTGTGCGAAATATGGTGTCTGCGAGGACGGCTTTGATGCTCTATACCCAGCTTGACGATATGAGCGCTCCTCGTTTTGCAAACTGCAGACTGCATCTGCCATGCATCTCATTTCGTGTCACGGAAGTCATACGGAAACGTGGTCCAGCCCAAGAGACCCATGCCACATATGGAGTGAAGGCAGATGGGCTTCATGATCTGCAAATCACCACCGAAGAGACACTGAATCAGTTCTCGCGGGCAAGGCCCACTCGACAGACATTCTTACTTGTCCGTCCACGGGACCGTCATCTCCTCGGGCTGCCTGACTTTGCAGATGACTCGGAGAGCTTGGGAGAGTGGTCCGAACCCGCGTCTCCGGTGGACGACTCGTCGGTAGAACAGGAGCAAGTTGATTCGGAATCGAGCGAGCAAGCATTGCGATTGCTTGTTCGCCTTGGGCAACCTTTTGGCGCATTTTTGCTAGCGCAGCAACGCGGTGGAGAATACAGAAGGATCGCGTCGGACCGTGATATCATTGCACAAGTGAAAGACATAGCTTCTATTCACAATATGATGGAAATCAGGACCCTAGAAATATTGTAACGGTATGGATTCTTTTACATAAAGACCAGGCGGATTATTTGCACCTTGTACATAACACTGTACGTATGCTTACCATGCATGCTTGATGCACAAACACCGCGACTTTCCTTTGAAGCGGCCGACAGCGTCGATGAACCCTTCCCCGAGGCACCACTTCTCCATCACAGTCCTACACGCCTGGGGTTCAACCAAACCTGGTGTTTGTAAATATAGAACTGGGGATCTCGTAACTTGAAGTTTGCGACCCTGTGACGCAACATCAATCCTGTCAAATGTTTGTCACAACGATACATAGAGGTACGCGTATTTCTAGTTCCATCCGAGCGCTGAGCGCTTGTTTAGTACACAGCACTTTGATTTCCGCTTCAAACACGAGGGTGAGGCAATGAAAGAGCCTCACATCTCAAAGTTGATTGGACTAAACGTTGTTCCAGCTTCCCCGACTCCCACTGCCTCAACGCGCAATCAAGCACTCGTATTGGTGTTTGGAGTGTTTGATTTCAACTCGTGAGTGGTCCTCTAAAATTTTCTGCTAGGCAAAGTTGACCACTCACTTACCAGTGATATTGATCATCAAAAGATCTCCGGAAATACTCGGGCAACATCACCTCCTGTATACTCAGTCCCGCAACTGTCACGCATTGAAGATAGGCCCGTCGACTCCCCAGCAAACTTTTCCCTTGCAAGATCACTCGTTCTAGTTCAAGATCACGGCGAGCTGTTCTCGCATACATTTTCCACGATCTACTCGTAGCCGAGACGCCGGGCGCTCACAATGTCCTCCCTAGTCAGTAAGAAGCAACACACGCCAGCTGTTGCTCCCCGCCATAAGATGCGAGGCCATACCCAAGGCGTACGAGGTGTCGTGTACCTGCGTGGTGGACGACGAATCATCACATGTTCTGTTGACGGTTCACTCCGACTATGGGAACTCGAGAGTGGCACACAGATAGGCAGCGACTGGCGAGATGGGGATGAGACCGGAGTGACCACCATAGCATTATCTCCCAATGGTAACACCGTTGGAAGCGGATACCTTGATGGGAAAGTGAGATTGTGGGATGTCGAGACGGGGAAGGTCATAGCCAAGTGGACAGGACATACTCAACGTGTACGGGCAATATGCTGGAGTCCAGATGGTGGGCGAGTGGCGAGCGGATACCAGGACGGGACGGCAAGAGTGTGGGCCGTTGAGAGCGGTGATTCAGAAACTGTCCTAGGCCCAATCAAGACTGGGCATCAGTGGGTGTGGGCTATAATATACTCACCTGACTCAACAAAAATTGTGACGTCGGCGGGCGCATTCAAGGAGAGCGTAGTCAAAATCTGGGACGCCAAGACAGGAGAGCTGCTCACCACGCTTGATCATGACCCAATGGCAGTTCACAGCTTGGCCTGGACATCAGATGAAAAGAAGCTGATATCCGGGTCATTCGATGGTTCAATTAGGATATTTGAAACTGCCACATGGCAGCAAATCGCAATCCTCGAAGGTCACAAACGCGTTGTCTATGCCATCTCCTTGTCTCAGAACGACTGCCTCCTTGCGAGTGTATCATGTGACGAAACAGCACGTCTGTGGAACCTTGATACCAACCTCCCTGTTGGTCAACCCCTCCCGCACAAAAATCGCGTAGAATGTGCGGCCTTTTCCACTGATGGAAAGCTGCTAGTCACTGGTTGCTGGGACCGAGATGCATATGTGTGGGACACTCATGCAATACTTGAAGAAGTGGGCCTTCAAAACCTCTTGTCCCTTCCTGATGTGAGTGGAATCAATCACCCACCCTGTCTTTCCTGACAATCCCCGCTCTTAGGAATTGCGAGGTGGACTCGAAAAGAAGGTTTATAGTGTCACATTACTCTTTGCAGAATGGCAAAGACAACGCTAATAACCTACTCGCAGGTCGCAGTCGGAAAGTCGTTGATAAATGTGCGTGGCACTTTTCAAATATTCCGGTAAACATTAATGGGGCATCAAATCTAGTCTAATGTTGGGCGACGTCCAGACCAGATCAAGGACGCTCATAGGCTACCGCGAGGCTTCTTTGATGACGCGCGAGACGGTGTTCAGGTGGGTTTATCAGCATTTCCATTTATTGCTTCTTCTCACTTCCGTGTTCTCAGTCCTCGGCGACGCGTGGTACCCATACTCATTTCTCTGCTCACCGCACTCTCACACCTTCGGGGAGTCCACGTGCGCTCCTTGATCGCATTTCGTTGCCCTTCGGTCGCTCTCAGCCAAGCGAAATCGAAATCGAAATGCAGCAGCACCCAAAGCCATCTGCCACCTCTCGTGGTGATCCCTCTACCATTGAAGTTGCTAATGTACCGGACGAACAGGTGTGTTTCTTAAGCTGCGTTTTCGAACACCGAAGTCCAATCATTTCTGTAGGCATCTTTAGTTCCGCAGCCGGAACGACATCGAGACAAGGCAAAACAAACACAACAGCAAGACCGATCTCAAGGCCAAGCCTTGGCATTGCCATCACACTCTAGGTCTGCAGCCACCTCGCGACCTCCTGCTTATACTGCTAGTCCTACCACGCTAGGTGCAGCAGGCACACGCTCGCAAACTGCTTTGGTCATCAGGAAGCCCACACGGTGGACTCGTTTCTTGTTGCGTGTTTGTTGTGTAGCTGCTGAACCCGCTGATGGTTATTAATACATTCGTACTATTGTAATGTCGTTGTAGATTTCTTACACTAGCGCATCAATACCATCCAATTAATGAGATACCTCCTCGTTCTCTAAGTATTTCCATGACTTCCTCACCCTTCGTTCATCCAATGAAGTGTTCAAAACTGGATGTAGACAGCGTAAAAGTTGTTGGATCAGTTGATTAGATTTGCAGCACACCTCGATATTTTCTGGCGGTCGAGTCGCATACTGGCGAATGTCAGTTGCAACCATCAATGTAGGAAGATGCACACAACGCCAGCCGCAGGACCTGGGCGCTTGGTCTGCACTAGGCGTTCGACTCATCAGTAATCTGTTCAATTGTCATATAACCGCTAATTCAAATATTCTTCTGTTTGCGAAATGTTATGGTATGTAAGGGAAGAAAGTGTTTATCGATATATCTAAGGCGTGTCCCTAAAGCCCATCAGGTACTGCATAATCTGGAAGGCAGCCTGAAATCATCGGTCTTTACGTTAGACCACACTTGCATGACGGCAAGGTCGACTTACTGCTGGCGCAAACTGCGGAACCCTACGGAAGACATTAGAAATGAGACCCTGCATATTCTAGTGAACTCACATATGTCCACTTAAGGCTACTTCGTAATAAGTGAGTCCCCGCTCTGAGTGCATCGTCCCATAGGCACCCACACCATCGACAATGAAGCTGTCATTGGCGATAGGCGTCTGGAATCCCTGCAACCCATTCCCTTGAATATAATGAGTGACTAGTAGCGTATATCGAAAATTACTAGGCACGCACAGGTCATACTGCAAATGATTCCTATCGTTTGAACGGATACATATCACGGTCAAGAAAGCACTTACTTTTGAAGGACGATTCTTGTTCTGATTCACCAAACCATGCATTAGAATGGACGAAAAGGAAAAGTTTGCGGGTGAAGTCATACCCTTCTGCAATGAGAATGAAGTCTGCAAGACCGTGCACGATGACGGTCCGCTGATTCTTCTCGATAACATTGGGTAACACGGTGAAGGCAGGGGGCAAGCTGTTGTCTCCATTTGGGAAGACATTGATATTAGAGCACTCCGTCCACTTGGTGTTAACAGGCGCGTGGATGGCTATCTTCACATCCTTCCTGTTAAAGTAGATCGGAGACTGCTTCTGTGGGAAAGAACCTCTAGAACTGTGTCAGCCGAGTTGCACTAAGTAAACAATTGAATGACATACGGGAAGCCTAGGACATCCCATAGAATCGGATACTTTGTGGAGAAAATTAATATACTTATGACGAGAATTGTCATCGACTTACCGTGTCCCAGATGCGATAGACATTGAAGGCGGGATTGATGATCAGCGCGCCATTGAAAATGTCATCCCAGACATCGCAGCCTTTGGCAAACTCAACAGAGTCTCCTGGTAGGGGAAGAAGGCCTGTTGGAGGGTATGTCACGTACTTATCCATGTAGCCGGTGTAATTGCACCTCGCGGCCTTCTTCTCGAGGTAGTTCATGAACGTCTGACTGGGATCCAATTGGTGAGTAACCTGCCAACTAGATTCGAATGGAGTGAACAGACTTAAAGGAGAAGAGACCAGCGTATTTGTTCACGAAGTCCACTGCAGGAATTTCCTCTTGTACCACGTCCCACGAGAGTGAAGCTGTCATGTATAAGCTCTTGAGAAGAGACGACGCAAGTCAAAATGTTACTTACGGTCACTGATCCATATCCCTTGCAATGAGAGGTCTAATAGAGTGGGATTCTCGTAGATATAGTTTGCGATGTCTTCATTGATCTATAAGTTACGTTCAAAGAAAGGGACTTCGCACTCACAAGGCACATATGTTCCAGCATACTGAACACAATCAGCACAATGCTTGAAAAGACTCTTTGAGAGATAATCTTACACTTTCACCCGTTAAATATAGCTTTTTGCCTTTCAGTTCCGAAAAGACCTCAAGGAACTGCTGCATAAAGCCGACGAGTTGAGCGGCGACATCGTCCTCATTCTGTACGTTTGGAATGCCTTGAGAAAACCCCGTTCCAACAGGTTGCTCCACCCAAAGGACGGAAGAGAGGTTGGTCCAGCTCTGTTGATTCACCGTTGGTTTGGCCTGACCCCAGGACCAACTGAAAGGCTTTATATTTCTCAATCAAACGAGTCGTTCCGTTGAACAACAGAAAACCTACTCCATTCTCTTGCAACAAACCTTCAAGGGAAGAGCAGCCTGGGCCACCATTTGTCCTGAAGGAAGAACGCGTCACATTTTTATCACCTGTGAAATTGGACCAGCTTCTCACGCACCAAAAAATCAGATCATCGAGACTTCCTTCGGGACCGGGAGGGAAAAACCAGAAAAAGAGCTGTTGTCTTCGATGTCAGCAGAGGCCACGCATAACTAAGTACTCATGTGCACACCTGACGCGTCTCGTTAGGGCTATTGCTGATGGGTAGAAGACCTGCCCAGCTAGGACCAACGTTGAAGTCAACAAGAGGGAGTGAGCTGCCATCGACGTAAAATTCTGGATGAAAATGAATCTAAGGCATTAGATGTTTACATGTAGCACTTAATTCACCTGAGGCCTTGGGGTTCGTGAATGTGATATTCTGAACACCATTGCGCTTCACGGTTTGAGGGCCACTAGTCTGCCAACGTTTTGTTGCTTCGATTTGGCGTTCACTAATATCATGCTTGATCATCCTACGAGCGCTGGCGGCGACCACTGCGAGCAGGGCCGCGAACACTGCAAGAAGACGCATCACCGTAGAGCAAGCCAATTTGAGTCTTTGAGGGGAAAATAGCGAGTCGTCTGGTGTCGTATATGGGATTTTTATTTAGAATGGGTATTTCTGTAATTGCGGGAGAGAATGATCAGATAAGACCATATGCATACAAGGGTGGATCATGACCTGCTGGGGAAAGTCACGGTATATATATGGGTGGCACCATGCGTTCATTTGTCGCGCAACCTACGTGTATGGCATCAGATAAGCAACTGGGGGCCGTAATCAACCCTGGGGCGGAGCTATTTTGATGCGGTTCTGCCGCGCCTGCCGCGGTCGTGACGCGGTATTGACCAACTGGCAGTGCAGGCTTTCCTTCAAGTTAGTAGGTGATATGCTGGGCCAACACATCTGAATTCTATGAGGGATTCCGCCGGACAAAATCACCGTGCTGTAAACAATTTTCCATGGCAAACATAAACGAAGAAAACCAAATTTCTGATTACGTGTACGTACGCCAGCGCATATGGGCAGTCGCGGGCCGAACTCGTCAAAGTTGCGGAGTTTCGGTATGCGAAATGAAACTTCTTCTCAACGTTCATGCTATCCCGCTCCTTCTGCCTGTGCCCTCAATGCCATCAGCTCCGAAAAAGTTATGCCTGAGGTGTACATTCCCTCGTTCTGGTCATAGGTCCTACCTCTTTTATGCACCTCGCACTCACCGTGGTGCATCAACGCCTTTTCCGCCGTGATGCAATGCGCATGACAATCAATAACTGCTGTCCAGCTTCACCATCCATAGTACTACTACCCAAGCCTCTGGAGTCTGAATGAATGCACCCAGACACCCCCAGAGCGTCTATCTCTCGGAACGTTTTCGACCTCTCAGTTCAAAGTGATGGGGAGTAACTTGATGCGCGTATTTACCACATCCATGCGTGTACGGCTCACCACGCTGGCTCGCATAATAAACTCAGTGGGTGACAATCATATCAGTCGGAAAACAAATTGAACTGCTTTTGGAAGGTGGAGAGTGCGCTTAACCAGTACAAAGTCTATGTCAGCGGAGGCCAGCGGTCAGTTGCAGGCAGAGTATTGATGTGAAGTCGTCGTCAATAGGACATTGCGCAATCGACGAGTCTCGGTCAATATTAATGCGGCGCGCTGATAGATGAAGATCGCACAAATTTTTACCTTTTCTGATTTGACAATCGGATTTCACTTGAAATTTTGCACTTCACCACACAATTATTTGTTTGATTTTGTCCGGTCGTGCCCCATATCAGAATTACAAAATTTATGGTGAGCCGTGATAACAGATAACAGCCCTACTTGGTAACAAATGCTAGAATCTCCTGAACGACCTGGTCTTGAAACTCGTAAAATAACGCGTGCCCTCCACCCTTGATGACAACGACATTCTTATTAATGAATTGCTGGCTCACTTCTTCCTCGGCGACAGCGTTGTCGATCTGTTTATCAGCGTCTCCGTATAGATGAAGCAATCTCAATCCCTCCCTCCCCGCAGCAAAAAGTGCCCGAGGATCTTGCTCGCGCGTAAGGGTTGTCTTCACGTCTTCGGCGTTCACGTTCCTGAACGCTTCAACCCAAGCTTGCCGGTCGTCCCAGTTCAAAGTGTTAAGCTCATTGAATGTGGAGTCTACAAACTCAACCCTCGCTTTCTCCGCATCTGCCGCGTCCGGGCTGACGAGTCTTGGCCGAAGGTTTATAAGGCTTTCTTTTGTCAAAACCTCCATGATTTTTCCGATGTATGGGAGAGCGGAAACATAGATGATGCCTGACAGGTAGCCAGGACAGTACGTGCAGACATCCACCGCAACAGTCCCTAGGTGAGTGTTGTTAGGGCAGGGAATGTTTTTACACGACTGACTCACCTCCTAAACTCCTGCAGATTGCTGTCAGGTAACTTGACACAGTGGAGTTTGCGCACTCACCAGCCGAGTAGATAAGGCTTTTGTCTCTCAAATTCCTTGGTCACAGCCACGAAATCCTCAGCGAACTTGCGGGAGGAATAATCGATCTTTTTCGGATGTTTGCCGCTCCTACCATGACCTCTCATATCATACCGGACCTGCAACATTTCATGCATTGTTTGAAAAATGGGGAAAACGGCAGGATCCACCTACAAGGTATATTTTGGAAAGTAGCTGATCGTCTCCAAAGAGGTTGTTGAATACGACTGTGGATAACCCTAAGCCATGAATCAAGACAACGGTTGGACCGTCGAGGTTGCCGATGCCTTCAGCAAATATTTGGCAATCGTCGGAGGATGTCACGAACTTCGAAACTTTCGACATCTTGGTGATGAGAATTCGTTAATGCCAATATCGGATGGTGAGTTATTATATATGTGTGGATCAAGGCGCTAACTAGCACAGTTTTTGGTTCATAGAATGATCTCGCAAGCTACTCCCAGGAGGAAATGGTGACGTGACTGATAGGCAGGCTGACATCAAACAAGTGATTGCCGAGATGCTGATTCCATTGATTCTCAAGGGCTGGATTGATTGATCTCGGAGCGGCGACTCGAATTCTCGGTTTGATGACATCCAGTTTAGCAAGGCCACCCTATTTTTCCGAATCGTTTTGTTTTTGTCATCATCACAACGGGGCTAGCTTGATTGGTCTCGATACTACATGATGGGGGCTGTGTTGGTTGATGTGTGTCGATACTGGGTCCATGGAGGGCCATGTGAGGCCATGTGTTGATTAATATCAGTTGAAGCGACAACTCGAATGAAACCCTCGACTTCTTGATGTAATGACATCCAGTGTACAAGACCATCCGAGTCATGGGTCATAGCTAACCAGAGTTATCGGATACGTATGACGGCCCACCACTTAGAGTACCAGTACTTGCAATTGCGGATACACCCTACTGGTTGTTTGAGGCTTGCACAATGGTCTATCTGCCAGTGCATGGGTTTCGATTTCCTCCATTCGCTGCTTAGGTATTGCGTTGACAAGTGGGCTGCAAATACTCAGGGTGAGCTCGCTGACCGGATACTCAATACATTTGATCATGCAGTGTCGAATGGATACAGCAATTGCAAGAAGGCCACTTATGGCATAAGTCGCAGGTTTTTCCAAATGCTTGGCGAAGCGCTCGTTTCATGCCGCTTCCATCAAGCCTTCATGCATGTTTCGAACTTTAAAATGGTGCAGTGTATACCAGTAGGCACGTATGCATCGTAAGACTTGTCTACCGTATCAGGTATGCCTCGGTTGCAATTGGTCTTAACAGTTTTGAACGTTGAACCACCGATGCTCTTTCTATTAGTAACTAGTAGGATCTGTCAAAGATCTGGATTCAAACCTGCAGACAGGCTCAAGCGTTCATGCCCCTCCCGAATTTGAGAAATCGGTCGTAACAATCTCGGGATTCTACACTGAAAACTCTCTAGTCAGTTTATCCAACCGACGCGCAAATCGGAGCAAGGGAAGGTGAAACAGACGGAGTTCATCAGCGAGCTGTTTGGCTCCAAGAAGTGTTTCAGCTGCAGGCCAGCAGTTATGGATTACTCGGTTTCCCCCAATACTTAATGGGAGGTACGAGGAGAGGGTGATCTGAGGAGAATAAGAAGGTGCGACTCCGAGTCGGTCCTGATATTTGAAAATCTGAGCCTCTCCGTCTCTGCCTGATCTTGGCCTCCCTTCTTGTCAGTCTATCCCTATTTGCGGTTATCCTGTCCCATTCGTTATCGTCGGCTTCTATTGCAAAACGTTGCACATATAAGGCGGACTGCGCGTATCTGTGTGGATTGGGCTATCGCGAGGGACCTTAGAGATTTCCAGTACGTCGTCGAAAAAGGTACTATGAGCAGAAAGTATGACCATTCTCCGCGGATTATTGGATGAGGGCCAGGGGGATGTGGCTAAGAAGCTGCTGAAAGTGGCGGTGGCGAAGGGTTATTCGGATGCAGTGTCAGTGTGTATGAGATGTCAAGGTACCGATTTCGTATGCACTGCTGTTACATACATAATACTAACGGCACAGAAGGAAGTGAAGCCCGACTTGACGAAAGCTGGATAGCATCAAGGAACATAATTGTACGTCGAGCCAAAACGTTCAGGTATAAATTGGGATTGCGTCCTTGGAAACCAAGCTGTACATGTGTAATCGAGTACCCACCAGGAGCACATTGACAAACTGTGGGCGCACTGCAGTCTTAACATTACGCTTTCCTCTGCAAATGATGAAACAACTCGCGTCGGTTACATTTTTAGCCCTTCTCCTGCAATCCAGCTCAGTGGATTGCACAACGCAGCATGGATTCCAACTTCCTGCTCCAATCGCGAATTTGGATGATGCAATATTCACCGGCACATTCGTCGGTGACACGGCGCAATTTCTCGGCATTCCGTTCGCTCAACCCCCGTGAGTATGCCTCCAATCAGTATTTGGTCAATGTACTGAGCATCTACAGCATCGGAAGCCTCCGTTTGCAGGTCCCACAACCCTTGCCCCCTTATCAGGGCCAGCACACTGCAAGCACCTATGGTCCAGCCTGCCACCAGCATGGATCCTCGATACAACGATGGATAGTACCAGGGACAACTGAAACAAGCGAAGATTGTGAGTATCCAACGCTCTGCTTTCGTTCAGGTGATACGAGCAGTTCTCTCCTAGGCCTTACACTCAATGTCTTCACGCCTGCCGTCAAGCTCCCTGGGTCAACATTGCCTGTAATCGTTGTGAGTCTGTTTTTCCCCGGTTTGGTGTGGCTTGAACCCAGTTATAGTTTTTATTCCCGGGTGCTTTCGAAACCGGCAGTGGTAAATCGTGAGTTATTTGGTGTCGGGTTTGTGCAACGAGGTTATAACAATCTACAGAGGATTCGAAGATGTCCTAGTTAGCAGATCTGTGCTTTTGGATGAACCTGTTATCTATGTCAGCTTGAACTATCGGTAGATATATTTCCCAACATCTCACATGTTCTTTCTGATGACGAGGTTTCACAGGTTGAGCGGTAGGTTGTTTCAAAGATGTGGGGCGTTATCCTTACTATGTCATCATAGCTTGGGGATTCCTAGCGAGTGAAGAAGTCAAGCGGGCTGGCACAGGAAACCTTGGACTCCGAGATCGTGAGCACACTGGTTTTTTTTCGCTTTGCCTGAATTAATCCAAATGTCCTCAGAGCGACTTGCGCTTCATTGGGTGCAGAAGTATATCAGTGCATTTGGAGGTGATCCGGCAAAGGTAACCATGTAAGTGCCCCTGCTAATCATATATGTATGACCTGGACGAACCTCAACACCATAAAGATGGGGCGAAAGTGCTGGAGCAATATCCGTTGCTCTCCAGATGCTTGCATATGACGGTAACAACGAAGGTCTCTTTCGCGCGGCATTCATGCAGTCAGGATCCCCGACACCAATGGGCGACATCACCCACGGCCAACGTTATTACGATTTTATTGTTGACAAAACAGGGTGCAAAGGGTCGAACGATACCTTGGAATGCTTGCGAGGAGTACCTGGAGATGTTCTACATGCTGCCGTGGACAAAACACCGTCCTCCTCATCTTACCAGGTTTCCAACTAGGTTTGAATCTTGGAAGGTTTGATGTTGACTCACTATCGTTGTGGCAGGCACTTGCTTTGGCTTGGATGCCAAGGGCAGATGGAATTTTCTTGACGGATAACTTTCAACGTCTCGTCAAGGAGGGAAAAATTGCAAACGTACCTTTCATTACAGGTTTGTGTGTTCGTTGGTTGTGGTGAAGCACAGGTGGCTAACTCGGGACGTAGGTAGCTGCGATGACGAGGGCACATTATTCTCCTTCAGTACTACTAATATCACGTACTGAAGCCCACTTTTCCTTTTCAAATATGCTGATTGATTTCACTACTGTAGCACCAGCGAAGACTTTCGTGGATACTTGGAAACGTATTGGGCGCCCAATGCAACAAATGAGGAGATTGATGGCATCTTGGACATGTATTCCGAAGACCCAATCAAAGGGTCCCCGTTTGACACTGGAAACTTCGACAAGCTGACCTCTCAGTTCAAGCGCATCGCCGCTTTCCAAGGGGATTCAGTGTTTCAAGCGCCGAGGCGTTTCCTTCTAAGTGAGCGGTCGGGGAAGCAAAATACATGGGCCTATCGTGCGTGGATGTACTTCACCTGTTCGAATTTAGAAGATAACATTCCTTGCAGTTAACAAAGGCCACAAGGCAGTTCCACTGCTGGGCTCGGTACGTTGGTTTCAGTCAAAGACGTATTCAAGACGTTGCTCAATTCGTCCTAGTTTCATGGATCCGACTTCGTTGATGAGATGTTGGGTGGATCAGGGAGCCCGTTGGATTACTTGATTAGATTTGCAGCCCACCTCGATCCGAATGCAAATACCGGCATTTTCTGGCCCCAATACACTGCTGAGTCAAAGGATATGTTGATGTTTGGGGAGTGGCCATGGTCTCCGCCGACCATCATTCAGGACACCTATAGGGAGGAGGCGATGGAGTATTTGATCAACTTCGGTCTGGCTCACCCTCTTTAGCACTAATTTGCTACATAGCAATACTCTTTGCTTGACAGTACTAGTGAATTGTTCACCGTGTACAGACGCCAGAAGTAGTCTGGCGGCAGAATGTAATATGACATGGACAACCGGCGTACGCGTTTCTGCCCGATCCTTATCGTATGCGACAGGCAACTCTTCCGTATTAGAGTCATCTAAGCCAGTCTGATCTACGAGGCAAACGATGGAGAAATGGAGACAAAGATCGATTTGTGCAAGGTGGCTATCGATTCCAAACAAGGTGTACCGGACCATTTTGGGCGTGCTGACATGTAACTTGGCCATAATGTCATCGACCTATTGGAACACACATCTTCCCAGTTCCGACTTGGTATGTTGCGATGTACCTAAGGATTCGAGATGAAAAGACACGATTCCTGCAATCCACGAGGGATGCTGGAACGCTAAGGATTATCGATTAATCCTGATTCAGAGCGCGTAGCGGCAGCAATAATTGTCACTTACGCAAAAAGACACGTCCATGTAGATCGAGGGCAGTTCATGCTATCGTTGGTCGTTAACAGTCCGTAAAGTAATGTAGGCGAGGCGCATCGGGAATTTCTTGTGATTGATCGTCCACGTAACCCGGGTCCCGTACAGCATATACTAAGGGTTCTGGATGTCGCGATCTTTGACCGCCCACATGCTGGGAAGTTTGTCCTTACATGTACTGTGACTACTGTCACGAATGCAGACGTGTGAAACACTGCCATGTCTTCCCCGGAAAATAAGCAGCAACAGACGGCAGCGGTGTTGAATACCTTCCTGGCGGACGACGCATTATCACATGTTCGATAGGCAATTTCCAACCACTGTAGTACAGACGAGATGAGGGGCATGATATATGAAGCACCGTTAATGTTCACCATAGTGGCATTGCCTCCCAACAGCAACACTTTTGCAAGCGGTACTGACAATCGATCACTTTCAGCTTTGCATCTAGTCCATTTGTATCGTCGTTGTAGATGTCTCCTTATCCCACTTTAATAACGTCCCATCGTCCCTGACATACTTTTACCTCTGAATCAGTCTAGTTTGCACTCATAGACATCAATCAAATACACATCATGAAGTCGCATACATACATTGATACAACCAGAGAATCAAGCAGCAATTAACGCCAGACACAGGTACACATCACATCAATCAAGTAGTCATTATAATTATTAACAGCAAAATATCATTAGTTCCTTCTTAACCGCATTGAGTTATGTGACGCAATGTACATTGCGTATAACGACATCCAGACACCAGTTGTAACCTTGTAGGCGCGTACAACAATCACCGAGCGGGCCTAACCAAGCACCTTATCAATGAATCGAGCGCTCGCGTTCTCCGTGAGGTCCCAGAGTTTCTTTGTCTTGCGGCGAGAGCACTTCAACTCCTTCTTCCAATCCGATACTGTAAACGGTTTAGCTTCTCCACAGCGAATTGATTTAAGCCGCTGCTGGAACCAGAACTCGCATGAAGCATTCCAGTAGCCCGTCCACAGGTTGCTGTTATTGAATTCACTGGGCCGTGGCCACCAGTACAGCGTTTCCCAATGGTGTCGTCCACTAACTTCCGCTAAAAAGGGTCAAGAAGTCAGAATGTGCTATGTGTTCTCATACGAGATTTCGACGATTACCTCCAACGTGATATACACCACAGATCAAGTCCACTTCATCACGAGTGAGGGCATCGTCCCAGGCCCAGGTTGATGCTTCGTCTTTGGTAGTCGGGGAAAACAGCCTGGCCTCTCCGAAAACCCACACATCTGAGGACGGCCCGTTGACGAGGCCTAGACGTCCTTCAAAAGACGTTTTGCATAACCGCCACAGAATACCGCCTCTGAGAAGCGCAGCGCGTGCGTGGGGGTGCGTAAGGAAGTCTTCGCGTTGTAGTTCGTAAGTTGTGTAGGTATGTGCGTTGGGCTGAAATGGGAATGGACGAAAAAAATTGTCGAATACAGTCTTAGGTCGTCGGGGCAGTCTGTCAGGAGGAGGAGTAGAGGATAACCCTGGTGTGAAGAATGGGATCCCTAAACTGACGAATTCTTCGATTAGGTCTTCCAAAGAAGGTCCCCATTCGTTCCTAATAACTTGGAGGACTGTCGTAGCGTGCGGGACGACGAGGGTCCACGACCGGACGTAACGCCCGTTTAAGGGGATGATGCGGTAGACGGCCGGAATGAGCCTAGTTTCGCAGACAAATCTAAAGGAATACGCGACTTTCTTCAGAGAGATGTTGGAATCCTGCAGGTCCCATAATGCGGGAGGTAGGGGTTTACCCTCGTTCACATGCAAGAATATATAGCGGATAGATGCAACATGGTCGTCATCTTCTACCCGGACATCTTTCTCCGCCATATACTTGCGCACTTGAGAGATGGTGGGTGTTGCATTATAGCTCGGGAGAGAGTCCAAAACCGACTGAGGGCAAGGCTTCATGCCGTACCTTGTATGCAAGATGGTCTCCAGATACTGCCGGGGTAGTGTTTTGCCCTCGTCGACATTATGGCTTTCAGAATCGCCAGGTCTAGCGAGGTTCTGTGCTTCCAGAATCGCAATTCCTGTGCTGTCAGTTGTCAGTTCTACTCGCCCTCGCGGAGTATTTTGAGTTGCCACGATCTCCCAGTCCTCCAAGTCCTCGTCCAGGGTGGGGGTCGAGCAAGAAGGAACCATACTGGAGGATTCGCTGGACAATGAGTGATGATGATACGAAATTGGGATCAGCTATAGTCAAGGCTGAGTTGGAGTGAGTGTTGATATAACGTTGATAGGCTGATGCGTCGGGTTAAATACGAAGCGCGCAGCGATAAACTTAGTGAGCTCGTACCTAGGGGATAAGTTTGATGGACGACAGATCTATAAGTGGAGCGAGATTGACTAAACTCGAAGGCAAAACTTTTGAACTCAGTGCAAGTGACAGAATACTTGGGAGTAAGATGACTGCTTCTACCAGAGATGGCAGCCATGTGGGCTTATATACGTCGAATCTCGGTGAAAGGGTCCAGCGTTGAGCGTTAACCGAGTGGCAAGACCTTAGAACATCAAAGGGAGGGAGTAACTGAAACAATGTACTTAGTACCATCGGAAGCAAGTGATTACATCGAGAGGAAAAGAGGACTCGTACTAGGATTGTATTTCCCTATGTCGATTCATCGTGACAACTAACATCTGACTGCTCCGACTAATTAGCGCTTACAGAGGGCCCATTCTTCCCAACAAACATTCGTGTGTAATTTGCGTAAACCAGATGGGTATTGTTCCAATTTGATTCGCGGCCACAAACTCTCTTCTCACTTTCGGGAAGTTCACGGAATTTGTGGCTCATACAAGGTGCGTGTCGAGTGTCGATTGAAGCACTGTGGACGGAAGTTCAACAAAGAGAGGCTCTACAAGCACTTGGAAAAGGCGCACCTTGGATAGTATACGTGTGGCAGGACTGCGGAAAGAAGTTCTCGTGAAGGGATTAGTCTCCATCTCCGGCGCAAGAAGATTTGCTCAATCCGAGTCCGTAAATGGTGAGTCTTTTTGAGTACTGTCCACCGGCGTGTGTCAAGATTTAGCCCTTCAACAGCGGGTAATGTGCAACAAATATGTGCTATCAGCCATGACCTCGATTAATGCTTCTATGGATAGCTTATGGTTCGATGAATTGGAAGAAGCATATTACACAGCAATAAACCTTTTAAATGCACACAGGGTATCATAATGGGACGCACCTTAGTCGACAACTTATATGGACAGGTGCGTGATATGCTTCCTCGACTCTTGAAACCGAATATTCACCGGCTCGACTTACAGTCGGTGCTTCTCATAGGCGATCGGAGTGCTGAGTTCGTCTGAGCGGTGCTACGATTGTTGTGAGTGATACTCCTGAAAATATAGCCGCAAAGCCACCCTGATGGTCAGGATCTCTCAAGTGGAACAAGGTAAGGCCCTCGACTCACATCGTCTTGCCGGGTAACCTGCTCTAGTACAAAAACCATACACGTTGAGGCTATGGGCCGTGGATACGGATATAGGGTCATCAAAAATGGATGGGACATACTCAACAAGTGGGATCATTGTGCTGGAGTGTAGACGTTGAGCAAGTGCTGAGTGGTTCCTGGTTCCTCGCACCGGACAGTAAGAATGTGGGACGAGTGCGTCATTGGTGCAATAAAGACTGGTATTCGCAGAGGCATACTCTGAATCGCCCGACTCAAACAAAAATTGAGGCGGGCGGACACAACTAGAATGCAGTAAAAATCTGGGATACAAAGACTAGGTCACGGTGAATTGTGGGAAAAAGCCTATCTGACTCAGGCGTCGTATGGGCTCGATTAGGATAAAATTCGACACCGCCACTTTACACAGAACTTCAACCTCACGGAAGGCAATTGCAAGTAGCCTATCACTGAAAAGCGCGTCTTTGAAACCTCGGCGCGAACCTCCCAATCGGACCTGACGATATTATGGAATGCGCAGCTTTTTACATTGCAATTGATGGGCGCAAAGCTGCTAACATGTACTGTGACCATCGGTTGTAATAACAAAGATGCGTATGTGTGGGACCGTCGGACGTCTTAAAGGCCTACTAGTACTGTCCGTTCGTGATGTAAGTGCAAATATCATCATGGCTCTTCGGTATAGACCACGCTAATGTCTCACTTATAGGTCTCAGCCAGGAAGCTGTTGATGGACTCGGACGTACGTCATGTGTTTCTGAATCATTCAAGTTGTTCAACGACAATATTGTAGAGCGATGCAACACGACCAGCTCAACTCAAGGATGCCCGTCAACTACCGCCAGGCATTTTTATGATGGCGTGGTCAGCAGCTCAGTCAAGCAGCTCTTGTTCTAACATCTGTGTTCACAGTCCTCTGTGATGCGTGGCATCTCTGCACACTGGCACTGTAGCCGCCGCACCGCCGCACCCTCTCTTCAGGTGATGTAATACCTCTTTCTTCAATTAACTTCACTCCAAACGAAAACCAACTCCAATACATCTGAACCCCTGGTCAAGACACCTACTCTATCTCATCACCGGTAATAGATGCTCGACGCTATTTATGCACGAGATGGCACATGCATGTGTGCATGTGTAGGCATGTCCTTGCCAAGCGCTGCCATTTCCTCGTAGATTTCAAGCCTAATATCAGCCACTTGCTTCGAATGCATCTCTGCTTCCCTCCAAAATGTGTTCCTGATCCAACTCATTCAGGCTTTTCATCATCAGAACGTATGTGAGTATCGCATGCTGCTCAGGCTCCGGCACCGTCGAGGTCTGTATATTGTTTCTTTGTTTGTACTCTCACTGTAATACACATACACATACGCGCACTGACCGGGTTCCTTTCAGGACCAATGTCTCTCACGCCCATACGCTGCTAGCCGCTAGCGGACAATCAGTGTGGTCCTGTTGAAGCATAACATATTCCATTATATATGCGGTCTGTGTGAGTCAGCACCGCACACGCCGGGCCCAGGGTGTTCTTCCCCGCCCGTCAATGAACGTTCTCGTTTCGAATGTTATCTCGTGGGTGAATGCCCTGACGTCCTTGCTCACTCCAATGCGTATACCCTCCCTCATTTCCACTGAGCCGTCGATATTCCGCGCACTTGGTACACATGAAGCACCATGTTCTACGAGTACGTACTTCCAACCTCACACTTGCAAATCTCCCCTCCCGCCAATGAAATGACTGGTACAGACTCCAACTCATAATCCTTGTATTCCCCGCCAAGCTCATGCACTTCGTCTGACATGCCGACCGGCACGCACACCCTGACGCCCAGGTTTATTCCTCTTTCCGACGTACCATTTGGGAACGCACGGCGTAATGTCTTGACACGTCGCTCCCGGCGTATCCAATATTCCCCTAAAATCTCTCGAGAACTAATCCAACTGATCCGCCTCGCAGAGATTTTATGTCAGGCAAAAGGAATAAAAGACGGGACCGAAGGAAACACATTGCGGAGTCTGTATATACGGAAACGCGCATAAACTCATGTTCCATGAACTATATTTGATTATTTACCTGGGTAGGTGGGTAACTTAAAGCCGTCTTGTCAGTTTGAAGTTAACGTTTAGTATATGACAACATATGACACGGCGTACAGTGATCGATCCGGTAATACTCTGCTACTTGGGGTATGCCAAACCTGTAATTATATTGCACGAACAGCCCCAGCTGGGGTTATTAATATGCTAGGCCGGCCCGGGGGATCGACAATGTTCTGAAGGTCCGATGTCGGGCATTCGGACAGAATGTCACAAGAAATGTCGTGGAGATAAGTTTGCGAACGTTGCAAATTGATTGCGTATATTGTGCCAAATCGGAACTGGCAAAATTAGCGAGAGATAAAAGGGAATAAAGTTGACGAAACATTGACGCGCCGGAGAAAAGAGGGGGAAATGTCAACCAACAGTCCCACGTCAGTAGTAACGGCACTTCCTGACATCGAATAGGCGCAGAGTACTGAGCGCAAGAGGTATGAACACGGAGATAGTACGCCGAGTTTCGAGTAAACAACCCGCATGGTGTTTCAATTGATTTGTGCGCAGATCCACCATAATCCAGAAAATCCGGGGAACCCATCTGACGAGCCAAAAACCCTTCAAGGGTGGTAAGTACGGGAGCCGAGCTATGTACGACAGTGGACAATCCAAAGTAGCGAATAAATAAAATGGTACTTCTTGTATCAGGTTTGTTACAGGGCCATAGAGCTGGAGGCTCGCTTGATCAAGGCGAGTAGTGTCGATGGTGGCGAATGTATATGGCACGCTGCCGAAGATTTCTTCATGCTCGACTCGGAGCACTAGTATAGTCATGTCGAGACTCGCTGGCGTCGCCCACATGCATATGGTCGCGTAGAACAAAAAGAAGGGCGTGGATTCCAACACGTAGAACGTAAAAGTCAGGGATCTGGCCACCTCCGAGTCGGGCAAAGTAGGCTAGCTGGTTCGAGCGGAGTCTAAACGCTGCTCATCGGCGCTTTGCACACATGTTAACGTGCCTCTCACTGAGTCACTACTGTCGCATATTGGTCGCACCTTCCGCCATGGATATTTGAATGACCGTCAACAATCCTCCCGCCCGCCACCTGCTGTTGGTCGAAGCTGTTACCAACTTACTTGTTTGTCGCCAGCTAGCAATTTGCAAAGAAGATTCATTATCTGGCAGTCTCACGTACTAAACTCTTTTCCTGTCGTCGGGAGGTGACATAATTCCCAATACCTTCACCGTTGCGTTTTCACTGGTACTTCTCGCACAAAATTTTATTGCGCTATCCGTACTGATACTACTGAACGCATGTTGGAGTGGTAGCGCAGCCTGAAGCAAAAGAGGTAGGACTAATATCTGAGAATGAAGAAGACAGCCCCCTGAGGACGTGCAGGCGCCGCCTAACGCCTTACGAGGAACTCTACCAGCACGCAATCGCAAATAGTTTCTTGGCAGTGATGAAATAGCACATAAGTGCCGCATTTAGGAGATCTTTCCAAATAAAATACTGAGCACATGTAAGCTCTTCCCTTGTCATTGAAACGCCAATGCCACATGACCGGCTTACGTTCCTATAGTATGATTATCAACACATTCATTTCGGTGCTATTATTTCGGCCAGCGAGGCTATACTGTCTGCTCGTTCCTATCTTTTCAGTAGCTCCATGCGGAGGCTCGCGCTCATTTCTCATCTCGTCAGTCTGCCATCAGGGTCTCGTCGACTCACTGTTTCTCGCTCGTATGCAGCAAGAATACGGTATACTATTATTGCGTGATTGTCAGTACTCGATCACCACGAGTGCAACGACCCCGGCCTATACCCCAGCCCACCTCGCAACCTGCAATAACACCTTCACTGCCCTTGCCAGATCCCACCCCATACGATGCAGAAGCAGCGACTCGGAGATGGGCCAAGACCGCTAAGCGTGCTCTCTGACTCCGACTTTTACTAATGTTTCCGAACTCGCCCCACCTGCATCCGTACGCAATTGGCCGTCCAACTTGCTGTCTTCCGCACCTCTTAGCACTAGCGTGCGCCACAGCACCTGCGTCAATTTCCTGGGAGGACGAGGTTAACCAGGTCATTCACACGAGCCTCTGATGGGTTTGTATTCTCGTCAATGAGTTTGGCTGAGCATCTGACAGCTATGTACATCCGCTTTCGCATCCGAAATGCTCGTCGGTCGCCGTTGCATCACCGCTGTGCTAAAAACATGTATGTGTAATGTTACTCGATCTTTGTCCCCTATTTCCGCAACAGGGCCCCCGGCGCTGGTTTCGACCTTTGTTCTGTTTTCGGGCTGTAAGTTCATGAGCTTGAAATTAACCCGAGATACTTACGCGTTGAATTACAATAGACGAGCATAGCATCACGGGACTGAGTACCTGCCTAGACTTACCTGTATGTCTTACAAATGAATTGATAGCAAAATCCAGTTTTGTATGTTCGGGCATTACGGAACCACAGTCGGGGTTGAAATGTTGTTCGTTGATGATAGGGGTGTCATCGGACTGGGAGTTAACCGGGCCAATTATCAAACGCGACGCCCAGTGAATCCGCGCCATGGACAGCCTCTGCACGACGCACGTTAAGCTCATCGCATCAATACCCAATCCTTCCTCTTGGCGTAAATTGATTCATATGCTTTTCACTGTCACAAAATAAACGAGTGAGTCCACTAGGATCGATACTGTTTGTCCATGACACCATGCTCTGGTTCTGCCGTCTGGGGAACCGTCATGCAGGCGGGAAGGAAGCCGCACCCGGAGACGAACTTTAAACCTTCGGCACGACGTGACATTGACGCCCTCCGATTTCATTTTCCATTCGATGTACGATATCGTGCTTCGTAAGTAGGGATAGACCTGTCACAGCGCAATTCTCAAGATCTGATCGAACCTCACCCGTCGGGATTGGTTCACCGTGGGGAGACATCATACTCCATGAAAAATTGAAGAGTTTGGTTGCAGGGCAGTTTGACTGGTTTTACCGGTAGGCCATCTAATCAAAAACTTCTACATTGGGATGAGCGCTACAGATTTTTGACTCCAACGATGTTCCGCCGGCCGTCAACTGGGTAGGGCGGTCCAAAAAAGTGCACTTAATATTCCCCTTCAAGAATTATGCAAGCAGAGGATGTTATAAAAGCAGGCTCATTCGATGACACTGGACCTTTAACTCCAACAGTAGACTCGGACTCACTACTGCGCGATTGCAAACATGCAACTCTACCGTAACACGCAACGTTACCAGCGTCCTGTGAAGCAAAGCAAAATTGCATCGCAGAGGCAGTATCGAGTCAAAGAGGGGGACGGGTTCCAGGAACTCCGAGACGTCATTCACTCTGTGTCGGGGGAGACTCCCCAGACCAGGCGCGAAACTTTGAAAGCAGGTATACTGGTTTCGAAATGTGTCTTGCCTTGCGTGCTCATCCCCTGCACAGCTGCAGAACTGCTGAAGCAGTTCTTTGGAGAAAACGGTTCAATTTCCAGGCATGAGCCACCCTTAGAAAGCTCGTCAGAATCTCCCTATGAAGCTGAACAAGGGCCTCACACATCTTATGGTACGTATATGTGGGCCGTCCGAGTCGGCAACGGGTTCTCATAGAACTTCTTAGAACGTCTTCTGGTCCCTGATGGCGAGACCTGCACGAACACTATTGCACCGTGGACAGAAAACGTTAGCCCAACGTCAGAGAGATCTGCGACGAGCACGATGCTGGAATATTACAGTGGCTATCCTCAAGAAGAGGCACAATGTATGGTCGGTTGTGGGGGCGATTGGAATTTGGTTCAACCAACCCCTTCGCAATTCTCGTTTTCCACGCAGTGGAATGATCTGTCGTTCGTTCACATGAACATTGATCAAGTCCCATTCTACGTAGAAGGGGTGGAATTAAATTAAACTGTACCTCGGGATTCAAGGAATTCTTGATTATTTACCTGTAGCAATATTTGATTGTCTTGCGTACCTTGTAGCTTCCGGTGTACTATTTCCCGTATTTATCGGATCTATGCCTTCGGTGAAATATGACTACCGAGAGGGTGTTGAGAAAAATAAGACCGTTTGACATCCTGAGTACGACTGGAGTAATGATTGTACTCCTGGCGTGTCAGTGATGATACACATATCATTTTTGAGGCACGCGAGAGTGTGCAGAGCCTCCATAGTAGCCAGCAAGGTCTGCAGACTTGTCACTGACTATAACCGCGAATTATAGGATCAAGAAAGGCGTCCATGATAGGGCGCACTCTGGCATGTCAGAGTTAGCATGGGCGTCCTCACCGGAGAACTAAAAATGACCTAATTTCATATTAATATTGTAGTTCGTCCCAAATCGCCAAGAGAGTGAAAATCACCGCGGTGTTTGTGGTGCAACAACTATCTTTCTAATAATGCATGTCGGGGAAGGGCTAAATGCAAGCATACAACTGGCGCCGTGGTGTTATGAACACAACCTTGAATACACGTAGCGCCTAATGAGCACGATCCATTCGTAATCGGCTGCATTTGGATAAATGGAACGAGCTCGGACAAAGGGAAAAGCAAAATGGGACACCACTCTAACACCTGAAATGAAATTAAGGCAAGACAATAATCAGAAACAAACCGCAGATTTCGTCGGGATGAGATGGATACCCATTAACAGTTGAACCCATCACAAGGTTCAGCTCCTGAGATGCGCAGCCAAGTGGATCCATGGCGGGCCAAGCGTGGGCGAAGACATATACTAATCCGAAACTGTCATACCGGCATCAGCTGAGATATGGAGTAGATGAGCAGTCTCCGCTGACGTGGTATATGCACATACTGGGTGGTGGCAGCGGCAAAAGGGTGGTGGTAGGGGGGGTGAGGCGGAAGGAGCCGCGGAAAGAAGGAGAAGGACATATTTTAGGATGTGTTATTTGTGTTGGCTAAGAATCAAGAAGTAAAGAATGAGAATATAAATTTAGTCGCAATCGGGTTTGCAGAAGATTCCGAGAAGGATTGTCAGTCGCAATCATATACAGAAGCATGTCACATGCATGGATATGTGGCGCGAGTCGAGGGTCGAGAATTCCTGGTGAGAGAATGCGCACATAGTTTCTACAATCCCCGGACCTATATTACTAAATGTGACAGACGACAAGATACTCGTAAACGACGAAAACCAGAGACGAGTGTGCACGCACTAAGAGCAGATGTCGGCAAAAACAGAACCAAACTCAGGGGGCAAGCTGAACCGCATCGGGAATGAAGACCACTTTCATTACGATATGGACCGGAGACGGGCTGGGACTCTCCCCGCAGGACGGTAAGGCCAACCTCGACACATGTACGAACCAGGACTCCAGCCACTACGCGAGGTCCTCCGGCACTCCCACGGAGGACCTATGCCAAGATCCACTCGGTAAGCGTAAGGCGTGTTGCCGTTGGAGACACCGAGGACACAAATACTAGGAGCGGGGAATGATTGACTTTGGCCCCGTTATCTAGCGAATAGATTACCTCATTGCAAACGGAGCCCTCCGAAAAAACTGGTAACGGAACATAAAATGAAATTTCAGTGGAACGCAAAGAGAAACAATGTTTCAAATCCAGCTGGATAACGGGTTAGATCTAGAAATTTCGGGGCATAAGTTGTCTGATTATGATATGCTTTGGGCAGTGGAACGGGAAACGAATGGAATACGGACAAGACAATTGAAGCCGCTTAGATCTCTTCATCAATCCCCTTGAACCAGCGCCTTGGTTTAAATTTTACGTTACAGAGACTCGGAGTCGGCTCAGAGTTAACGTGCGTAGATCATGTTGGGGGTAAGGGTGTTTCCGCAGCGCTCATAACGTTCCATGCTATCCACGTGTGCGTGTTTTGTTAACTATTGACTCATCTAAAAACCTTCGGTCAAAGAGCAAGACTCCGAATGACAAACCGCATTTGGTATAGCTCAGGACTCGATCTCGTAATTACTTGATGATGGCTCTTCAACACCAATCAAACACTGTCCCTCGCCATAGACTGATTGGTAGAGAATTGCATCACTTGACCACACTGATTAGGACGAAGCGTCAATGTGCTACCGAGTAAGCGAAACACTGACAGAAACTGCACTAAGACAAGCAAATAGTTAACGTACGAGAACAATGATTGAATAGGGTCAGGTACTTGCGGGAACGTGATCGTGATCATCAAATGCAAGGTCCAAAGCAATCCCATGATAGCACAGCCGCTGCAGCTCCACTGAGCTGCCAGATCAAGTCGTAAATTGACCATAAACGGTAGCAGAAATTATAGAATTTCATTGAGGATGCAGGCGATGGACCAGAATTTCGGAATTAAAACCCATATGCACTCATTCAAGAGTCTCGGCTCGAACCTGCTCGAACCGTAGAAAAAGTCAAAATAGACCGCGTGAGCCGAGGCGATTTGAAATACCGGATCATTGTATTCATTTGGTGTGAACTCGACGCTACGGCGGGCTCAGCTTGTCCCACAATTCATGTTTGCTTGAGGAGATGTTCCGAATCATTGGAGTTGATGGTGGCTATTCAAGTGTTGGGAGGCTTATCCTGATCTCGGTTTGCTTACAATGTCGTGATTTGATCGCTGAAGTTGGTGTGTGAGACAAAAATAAAGTCAGCGGGCTCCAGAGTGCCCCATGGATGGGGCCTTACGTGGTTAATTAAAGGCTGCGGAGAGCCGGCGTCCCAACAGTGCGGCCAATTACAAGGGACGGCGTTGAAATTTGAGCACCGACAAATGATTGAGTTCGAGGGCTGTCATCCCGATAAGCTTGCCGTCCTTCGGATCTGATCTTCCATTGGCAAAAAAACTCCAATGGCGCTCAGAGATTATGGCGAACCTCACAGTTTTCCCTCGTAATCAGTCATCGTCATCACGTCACCATGTCCACCATGTCGATCGCAATTGAGTGTGGTGTGGCCCGTCTCTCCCCACTGTAGAGAAGAATTAGAATGTTCGCCACGGATTGGGGAAGTTGGGGCGTCTCGTCCACATTCAAACTCTGTTGAGAATTTAGGCACTCACAAACATGATGTCCTTGCTAGAGCTTTTTCTTGCTGAGCCGCCGCGTCGGCCGTCAGTATTCCCCATGCAATAGTATCTTCGCAGTTATGTTGCCTCGCACAACTGCACGGAAGCTTGAAGTGTGCCGCTATCTTGTGTCTGTGAGTGCACTGAAACGACTGGGCTGATCGCGACGGTTACGAACGTATCAATCGCAGTGCGTGGAAGAAAATCTCCGCTGTATTCATGTCATCGAGATATAACATTGTTCAATGGATAAGGATATGCATCTGCATAACGATAAGTATTGAAAACGAAGAAAAGGAGCACACGCGTGAAGAAACGGCCATCGGGTGACTATGTGGGAGCATGAGGTTTGAGAAAGAAAAACGGAGCATACCTATCGAGAACTGCCTCGTCATCCACCCCCACTCGTAAAAATTTTTGTTCTCCGCTCCACTCAAGATATGCTTGCCGCCAGTGGAGAAGGTAATGCAGGACACCTTGCCGGAGAGCTTGAACATGACGATGGCTTGTCCATCGTGAAGCCGCCAGAGGTAAATCCGGATATAGTTGTCATCAGATATGCTGCAATGAGCGTGCCAGCAGAGTTCATGGCCATCATGGGCCTTCGACAATGGTTTTTGTGACCCGGTGCCGGGTGGATCTACATACCTGACTGCCATGTGACCGTGTCAAAGATCCTAATGAAGCTACTGGTGATCCGGAGATAAGCTTTTTTTTCTTTTCATTCAACGGTGTCTGACTGTTGAAATGTATAGTGGTCGCTGTTCCCAAAGAGACACCAACGTGTGTGCTATGGAAGGCCCTGCTTTCGGTTTTTTGCATGCTGCATCGATATCATGTTCTGCTGTACGAGTCGGCATTCAAATATTGGTGGGGGGGTAATCGAGGTGATTACAGGCTGCAATCTGTATGTTCTTCAGTCGCGATGAAGTTCTGTTGCAAGATCGGATGTGCCACGTCCGTCGCGATCGCCGTGGGATCATTGTTTATTTCTGAAGCTGTAGCCAAACAAAGATTGAATTGATTAGTCAGTTAATAATGAATTTCTCAGACACTGGCAAGAGCCTCATGCAACATCACAGTGAATCGGCGTAGTCCGCATATATATATATATATATTCATATTCTCCCACATCCTCTCACATCCTTTCATCCATCTCCAGGATGATCACAGAGAAGAGTGAGAAGGCAGGTTTCTGTCAGCCTGCTAATGAGATACTTCCCCACCCTTCAGGTCTAGCTCAGGCCAGGAGGCATCCAGGGCGGACTGTTCCCCGCAAGTTCCTGGTTCTTGCGAGTTTCGGATTTATCTTTTTCTTACTCTTCAAGGCCCACTCTACCTCCTGCTTCGTTGGTTTGAAGAAAGGCTGGCAAGCATACCATGGCAAGAAGTATTCTGAATCCTATGATAGTTATATAAAGCGTATCGAGGAGGGCTATCTGTGAGTACGAACTTGGTGATACATATCAAGATCTCAGTTCACCCGCGTCTATAGCGCCGTTCCATCCGCAGAGTCTGCGCTTGCAGCTTCACGTGACTACGCTACACACCCACATTTGGCTGGCGCAGTGGAAGACTTCCAGGATGCAAAGGACATCCTTGCGCTCTTCCAATCCGAGTTTGGTATCCCTACACCTGCTACCGAGCCCATCTACCCGGCAGGCTCCTCCGAGTCCCGCGAGGCAACGCTCAGTACAACCTCCAAGCTCAGCAAACCTGCCGCATGGGTCGATATCTATTACCCTGTCATGAACACAGGGAATGCAGACGGCATGGCCGTGGAACTGCTCGGTGAGAGTGACCGGCCTATCTGGAAAGCCGACCTGCTAGAGGATGGTGATCCTCGTGACGAGACCGCTGCCAAGTACAAGAATTCAGTTCCACCCTTCCACGGTTTCAGCGCTGCTGGAGAGGCTATCGGCCAACTGGTGTACGCAAACTACGGCACCCATGACGACTATGAAAAGCTCGTTGGCGCTGGAGTTGATCTCACAGGCAAGATCATCTTGGCTCGCTATGGTGCAAATTTCCGTGGTCTTAAGGTGAGTTGTGTGGTATCTAATGGCGTGACATATTACTGATGCCAGACAAGGTGCAAGGCGCAGCAGCACGCGGGGCAGCTGGTGTCCTGATTTTCTCTGACCCTCGAGACGATGGCAGTGTCACTGTGGAGAACGGGTATGAACCGTATCCCGCCGGCCCCGCCAGAAATCCCACATCCATTCAACGCGGCTCGGTTATGTACCTCTCTATCTACGCAGGTGACCCCACCACCCCAGGCTACCCTGCATATGAGAATGCAACTCGTATCGAGGCAACCAATATTCCAAATATTCCAAGCTTGCCACTTTCCTGGGCTAACGCCAAACTTCTTTTTGAGGAGGAGCTCGGCGGTGTCCTTGAGGGCACCAAGTTGAACGGGAGAGTTGGAAGCAGAAAAGTCAGGATGGTTAATGATGGTAAGCCGTTTTAATCTCATTTATTCAGTCGGATCGTTGCTCAGTATAAACGTGCAGTGGAAGCCAAGGTCACACCTATCTGGAACACCATGGTTGCAATTCCTGGCCACATCAAAGACGAAGTCGTCCTCCTTGGGTGCCACCGTGACGGTCAGTAGTGCGATCTTCCTGTGCAGTACGTATCTCATATTTCCTCATAGCTTGGGTTATGGGCGCTGCGGATCCCACATCCGGTACTGTCTCTCTCCACGAAGTTGTTCGGGGACTTGGTGCACTTTACAAGCGAGGATGGAAACCACTGCGTACTGTTGTCATTGCTAGCTGGGATGCTGAGGAGGTCAGTACGATCAGTCATTGTAAACAGCTCTCCTTATCCATAGCTGCCACAGTACGGTCTCATCGGAAGCACTGAGTGGGGTGAGGATTTTGCCGACTGGATCCAGGAGCATGTAGTCTCCTACGTCAACGTCGGTATGCCTTTCTTCCGTATCGTGTATGTGTTGTCTGCTTAAATTTGGCGATAGACGTATCGGTTTCTGGTTCTCGCTGGCATACTTCTGCTTCCCCTTCTCTCGCCCACCTTATCCAGCGTTCCGCCCAAGACGTCCCTCACCCTACGGATGCCCAAAAGACCCTGTGGGATGCTCATTTTGATGTTGGTCCTTACGAGGGCCCCATAAATGCCGAATTTGCTAGCATGTGGGACAAAAAGACCTCGAACGAACCACGAATTGGCCCACTCGGATCGGGAAGTGATTACACAGTCTTCCTGCAGAGACTTGGTGTTCGTCTCTCATCATAAAGTCTGCCGGAGTGCTCGACTCATGACGTCATTGTAGGTTGCCAGCTCTGACCAAGGCTTCGGTAATACTCCGACAGATGCGCCATACCACTACCACTCTATCTATGACTCGCAGATGTGGCAAGAGGTGTACGCAGACCCTGGTTTCCACAAGCATGTTTGTTGTCACACATTCATCCCTGTGTTCGCCGATCTCACATGTGACTAGGTTGCTGTCGCGCAGAATTTGGGTCTGTTGACATTGCGTCTCGCAGATTCCATAATCCTCCCTCTGAACACCACTCAGTACGCACTTGAGCTTGATTCCTACGTCGATACGTGAGTGTTTACAAGTGAAGCCGCATCATATGCCATGCTAATCCTTTCCAGCGTCGTCGAGTCTACTTACCGTGAAGAGATTCTTCCGGATCTACTTCCTCTCAGGAAGGCCATTGCAAAGCTGCAGGATGCAAGCGCTAAGCTTGACGAGGAGAAAGTTGCTGCCGAGAAGGCTTTCCGTAAGGCGTTGAAGAATATCAGACGTGTTCGCAATCCCCGCGTTGTTCGGCGGATCATCCGATGGATCAAGGAGCATCTCGGTATCGGTGCACAGGAAGTTCAAGACTTGAGGTTTGGCGCACTCAAATGGATGTCGTCTGTAACAGAGTCAAGGCCCTCTGAAACGGATATCTGCAAGTCGCGTAGCAAGGGCCCGCTATGTGATTTCATACAGGCAGCTAGGAGGGTTAGAGCCGCCAATCAAAAACTCACAGCGTTCGAACGTGGATTTATTTCTGAGGACGGCATTAAAGATAGAGAATGGTATAGGCATTTGGGTGTTGCTCCCGGGAAACACCTTGGTAAGCCTTTCTGCGTTATTGCTGTGCATTTAGCTAATGTATTCTACACAGGGTATGCACCGACGACGCTGCCGGGCCTAACGGAAGCTATTGTCTTTGACGAGGATCGCAGGCTCGCCGAGTATGAGGCTGCTCGACTGACCACACTCATTGAAAACCTCGCAAACTTCATTGAGGTCTAACGCACAGGAGTCGTTGTATTCTACCGCGTGTAGGCTTACAGGCCAGCAAATATGAAGCTCAATATGACCTGCTTTCTTAAAACTATTCTGCATCAGCCGGTCTGGTGAATTCGAGTGAAATGGTAGCCGGCTACCGAAGATCACATACGATTCTCAGGCGTGTCAAAATACGATTCAGATTATGGACAAGCACGCAAATCGTGCGAGAAGAAAGATCCCGAAGAAAGCCTTCACTGCATCGACGCGTTAAACTCGGATCATTGAGGTTTCTACTCGCCTTATCGGAACCGAGCTGCATCATACTCATTTACCATCGATGACATCTTAGAGCACATTGATAAAGGCGCGTTTACTGCATATGTAGGACCTTCCTTACGCTTTCTTCTGCACAAGATGAACCGACTCGCGTCAGCTACGTTTTTGGCCTTCCTCGTACTGTCCGTTTCAGTCTATTGCAAGACTCAGACGCAGCAGGTCTTACAACATCTTGCACCGATCGTGAAGTTGGATGATGGGATATTCACCGGCATATTATTTGACGACACGGCACAATTTTTGGGCATTCCATTCGCTCAACCCCCGTGAGTATGACCACACAATCAACATGTGATCAACGGGCTGAATTTATGCAGCATCGGGAGCCTTCGCTTCCAGGTCCCTCAACCGTTGCCCCCTTATGAAGGTGAACACCCTGCAGATGCCTATGGTCCAGCCTGCCCCCAGCAGGGGTCATCGACCAAGAGAGGGATGATTACTGCGTCAAGTGAAGATTGTGAGGAATTATCTAACGTTCTACTTTTCATTCCGGTCACGCGAGCCGTTCGCTAGGTCTTACACTCAATGTCTTTACGCCTGCTATTACGTTCCCTGGGTCGAAACTGCCTGTGGTCGTGGTGAGTCTGACTCTGATGTCCTTCCGATTTGGTGTTCCTGAAGCCTAGTTCTAGTACATATTCGGGGGTGGTTTCGAAACAGGCACCAGTCGATCGTAAGTTATTCGGCACCATTCCGTTTTACGCAAACGAATAAGACCCGAACTAACATTCATATTAGAGAGTTCGGCAATATCACGGTTAGTAGATCCTTGCATATGCATGAGCCAGTTATCTATGTCAGCATGAACTATCGGTATGTGGTTTCTTTCGTTTTTGCACTTTCTTTCTGACAGCGACGTATCACAGGTTGAGCGGTAGGTCGCCTCAAAGTGGTAGCTGTCTGTACTAACATCAGTATAGCTTGGGGATTTCTAGCGAGTGAAGAAGTTAAGCAGGCTGGCACTGGAAACCTAGGCCTCCGAGATCGTGAGCACACTGGTTTTTTTCGCTTTGCCTGAATTAATTGAATTGTCCTCAGAGCGACTTGCACTTCATTGGGTGCAGAAGTATATCGGCGCATTCGGAGGCGATCCAGCAAAGGTAACCATGTAAGTGCCTCCGCTAGTTACGTGTATATGACCTGGACGACTCTCAACATAATAAAGATGGGGTGAAAGTGCTGGAGCAATATCCGTCGCTCTCCAGATGCTTGCTTATGATGGTAATAACGAAGGTCTCTTTCGTGCTGCATTTATGCAGTCAGGATCCCCGACACCAATGGGCGACATCACCCACGGCCAACGTTATTACGATTTTATTGTTGACGAAACAGGGTGCAAAGGGTCGAGCGATACGTTGGAATGCTTGCGAGGGGTACCCGGAGATGTTTTACAAGCTGCTGTGGACAAAACACCGTCCTCCTCATCTTACCAGGTTTTTGATTATGTTTCAGTGTTGGAAGGTTTGATGTTGACCGACTATCTTTTTGACAGTCACTCGTTTTGGCTTGGATGCCTAGGGCAGATGGAACGTTTTTGTCAGACAACTTCCAACGCCTCATCCAGAAGGGAAAAATTGCCAACGTGCCATTTATCACAGGTTTGAGCCTTTCATTACTTTGATCAAGTGGTGTGCGGCTAACTCAGGATACAGGTAACTGCGATGACGAGGGAACGACCTTCTCCTTCAGCACTGCCAACATCACGTACTAAAGCTCGCTTTTCACATTCGAAGACGCTCATTCACTTAACTCATTTAGGACAGGCGAACAGTTTCATAAGTATTTGAAAACATATTGGGCGCCAAATGCAACGGATGAGGAGATCGATGGCATCTTACACGTGTATCCCGAAGACCCGACCACTGGGTCTCCGTTTGGAACGGGGACGCTCAACCAGTTAACTCCGCAATTCAAACGCATAGCTGCTTTTCAAGGAGATTCAGTATTTCAAGCTCCGAGGCGGTTCCTTTTATATGAACGATCGGGGAGACAGAAGATTTGGACCTATCGTGCGTGTGAAATTTCCCTTGTTCGAAACCAGGGGATAATCATCTTGTCAGTCAGCAAAGGTCTAAAGGCAGTCCCATTGTTAGGCTCGGTACGTTTATTTATTGAACCAGGTGTTCAAAACGCCACTCACCTCGTTCTAGTTTCACGGCTCAGACTTCATTGATGAGATGCGGGGCGGTCAAGGGAGCTTGTTGGATCACTTGATTAGATTTGCAACCAACCTCGATCCTAACGGAGATCTCAGCGGTATCTTCTGGCCACAATACACTGTAGAGTCAAAGGACATGCTGATGATTGGCGAATGGCCTTGGTCCCCACCTACCATTATCCAGGACGTATAGGAAGGAGCCGATAGAGTACTTGATGAACTTCAGTTTGACTCACCCCCTGTAGTACCTATATTGCCGTATGCAGCCGCACATCTATCTGAGTATTCCGAGTCCGGGTCATGCAAGACGATTCGATGAAAGATGGAAACGAAAATATTCCAGCTCCTTCATGATCAGCGGGCAAGCTTAAGGAAAGAGATTCCACAGACTTATTAATTGGCCTATCATATGCTGCAAGTATGTTACAATGATGACGTCACCGACGGAGACCACTAGTGCTAAAATTTTGAAACGCAAACTGACTGAGGCAAAAGGTGAAGTTGAGTTCGTCATTCGGTATCCTGGTTTCCGCGGCGACGTGCCACATGCATGTACAATCAAGATGTAAGAGCTATGCCATTCTGAAGAGAGGACGATGTTAGCAATCCAATTTCGATTTCTTCGTCATGGAAGCATACAACACGCAGAGCTTCAAGCTGCAGGCCTCAGGTCCGACCAACGTTTCAGAATTCGATGATGAGTCCTGGTAGATGCCAGTGATAGAGCGCGGCTACCCATAATATGTCATGGATACCAAAAGCACCTGGGTGGGGTGCGACTCAACACTTACTTTAATAGCTCAGCATAGTTGAGGTCTGGTCAGCATTTTCGAAATGCCCCTTAGGTCCCAAGCAGATAAACAGACAATGTAGTTCCTAAATATAGCTATTATTTGACATGAATACACTACACACATAATGTCGATTAAACATCAAGTACCACTGTCGAGAATTGAGCTTCTCCAAACTGCATCGCAGATACATCCGCTAGTGATGTAGGAATTCGTGCTCGTCCTTCACTTGCTCGTAGGTTGAAAAGGATCCGAGAAGCTAGAACGCTGTGGATGACGATCTGCGGACTAGTGATGTGATACAGGATCAGTTGGTGATGCTATCGTTCAAGTTGACGTACTCACGAGTCTGTGATAGAAACCCATGTAATCTATATTCAACAATAAGCACATGGATGTCAGGCCAGGCGTACTGCAACGCACCGGAGGAACCATAGTCAAAACTATACTGAACGAAGACACGACTGGATAAAGGGTAGCAAGTCAGCACGCGAGCCAGCTTTGGTGAACAGAGTTATCGTACTCATGATGCAAATCATATATCTCATTGAGTCATTGAAAAATGTTTCTTGGAGTGATCCGATGGCATTGCTGTACTTTCTGGATCTGATGTACAACATCAAGCACAAGAGGACTGATTCATGCGTGAGTTCGAAAATGTTCTCGAGAGACGAGCAGACTGACCCAGTTCATAGAGTAACAGAGCAGCATACTCGAAGACGTTGTTCCTCCCGCCCGTGAAAAGACAGTCGCCCGGATTCGCTGCCCGCCATGAGTTTCATTAATAATGTCACAAAAACGAAAGACTGCATCACAAACGTATGTTAATTGCAGTCGTGTTTGAGGAATTAAACACCAGAGGAGTGTCCGAGATGATATAGGAGACCGCGAAACAAACCTGGTCACGGTTCGATGTCTAACATTCATGGTGAAAGGCGAACGAAAAACTTACCACAGGAAATACCAAAAGGAATGTCAGCAGGCGCTTGCTCCTCCAGGAAGCGTGAATCCTCGTTATTAGCAAGCCTAGGGGGTAAATGTCAATTTTGGGAGCTCATTCAAGAGATGTCTTACCTTCTGCGGCTATAATGCAGATGATGTGCAACACTGAGTAAGGGGTGGATAAGTAAATTAACGTACAGTAGGCTGTGCACGCTAACCGTTGGAAGCCTGTCCAAATCTAACACACTGCGTGGTTGTCATGGATATTGGCGCGTGTAAGGGGTGTTATCACTCACACTTTCGCCAGGATAGTATTGTGTTCGAAGCGCAGCTATCCATCGACCATGAGCATTTACCGCCAAAAAGGGATTATAAGCACATGTAATTCACCCGTGAATGTCATACCAATGCCAAAAAATGGCAGGTACCGTGATACAGTGAATATAAATCGCACAAATGTCCATTTGCGATGCCAGACCCACTTTGACTTTGGGAAGGTCATTGAAGGATTCTGTGATCAGCGTACTACACGCACCTCTGCCTCTAGAGTAATGAAGTAGTCGAAAATCTAGTCAAGTACATTAGCATCATCGCATACTCCCGAGTTCAAGTGAGTGAGGGCACTCACTAAGACAGCAAACGTTCCGACTAAGGTATTTCAGTCAGCCATGGTACTCGCTCAGACAAATGATAAGATCCGAACCATTGAAGTACTGTACGGATCAAGAATCAATCAGAGACCTCGAGGACTCGGCATGTTGCACACCTTAGATCCCTGAAGACCAGCGTCGACGTACAAAGCAGTAGCGTGACTCATCTAGTTTGAAGAAAACGGATCAATGCTTCTCGTTGAACGTTACTCGTAACCCCACTATATAAGCACCCATCACCGACGGCTGTGTTACAAAGTTGAGCCATCAGTATCATCCTGACGTACGCCAAGCGTTGCAACACGGATCAGCGCCGACGCTGATCATTAGGGAGAGCAACGGGGCGATATGAGCGACAGGGCTGTAGGCTCGGATCAACAATCATTCATGAGGCACTACCGTGACTATGAGACGTACGCCACCGCACTGCTTTGAGTGACTTACTTGCAAGTTGCGATTGAATATTTGCCAAATGAAACTGCGAGTAAGCAAGATAGATCAGCCAGTCTCAAACACAGACGTCGTATTCTGTTGGAAGAGTAGTGGGGATGGATGCCCGGAAGCAAGATGGGGGCGTAAACATTGGGGAAACCATCAAACTTGCGAGCTTTCGGAGGATCATGATAGAGCACAAAACCGTATCGTCGGAGTTGGGAGTTTTGCTTGATGATCGTGATGGAGCGTTTCACTGGCTAAAATTTACGCAGTAGCAGACTATAACATACAAGGGATGACTTACGATCATACATTGCACGAATGCTAGAGATGGTATCCCGTTCTACTCCGTCAAATATACGTAATTAGTTGCATGGTCAGACAAAGATCAGACACATAACACACTGGCAGCACAAAGTATGTACCGAATGAGGTTTGATTGATCAAAATACAAAGATTCATTTATAACTCATCTGCTGGTACCGTCCTTGATGATCATGTTTGAACTTTGAAATTTGAAACATCATCATGATATCAATCCTTGAAACATGGAATTACGTTGGAGGGACTTGCCCGGGTACTGCGTACTCAGCGCTGATCAAGCACAAGTCGGCACTACGGCGAGTAGTGCCCATGAATTACGGCCCCCAGCCATCATTCAACTCAGCCGCCGCGGCGATGCCTACGTGCGATCACGTTCCGCGCTGAAGGCCGAAATTACGAGCTTCCTTACCGGTATATTCGGGGAGCCCACAAAAGCGGTGATTTGCGCGCTAGAAGTATCTCATATATAATGCGGACACGACCAGTTGCCTGTGGTTGCCTACTGACTGCTCTCTTTCTGCCTATCTTACCTCGGTGCCTGTCTTGGTGGTAATCTGTACTCTCCATGGAGGACGTGGAGAAGCAAGCCAACTGTTCTTCGATTCGTGGACCGAGCATCGAGACGGGCACATATGAAAACCTCAATCGACACAGTGCTTTGCGGCCTCCTAATGCGCTTTTACTGCCCTCGCACACGAAAAGATCAGATGGAGGGTGGTCTGGTTGTTTGGCTGTCTTCGGAGCATTCCTGGCCCTTTTCTGTTCGTTCGGTCAAATTAATGCTTTTGGAACATACCAGTCGTGGTATTCGGACCACCAGCTTGCTGGGCATTCGCAATTTAGTATCTCCTGGATTGGTTCCCTTCAGTTATGGACTTTTTTCTTCATGGTAAGCTATGTTGATTGTCGAAGTCGTTTTTGCTCAATACCACATGAGACTAGGGAGGACCTATAGGACGCCTTTTTGACGCATACGGGCCGTCGCCCGTGATGATCTTTGGGACACTGCTACTGGTTTTTAGCACATTGATGACGAGCATCTCTACGGAATATTATGAATTCTTATTGTTCCAAGGCTTCTTCTTTGGCCTTAGTGTTGCATCGCTGTAAGTTCGCTGCTGCTCGCTGAGCGTCTTCTGATTTTATCCTACAGCTTCTATCCCTCATTAGCTGCAGTTTCGACTCACTTTGATAAGTACCGTGCATCGGCTCTTGGTGTTGCAGCCGCTGGCTCTGGTGTTGGTGAGCAGTCCACTTATATCTATTCGATCCGACTAAGTTTGTCTAGGCGGCGTCGTTTATCCCATTATGCTGCGCAAACTCTTCTTGTCCATTGGTTATGCGTGGGCTGTCAGAGCGTCGGCGCTACTTTCTGCAGCATGTTGCGTCGTGTCCCTTGTTACCGTAAGGAAAGTTGGTCATAAGAAATGCTCCGGATGGATAGATATCAAGATGTTCAAGGATTCATGCTTCATGCTGCTTGCTACTGGATCCTTTTTCATTTGCCTCGGTAAGAAACCGAAATCTTTTCATGGGGTTATAGCTGACAAGGGCGAAAAAGGAATATTTACTCCATTCTTCTACATCGTGAGCTATGCCGAGGATCGAGCATTCGTTTCTCAGAATACTGCATTTTACGTTCTGTCAGTAATGAATGCTGGGGGCGTATTCGGCCGCATTGTTCCCGCGATCCTCTCTGACAAGATGGGGCGATTCAACCTCCTTATGCCCACCTCCTTCTTAGCAGGCATATCTTGCCTCATCTTTTGGATGCTTGCGAAGACAATGATCGCTGTGATGGGCTTTGCGGCGGTGTATGGTTTTCTATCCGGTGCATTCATATCCGTCATTACCCCATGCGTCGCGCAGATATCAGATATCAGCGAGATAGGGTCTCGCATGGGGGCACTGTATACACTGATATCTGTCCCGTAAGATTGTGACCGGACTTGTTTGTTAAACATGTGCTCACTGTTGTTCTTTCAGCTCTCTTGTCGGTGGACCCATCGCAGGAGCTCTTATTCAATGCCAGAGAGGTTCTTACACCGGAATGATTGGACTATCAGGATCAAGCATTATATTCGGGTCCTTTTTTATTCTAGTTTGCAGGCTGAAGATAAACAAAAATATCTGCGTAAGAGTGTAGCGAGTCGTATGCGAACGCCTCACAGTGCACCCTCTATCCTTCCTTATTTTCTAAGTTTTACGACTGGAAACATTGCATTAATGATGGCTACAATTCTTGTGCTGTGGTGGAATTATTGTATTTTTATCGTTGCGGGGATGCACAAGCGCTATCATTTGTGACTGGCTGGCAGGGCCAGGGACTACTTATCCAATGAATTAGTATATTATGTTTGTGATTCACTGAAAAGTACTAATTAAGACTACGCGAGCCTACGCGAGCACGGTGCCTGTACGACGGTCACTTGAGTACAGTGATCCAGAGGTTGATGCGACAATGGGTAAAATGGGTGTACATGTGATCATCGCGACTGGCCTGGGCTCTCTGCATTCGGTACCTTAATTCGGCTACCGTTCAAGAGAGGAGTTAACTTGACTATGTCTGATTCATGAAGACCTTTAATTCATGCATGTGTCTAATATTGTTGTTGGGCTCGGAAACGATATTTGAAAATAGAACGTACTTTTCATAGAAGCTCTTCAAGTATCCCTGTTCGCCAGCGACAATTCAGTTTAAACGTACACATCATCCATCCTGTAAACAACAATTCTTCAAACAAGGATCACACTATCCAACACCGAAAATCCAGCTGCAACCCCACCCTCATTACTCTCTGTCCCCTTGGTCCTCACAAGCCATCCCACCTCCCTCTCCACTACCTCCCCCGCTCCAAACAACGCATACCCAAAGATCCCCAGCTCAGAGATAACCTCCGTGCGTACGACTTTCTTCTCTGTGCTTCCCTCGTTGGGATCCGAACTGGACGGGGACGCGCGTACGAGGTAACCGCTTACCCCGCGTGGCGTCTCGATCATCTCCATTGCAATCCATGCTTCGCGTTCTTCAGCGGGCAGTGAGTCTAGGAATGCAGGAATGGCTTCGCGGTAGACGTTGTTCCCCCCTCCTTCGCGTTGGGGCTTTAACACAAGCGAGGAGGCTTTGAGGCGCGCAAGACGGGTTCCGGGCGGTACGTTTCCTTGTTCTGGAACCTGGAGGTGGTCAAGCGCAGCGACGATATCAGTGTCATTCGAGTCGAGCGCCCACATGCCCATCCAGGTGGCTCGGATATCTGTTGCGTGGGCTGTGAGATCGAGAGCGTGTGTGCCCCATTTTGCACCTTCATTACTGAGAAAACGCTCGAGTACCCCGGGGCGCGTGAGTGCTTCTTGGACTTTCTTCCCGCCTGCGAGTTGTAGGGGAAGGGATGGACATTTGATGGCGCGGCTGCGTTCAAGGAGGAAACGAGTGTCGTAGTAGGAGGGTGCAGGAAAGTCGGAGGGCGTGTAGGATGCGCGGAAGTATATTGCGGAGATTTCGTATGGTGATGGATTGGGGGAGGCGTGTGTGATTGTGAGGGCGTGGGTGGAGGGGTCGAGAGATGCGGAGATGGCGAGGTCGGCGAGTGTTTGACGAATGACGCAAATTTGATGTCTGTCATGCGGGTTAGCCCGTAAATCGTGTGGGAGAGATTGGGATGTACTTCTCGAGCAATTCGTATTCTAGCCATCGTTGGTCGAATACGTTGCGTTCGTTGGGTTGCACGACGAACAAAATGCGCGCGCTGTATCGGTGTAAGCTGGCAATTACAGACTAAATACTGTTGAACTCACTCTTGGACGCCATACGCTGCGTGGGCCTTGGCAAGACCTTCCGCAAGTCCAGAGGTGGTGCTGTTCTCTGGGAAATTGTCTGCAGTAAGATATGGGGATGCAGAAAAGTAGGAGGTAGACGCCAAGATATTTCTAAACCGCATCAGTCTCTACCAAAAATATCCAGAAACCAACAACAAAATAGACGGACCTGTGCATAGCAGCCGCACGCTCAGAAAGTGGACCAAATGACGAAGAGATAGTATTAAACTCGACCTGCTTCAGCGCGAGTCTATCTTCCGCAGCATGCAAGAGATAATCCGATCTAAACAGGCCGAGGTGCAACGGCTACGTGCCATCAACGCCCCGCCCTGCGACATCAGAAAGAAGTCTAAGACCCACTTGTACTACGCCGTACTCCCTGATGTTCTTCCACCCTCTCCACAGCGTCCCAGTGAACTCATCCGCCTTGCCCACGCCCTCCTCGGCGCCCATCACTGTATCTAAGAATTGGGTATCCATTGCTATACGCGCATATAACACGTTATATACGCTCTGCAGCCCTCTTGCAGCCTGGAATTGCGCACGGGGGAAGGGCGCGGGAATGAGTGAGAGGGGGGCATGGATCGCGGTGGTTGGTATACGTGGTTGGGTGTTGGAAGGAGATTGGGAAGGTGGAAGGTATAGTAATCCATGCGAGAGCGCATAGGTAGTTGCGGTGAGTGTCAGAGCTTCTAATTGCTCTGGAGTTAGCTGTGGAGGCCAGGTGGAGAAGTTGAAGGAGGCCATCAACGAATGGGGTTACGTACAGATGAGTTATAAGCAGGAACAAAGATAAGATAATACCACGTGTCCACCAACTTGCGTAAGCGGACCTTGTACTTCTGCGACTTCTATACCTTGGCCCTGTAACACTCTTTACAGCGGTGGCAATGCTTCCTGCCATCTACATGATATGTCTACGCTGGCCATTGGTGAGGTGTCGTGTGCCAACAACGGAAAACGCCAACATGTCACTCTCATCATTGCTGTGTGAACATATCGACTGGGAGAATAGCCGGTTCAGTTCAATATCTGCCAGTTGCCAGTGACACGCTCACGATGACGAGAAGGGACCACAAATATGGAATTGTCATGCAATCCGAAGGCAGGCCAATCCAATTTTCTCCAGCTCTGACAAGCTTACCGCGACGAGAAGCAGTGAGGTTACTAGGGTTAACTCAGGCTCGTTCGCACCAACTGCAGACAGTTGTCGCAACCCTGCTGACGGCGAAGATGAAACGGCGAGATTTCTTGACACAGCGCCGCATTGGACGTTAGATTTACATAAAACGCTCCCTTTGCAATGCGAGAGGGCGTGCGAAATGGTTGTTTGACGCCCATCTACAAAGCCACTTGCAATTGCCGGGAGGCCAGCACCGCACTTGAAGTAGCGGCTCATTTATACGAGATAAGAAAGTCATGATGTGTGCGTGAAACTCGGTTTTACCTCTTGAAGGCATGCGGAAGGAGTATTCGGCTGACGATATCGCAGCGGCCAGGGGTCTGCAGTCCTTGACAGTGCGTCGCCCTCTTGATCGTACGAGGGCAAGATAATAACATATTTGCCATGCGCCACCAGTACCTATGCAGTGCGCATTATTCTGTGAGCTGCTTCTTCTTGGTACTAACTTGGCAGCTCAGCATCGATGGCTACATTCTGGGTAGGCTTGTTTAAATCTATTCCCGTCCGCCGTTAAGCTTGTTAATCCAGACCTATGATTATGTTTGTTCACTACATGAAGAGGTAATGCGCTCGTTCTGTAATACGCCTCTATTTTGACATATGTTATTCAAAGTGGACATTCCTCCTTCGGTCGCGCTGGACCAAGGCAAAAGGGCTTTATATCATTACACGACATGTCCCCTTTTTGCCCCTCGCCACTGAGCTATATAGTGCGTTCGGCTCCAGCACACATCTTCCCAATAGTGAATTAACATATTGTGCTTCAGAGCTCTTCACCCCGAATGAGAACCTCGATGTATGTGGACGTGCAGTGGATTTACCCAGTGATGAATGATGCTTATTGCATGACTTCACCAGAAATGCCGGATGCTCATATTGATTGAATCATGTACGTGCACAATACATGCTACAATGGACATCCTTTATGAGTTCTCCACAGGCTTCAATATAATATTAGTCGCTTGCTCTGAATGTATCTCTCCTTCCCCTTGAGATCCATGTGCTCCTGATCTGATTCATCTAGTCTTTTTTGTACTCAGAACATGTGCGCTCTGGAGCAACAATATAATCATACTCGCAGCCATGTTGTTTGCCTTTCTTGTGAGTCCCCTCACTCTCTCCACACCTAAGGCTTGTGGTAAATGCATCAGTCAGGTTGTTCTGGTTGCATCCATCGGCGTTAGTTTCATCACTGTTGGCCCCATACAATGTTTGCGCTTCACCTACCCCCGCCACTATTCGCACATGCTCACTCCTCTTTCACAGTTACGATCAGCGCAATCCCAGGCATCACAGGCTGCTACAAGAGCTCGACCAGGTTCAGCTTCGTATCATTTCTTCTCTTGTTTGCATTTCAATGAGGTTTGTTGCCGGAAGCCGGATGCATGCATATACAGATGGCATACTGACTGGTGTTCTCCTAGGACTGGTCTGCCTAACGCTCATACATGTCATGCAAAGCTGGCGGAGGAATGAAAGCCCCCTGTACGCCATCCTGGTGAAGCATAACATATTCTACTATGCATCCGGTCTATGTGAGTCATGACTTACACATGTTTCTGTGCTCATCGATGATTATTCTTGTTCCGAAAGTTCTCTCGGCCATCAATGTCCTCGCATTAATGTTGTTTTCCGATGTACGTGAACCCCTAAATATCCTGTATTATTGAGTCGTTGGTGTTATGCACACCCAGTCCGTGTATCACTCCCTCTTCGAAGAGTATGCACCTCTAAATTCTGCTGCGAATATCTGCTAACCACACCCCCAAACACACATGTACAGTTTCGAGTGCGTTATTCTTACAATCATCGCCACGCGCATGCACCGCCATCTTTGGCAGATCGCCCGGGATGCACACAACTCTGATGGCATTGGGATGACTTGTTAGTCTGATAAGGGCCTGGCGAACCCTGTGGCTTATTTGCCGAAGTGAGATTTGGACTGCACGAGATGGCTGGTCTGGGTGGCGTGGTCGGGTTTGGGAAGTGCTTAACTTGTGGGGATATAGTTCTTGCCGTGGGCGGGAGGTGCGTTTAGCATAGGTGTTGAATTCGTCACTCGTTGTAACGTCCGCATTCTGCCATATCATCTCAATCTGACTCATACTCTCACAAACCATTCCTGGTGTGTCCATAAAACTCTTGATCGTCCGTCCTCCCATGGCACTGTCCGCTCAATCAACCGCGCAGTCACGGCCCCTTCCATTGAGGATTCATTTCGTTTATTTTCTTTGTTGTGCATCTGCCCCGCATGCAGACGGGAATTGACGCTGCGGCATATGGACGTCTATGTCATCTTTGGATCCAGTTCTTCTGTTATCATTATTATCTCTTTGTCCGCGTTGAGACTCCATATTTGATTGCCACAACCTCCTCAATCTCAGGTTAGCTTTAACACTGGCATGACGCCTCGATTCTAATTTCAACCATCGTTAGAAACACGTCCTGGCTGCAAATCGTGGTGCTGCAAATCCCGAGCACCAGTGATCCTTCATTCGTTGGGTACTCGATAGCAAGTATGTACATCCTGCATGGGACTAGATTGTTCCCTCGCCATACTGCACATACGCACCCTCAGTGTCAATTCCTGCAGACTATATGGTTTCAACATGTTGTTCTGATCTCGCGGCAATTTCCCGCCGTATAATTTCCCCGAGTGCTTGAGCGCTGGTATGATGTCAGTGCCAGGCTGTAGCCATGCGACCTTTGCGTGGTGTACAACCAAGACGTGTCGACCCGCTGTCTGTGCTGCGACTGGCCGTTCTGTTTCTCCGCTGAAGAAGCGTAGGTCGCGGACGACGAGGTACTGAAGAATCAAAGAATCAAAGTTTATTGCTTTCAGTTGAATCTGGGTGGGCGAACGAAATGGTATCATAACGTCTCCTAAATTAATTGTTCCAGCATGCTCAGCGACTCAGTCTCTGAGTTATTAGTACGCCACAAGCGCTCAGTGCTGACTCTGTTGCTGAGTCTTATTGGTTCTCTCAAGCGCTTTATTTATACAGCATGAAGCTGTGAATCACGGGACGCACCTAAATGAGAAAAGGCGGCTTGAACACACGAGCGCCGAACTTCCTCTTCTCCCAACGAGACATCCATTGATCGCTGGTGACTGAGTACTGTGTCTGAACGGTGCTTCTCGTGATTGATACTGTAAACTCTTCTGCAGGTTAAGTTGACAACTCGCTTACAAGCGACCTGGAATACCCATCAAGATCCCTAGCACATTCTCGAATAACGGCACAGCAAGTACGCATACACAGTCCTGAAGCTGTCTTCTGGGCAAGGACTGGATTCCTGTAAGTAGGTTGCCTCGTAAAAATGGCTTGTGTGCTCTAACAAGCGTTGCAGTGAAAGAAGAGAAGCCCCTGGACTTACCAGCAACCATTGCCGCCTGAAAACCCGGCCTGGTTCAAAGATCTCAGCAGACTTCTCGCATAGATAGGCCCCAATCTGCAGTACAACTCCCCAACACCTACCATGTCTTCATCCACCAGTGAGAAGCAACAGATGCCAGCGCCCACACCACACCAGACGATGCGAGGCCATACCTACCGGGTAACAGGTGTTGTCCATCTGCGCAGCGAACGACGGATAATCACATGTTCTGATGACGGCTCACTCCGACTATGGGACCTAGAGAGCGGTGCGCAGATAGGGGAGGACTGGCGAGATGAGGATGTCCAAGAAATGTTGTCCATGGCATTGTCTCCAAACGGCAAGACAGTTGCAAGTGGAAGCAGGGACAGGACAGTGAGGTTGTGGAACGTTGAGACGAGAAAGGTCATCGCCAAATGGACGGGGCACACCAGAGTTGTGTGTACATTGTGCTGGAGTTCAGATGGCAAGCGAGTAGCGAGTGGATCCTGGGATGGGACAGCAAGAATCTGGGATGTCAAGAGCGATAAAACTGTCCTGACAATCAAAACCGGGCACAGGTGGGTGTACGCGGTGATGTACTCGCCCGACAACAAAAAAATCGCGACAGGCGGAGACGAGGAGAATGGAGTAAAAATCTGGGATAGCAAGACGGGCAAGCTCATCACCACACTCCAACACAATTACATAGTGTACAGCTTGGCATGGACGTCGGACGGAAAGAAGCTTATCTCCAGTTCATATGACCTGATTAGGATATTCGACACAGCCACTTGGGAGCAGGTTGCCATTCTTGACGGTCACTTAAACATTGACGTCATCTCCTTGTCTCAGAACAACCGCATCCTTGCGAGTGCATCTAGGAATAAAACAGCGCGTCTATGGAATCTAGACACGAATCTCCCGATCGGAGAACCCCTACAGCATGAAGATTATGTAGAGTCCGCCGCCCTTTCTGCTGATGGAAAAACGCTAGTCACTGGTTGCAGAAACGGAAATGTGTACACATGGGACATCCACGCCGTCAAAAAAGCTGGCCTTCAAGACCTACTGTCCACTGGTACCGATATTGTGAGTGTCAACACCTCACCCACGCTCTCTCCCAAGCACTGACAATGTCTGCTGCTAGGCGCCAAAAAACAGACTTGAACAGCAAGCATCTCAAAGCAATTCAGGAATAGAGCGAACCCCCCGCTCTTCGCTCAGCGGCAAGTCATTTTTGGAAGTATGTTGACCGTTTGTGAACCTTCTCAGTGGTTATAACACTAATGTTGCAGGCTGATGCTACGCGATGTCACAACGAGTTCGGGGGTCATGACGATGAACTCCCACCTAGGTTTTTTGACAACATGGAAGCCGAAGTTCATGTTCGTCATCGGCATTTCTATTACTTACATCCTGTCCTCATCTTTGTGCTCTTAGTCCTCTGAAACAGGTGCCCACCCTCATTCCTCTGCAAGTACACTCCTCGCTCGCCTTTCCTCGCTCCTCCACCGCTTTCGAGATGCTGAAACGACCGAACACCCACAACCCTCAACGCCTTCGGGTTTACACCTACAGATGCTCTTCGCTCGCCTGTCCTCACTCGTTCACCGTTCGCGACTTGAAAATGATGCAGCAAGCGAACTTCAGCAACCCTCTACACCTTCGCGGTCAGATACACATGCACTCTTCGCTCGACTGTCCTCATTCCTTCCTCGCTCTCGACTCCACACCGAAGAAGAAACCGAACCTCATCCCACAACACATTCGGGTTCACGTCCAGATGGACTCATCAGTCATCTGTCCTCACTCTTCCGCTCTCAAGCTCACACCAACGAAGACATCGAACTCCCGCAACGCCCATGGCGTCCTCGTGTCGTCGATGTGGCTCCAATGCGGGACAGGGAGGTATGTCTTTCTCTGGTGCTTCAATTTACAGTGTTTAATGGCCTCATGCAGGTATTGTTCGTTGCTCAGCGGTCCCCACCAGATCGTCCAAACACTCAGTCTAATAGTAATTCCATACCAGGTGCAAGACCTACGTATTCACTTCCCGTCCGAATGTTAGCCCATCTCGTGCTTTTTCTCTGCTGTGCGTCTCCTCAACACGACGGAAATGCACAACCAACACAACATCAGCAGCAAGGTCAATTGCATACCCAGGCGCCGTCACTGCAGACTCAGCCAGCTGCCGCCTCGACGTCGACGACACCTACCGCTCCTGATACTCATACTACCGCGCCAGGTGCAACAATCGCGCAGCCACAGCCCTTTCCATTGCGGACTCGTTTCGTTCTTTTTCTGTGTTGTGCAACTCCCCCGCATGTAGATGGGAATTGACGCTGCAGCATCTGGAGACCTATTTCATCTTTGGATCCGATTCTCCTGTCATGAATATTATTTTCTCTTGGCCCGCGTTGAGACTGCATATTTGAATGCTACAACCTCCTCAATCTCAGGTTGGTTTCAACACTGGCATGACGCCTCGATTCTAATTTCAACCACGCTGAAAACACGTCCTGGCTGCAAATTGTGGTGTTCCGAATTCCGAATTCCGAGCACCAGTCATCCTTCATTCGTTGGGTACCCGATAGCAAGTATGTACATCTTGGACTAGATCTTTCCCTCGCCCTACTGCACATACGCACCCTGAACGTCATTTCCTGCAGACTAAATAGTTTCAACACGCTATTCTGATCTCGCGGCGATTTCCCGCCGTATAATTTGCCTCGAATGCATGAGCACTGACATGATGTCAGTGTCAGGCATGCAACCTTTGCGTGGTGTACAACCAAGACGTCTCGGCCCGCTGTATGTGCTGCGACTGGCTGTTTTGTTCCTCCGCTGAAGAAGCGTAGGTTGCGGACGACGCGGTACTGAAGAATCAAAGAATCAAAGTTTGTTGCTTTCAGTCGAGACTAAATGAGCGAACGAAATGGTATCCTCAGTCTCTGAGTTATTAATACGCCACAAGCGCTCGGTGCTGACTGTGTTGCTGGGTCTCATTGGTTCTCTAGAGCGCTTTATTTATACAGCAATTTTGTAAACAGCAATAAAGCTGTGAATCGAACACGAGGTTGACGCACAGGACGCACCTAAATGAGAAAAGACGGCTTGAACGGACGAGCGCAGAACTTCCTCTTCTCCCATCGAGACATCCATTGATCACTGGGGTGATTTGAGCACTGTGTTCGTCTGAACGCTGCTTCTCGTGAGTGGCACTGTAAACTGTTCTGCAGGTCAAAGCTGACAACTCGCCTACCAGCGGCTTGGAATACCCATCAAGATCCCTAGCACATTCTCGAATAACGGCACAGCAAGTACGCATACACAGTCCAGAAGCTATCTTCTAGGTGAGGACTGAATTCCTGTAAGTATGTTGCCTCGTGAATAATGGCTCGTGTGCTCTAACAAGCGTTGCAGTGAAATAAGATAAGCCCCTGTACTTACCAGCATCTATTGCCGCCTGAAAACCCGGCCTGGTTCAAAGATCTCAGCAGACTTCTCGCATAGATAGGCCCCAATCCGCAGTACAGCTCCCCGGCACCGACCATGTCTTCATCCACCAGTAAGAAGCAAAAGATGCCAGCGCCAACACCACACCAGACGATGCGAGGCCATACCGACTTGGTAACAGGTATTGTGCATCTGGCCAGCGGACGACGGATAATCACATGTTCGTTGGACGGCTCACTCCGACTATGGGACCTAGAGAGTGGTGCACAGATAGGTGAGGACTGGCGAGATGAAAATAACGAACAAATGTGGTCCATGGCATTGTCTCCAAACGGCGAGACAGTTGCAAGCGGAAGCAGCGATGGGACGATGACATTGTGGAACGTCGAGACGAGCAAGGTCATCGCTAAATGGACGGGTCACACCGAAGTTGTGTGTGCATTTTCCTGGAGTGCAGATAGTAAGAAAGTTGCGAGCGGATCCCATGATGGGACGGTAAGAGTCTGGGATGTCAAGAGCAGTGAAAATGTCTTGACACTCAAAACCGGACACGATTGGGTGCGGGCGGTGATGTACTCGCCTGATAACGAAAAAATAGCGACAGGCGGAGACGAAGAGAATGGAGTCAAAATCTGGGATAGCAAGACGGGCAAGCTCATCACCAAACTCGAACAAGATTCCACAATTTTCAGCTTGGCCTGGACGTCGGACGGAAAGAAGCTCATCTTCAGTTCATTTGACCCGATTAGGATATTCGATACAGCCACTTGGCAGCAGATTGCTGTTCTTGAGGGTAACACACTCTATCTCGACATCATCTCCTTGTCTTCCGACAACCGCATCCTTACATGTGCATCAAATGGTAAAACAGCGGGTCTATGGAATCTCGACACAAATCTCCCGATCGGACCACCCCTCCAGCATGAACATGATTTGAAGTCCGCAGCCCTTTCCGCTGATGGAAAAACGCTAGTCACTGGTTGCAACAATGGAAATATGTACACATGGGACATTCACGCCATCATCAAACAAGCTGGGCTTGAAGACCTTCTCCTGCCTATTCCTCATGTAAATTACATGGCTCTTTGGTACCAACTATACTAATCTCCCACTTGCAGGTTCCAACTCCAAAATCGTTGATGACCGTACGTGACGTGTTTCTTTAGCTTTTTCAATGATTTTAAAGATATTTTAGCGAGATGCTACGCGACGTCCAGCTATTCATGCCCGTCAAATACCGCCAGGATTTTTTGATGGCGCCCAGGTGAGTTATCTGCTTTTGTTGACCAGTTCTTATTCTGATCTTTGTACTTTCAGTCCTCCGCAGCACACGGTACCCATCACCATTCCTCCACACACGACTCACATCTCAAACGCTTTTCATCGTTCTTCCGCCACTCTCGCTCCAAGACCGATGGAGCAACCGAACTCCAACAACGCCCAAGACGAACCATCTTCTCTCGTCGTGGCCCTCGTGTTGTCGATGTTCCTACAGTACAGGACAGAAAGGTATGTATTCGTTCGCGTGCGTTTCCCGTCGCTGTTGTTCAATGACCTATCTGCAGGCACTGGCTATTGCTCCACAACAGCGGCCGCGGCCGCAGCAGCAAAGCCAATTGCATGGCCAAACCCAGGCGTCGTCACCACATACCCAGCCTACGACAACCTCGACCCCCACGACACCTCCTGCTCCAGGTACTGATACTACCACAGCTGGTGCAGCACCCGCGCAGTCCCCACCCATCCCATGGTGGGCTCGTCTCGTACTTTTCCTTTGTTGTGCATCTCCCCCACATGCAAATGGGCATTGATACAGCGGCATGTGGGTAACACTTTGATTTTCGTTGCTGTCTTTATATCTTTTGCTACTCTATCAAGCTCGTTTCTTCGTTATGACACTCATGCAATGCATCGAATTGATAACGCTAACCGAAACATTATACTCAAAGAGAATGAAAGCCCAGGACAAAGCCAAGCTCCTCCGTTCATCCACGGACAGTACTGAATATTCAGGCGTCGCCGAGCTCGCCTGAACATAGCACTAAACATTAGGGATTTTGACCAATCCATAACGCACTTCGAACGCGCGTCTGATCTGTGCCCCATGAATCATCCCTGCCGCCCTGCAGCACTATTCAATCGAGCTGCGGCAAGTTTGTCAGTTGCCAAGTAAATGGGACATACCTCGACCTAGACATCCCCATCTCTCTTTTTCAGGACGCCTTTGACTTGCGTCCGACTGAATACTCAGCTCCATATTTCCATTGCCCTGCTGTCTCGTTTCGCGAAACGGGCATTTCAAACGGATGCTGATGCGGCACAAGAGTTATTGAGCGAAGTCCTCTATATTTGTCACTCCAACAGCCAAATTTACAGGGTAGCTCTTGCAATCGACATATTTGCTCTGCATTGAGCTGAGGCATTGATGTACGCGATCTTGGGCAAATGCAGCCCACTGCATCTATGCTTGCGTTGTCCCCAAATCAACTCGCTCATCGTGCACAGCGCTGCACACAAGTACTGGTCACATCTTCTGTACTCCGAAATCAACCAAATGAATCCCATTCCGAAAACGATATCATGTAAAACTACATACTTAGGGAGAAGGCGTGCGCTCTCAGCATCTGACCAAGAAAATAAATAAGGAGCAAGCATTAACGGTTCAACCACCAAAAGTCAACAAAGAATCCAGATCATGCGCTCCATATTGTAAGCTTCAGCTATAGGGAAGAAAATGAACTCAACGATCCGTTCAAAAACCGAGCGAGACAATCTGACCTACGTTTAGAATCCCAGCACCAGTTACCTACCCACACGTTCCTTAACATCTTCCAAAAGCTCTGCCTCGTCAATCGCCTTTGAGGAACGCGAGTTATTCCATATCGCAAGCATGGCATCCTTGCAAACGATATAGACCTTCTGAGGAGCAAGGTTCTTGTTCTCAACGTGCATTCGCACATTCTGACGCGTTTCGTCGATAAACCTCGTCCGTTCTTCGGATTTGATTTGCAGAAATTGACAACGTGTCTCGTCGTCGACGTCAGGATCACAAGGGTCAAACCCTCCTGACATCCGGTCACACGCCATGTTATTGATGTGCTGGTCTGATTTGGAGCGAACGATGAACACCTCAACGTTGGTGAATTGCTCGCAGGCGCGGATGATGGCGAGGTCGGATTCCAAGACACGATTATCAATGAGCACGATGATGCAGTCGAAGATGTATAGGCCCAAGGCATTGAAGTATTGCCAATCAGGAACATTGGGAGTGCCTGCTCCTGGCACGTCATACCAAATGATCCGGGAGTCTGGGCGTGGATCGGGGTATCTGGTGACCTGAGGAGTACAGTCAACAATCCCTGCACGAGCGGCGATGGGATGATTGTTGGACAGGCCACGGACGGCATTGATAAAGGATGACTTCCCAACTCCAGATGAGCCAACAACCGCGATGTGGAGAAAGCTTGGGCTGTAAAAATACTTGGTCTTCATGTGCACAATATCCTCCTCTGATGGGTGGTACTCGGGGCGAACTCCTTCAAGCAACTGACGCTTAGTCACAAGCCTCGCTTCCGCTGCTATGCGAAGAGCATCTGCAGCCCCAGCTGCCGCCCGTTCACGACGTCTCCCTGCGTTGTCCGCTTCTGTCTCAGCAGCACGCCTGACTCTTTCTACATTTTCCTCGGCAGCACGTCTGGCTCTTTTGTTTTCAGCTGCTTCCTCAGCAGCGCACCTGGCTCTTTCTGCCTCATACTTTGCAGCACAGGTGACTCTGTTAGCTTCCTCTGCTTTCTGTTGTTGATATCTTCCAGAAACAACGACCATAGCAGCCACCATGAAAGGGACAAAAAACATGCAGCACTAACAAAAGGGGGGAAACTTTATGCTGAGTAAGGGCTGTGTTACAACGTGTTTTCTGTGCACGTCCGATACGACCTAGACAATTAATCGACTGTGGACTGCAGATTTTCAAGCTTTGCTAACCTCAATGAACGGTAGTGCTGTCTGTTAATGCAACGTCCAGGTGATGAGAACTCAGCAGGAAAAACGAGAACGATGATTCGGACACTACGTGGTGAGCGGGGTGTGTGTATGACTTATGGGACCTAGACCAATATTAACCAACTGTGGACGACTGCGAAGCTTCGAGCTTTTCTCACCTGAATGGATTGCGATACAGTGAATGCGACGTCTCGAGAACTCTGAAGGGAAGGTAAGAGACAACGATGAGGACACAAGGTAGCACGCGTGGTGCATGGCTGGTATACTTATCCAGACAAACACGAGGCCAGTAAGAATCAGACTTAATACCGGCAGGTTCCATGTTATTGGGAAGCTGCATTGTTATTACATAGCATCTGATGAGTGCTACGCCGGGCACACGTGGAGAGCAGGATGTGATATGCGCTTGCTGACAGGAAGCCATAGATGAGTGATGAGTGATGGTGGTCAGACACGCGACCAATGATAGGTCCCATAAGAGCGCCAGCAGCCATGAGTGCAGAAACCAACGTGTTTGTCGTATGCTCGAGAGTGCGCAGGGTGTCGGTGGGTATTTTGGGTTTTATGTTGGTACCGGCGTTTGGAGGCTCTACGACGTTGTGGTTTTGTCTGAAGTATACATTCAGGTGAGGTGTCGGGTCATCCCAAGGGATGGTGAAGAACAGGGAGTTCCAGCAGACCAAGGAGGAGGGCTCCCACTGAACGAGTGAGTCAAGGCTGCTGAGCAGAGGTTAGGGGAAGACGTGAATTATGAGTTTATATCTTCCCATCTAGTCATTCATCGTTCCGTTTCAGACATGATCAGGCGTAGCGAGGACATGGACCTACTTTTCTCGATCATGTCAGTTGCGCGAGTGAGAATATCGTGATCCATTGACAACTGTTCGTCAGGGTCAACTTACGAAAAGGTGTTGGTTCATGAACAAGTTACGATTGTACTTCAAAGACTCACGGGACTCTCACTACCTGGACACTTAACAGTCAAACTGCTTTCCAGGAGAGACGGAAAGCCTTATGTGGCATATCGTAGCGTTGTGGTTGTAGGCGAAAGCAGAGGTTGCGAGAATCTGAGGGAGAGAACTGGTGAAGGGTCTAGGATTTGTTTTGACGATGAAGTTTACCCCCCTAGTCCATAAACGGGCACTTTGGCTAGGCCTACAGTTGGGTTGATTCCTGGACCCACCATACCCGTCATCGCGTCTGTGATAACATTGATGAAATTAGTGGTGAAAATGAACAGGCGATAAGAAGGATATATTACATACGGCCCAGCGTCAAAAGTTCGTCTCATGATGGTACAGCTTTGAGTCTCGAGGTTGGGGGAAAGTGACTTGATGTCAGAGTGTGCTGTACAGAGGGAGGCGGGTGTCAACGTTCCCATCCGCTGAGTCTGCTGGATAAATATATGGGCTGGCTGACTTGACCTCGATGAGTTACTCACCTTTATAATTGTCCGAGCGAACACAACTTAAAACGTTTGAACGACCACAAAATGGCGCGATATTGCATCTCTGATAGAATCACCGTTCTTTCTCGGTCGTTGAGTACTCCCAGAAACCAGCAGGGGACACAGTGTGATATTCAACAAGTCCGTTTGCACCTAGTGCACGTGGGCTGATATGAGAGAACTGGGTGGGACGGCATGTAGTTCGCTACACACACTGTACAATGCAACATGTAATCGCAATATTTATATTTACACAAGGTTGGTGAGGACGAGAAACGAGAGAACCGCGGGTATGGTGCGTGGAAAGATAGACAAGAACATGTGGCATGGGGACATAAACGAGTCCCTAGCAAAAGCAATCGAGCGGTGGATGAGATCAAAGAGGAGGAGCTAGCACGATAGACGGTACTTCATTGAGTGGGTTCAGGTGCACTAGAGTGTGTCACAGAGGGCGTCCTCGTCAAGGATCACTTCGACGGCCGATTTGCAATGGGGTTAAGACTACAATCGAGTTCCAAAATTCTGTGTTGAACACATGAAAAACGCGAGTCTATCCGATATATAACAGACTAATGAAGACTCAAGTACTCACGAATCATGGCCTCAAGGCAAAGATATGCATATGAGGAGTTACAAGCGATTCGTGCGCGTGAGGATCGGAGAAGTCTAGGAAATTTGCACTTTCCCACGATATTTGACTGCGAAGGACAATTGCAACATTCCGCAGGCCAACGCGGCCATGTACAGTACAACACATCCTCATTTTTTGCCACCGTCGGAGTCTCCCACTAGCTAGTTCAGGATCATACGCTGGCTCGTTCAACGGTAGACAAGCTGCCCAGGTTTTGTCAAGACTTGATCTACTACTAATTGTTGCTTCTGACTCTTGAAATTCAAGGTCGCATTCACGCTCGAATTCATTGCTCATTGCAACGTCTTCCGCATTCGAATCCGATTCATACTCTCGCAAACCGTTCTTGGTGTTTCCATCATGCTCTCGATCATCCTTCCCCCATGGCACTGCAGTCAGCTCAACCGTATACTCACATATAATCATTCGGTTTGCATTACCTTATGAAATAAACTCGATTCTAGTTTTGCCTTAGTGTGCTAAATGAGTCATACCACTCAGTTCAGGTAGAAAACTCATCCCAGGACGCTCAGAGTCTCGCATGACCTTGGCATGCCAATTTCGCTGATGTGTCTGACCTTGGCACTGCCCACTTCTCTAGCACAAGTTCTCCCATGAATTCTACTTGGTCATCGTTTGGTCTTAGCGCTTAGTTTCATCATCCCAGCGTCTATCATGCTGAACAGCCACAACGTGGAAATACATCATGTATAGCACGACCTGAACCTCAATCGCTTGGTCTAATCATACCAGCGTCTATCGTGAAGACCAGTCCTCAACAACCTGGAAATCCACGAGTAGCCATCGCCTAAACCCTCAACCTCTTCTCCACTCTCTCAGCCGAACTCCATCCACGGTCCCCATATCCCTACCCCCGTCTTCTCCTACCACTCATTCCACCCAGCACCAAGCCTATCTTCGATTCTTATCGTTTTGCTTCATCGTACCATCATGCCCAGTAGCGCAGGAATCCAATCTATCAGGCTTGAAAGTAGGTCACTCCTTCGTATCTCTTTTGTGATCCTTACGCTCTATCTACAGTCATCGGTGGAAACAATCTTCAAGTCCCCTCCTGGCGTCAATCCGCTGGCATTTACATATCCATCAATGTCGACTCGAGGAGACACTGGAAATCAGCTATCAGTGTCTTATCATCTGATGAATCTGTAGCGTGGGGAGATACCGTGACCCTGTAAAGTCAATAGAAACTTTCAGACGTCATTCAAGGCTGATCTTCTGTTTATAGACCACAGACATCACCTGCATTATCAGTGGAGATCTGGGCGTCCTTTGAGCTCGATCGAATGCTGGGAAATGGTGAAATCATCGCAAAACTTCAAATATCGTGGAATGAGCTACTCGATAATGGAGATGAGCCATTCAGTGAGTAATCTGTTTCTCATTCATACGTGTCTACTCACATCCAGTAAAACTGTCCTTCACAGCTGTTCGTGGTGTCATGCCTTCGCTCACGCTAAAGGCTGCTGTTATAAACACTTGTGATATTCAGGACGGTACACTGTTTGATGTGAGTGACACTGACCTCTGCTATTAGCTTTTGCTAATGGAATGTCAAATGTAGTCCATCGTAGACTGCGAGATTGCTCAAGCCACAGATGCGGGTCATGCACGATATGCCGAATACAGGACCAGCAAGATGGTCTCCTACCTGAACGATGCTATAGAGCGTTTTCAGTTGGTTCTGGCCCGCTGTCCGGTCGACCATCCTGACCACGCAGCGGCGCTCACCAACCTCGCGTAGGCCCGCCTTGAAGGCTATATTCGAAATGATCTCCAAGACATCGACACCACCATCTCGCTCTTCTGCGAAGCCCGCGCCGTCCATATTCATGAATCTCTGCAACTGTGCTGCAAGCTACTGCTCATCTGTCCAGAGGGCACCTACCTTCGTAGCCTTGGCGCAGACAGTGAGGTCAATTATGCGATAGGCGAATGCAATGATCTTCCTGTTGATGTATCTGATGAAGGCATCCGCCTTCAACGAGTCGTGCTCGAGCTCTGTCCCCTGGGCCAGAAATACCGTCCAAAAACACTTCACAAACTTTCAAAGTTACTCATCACACGCTTCAGACAATGGGGCAGCATCGATGATATAGACGAGAGCATACGACTTCGTCGCGAAGCCGTTTTTCTGTGCCCTAAGGGACATTCTGACTGTGGTACCTACTTGAACGACTTGGCCTCTTCACTGGAGTCCCGCTTCAATCACCAAGGAAAATCTCATGATCTCGACGAGGTCATCTCCTTACATGAAGAAGCACTGCTCCTGCGCCCTGTTTGGCACAGAAAACGTGATTTCTCAGTGGGAAACCTAGGGGGTGCCCTCCGCACCCGTTTCAACAAACGCGGTGACATCAAAGACATCGCCCGAGCTATCAGCCTCTATCGCGAGGCACTGATATTGCACCCACCTGGGCATCCACGTCGCGACACCATGCTTAACAACCTTGCCCTCGCGCTCACCACCAGATATGGCAAAATGCGTGTCATTGAGGATCTTAATGAGGCCATTGACCTATATCGCGAATCCCTTCGGTTAACGCAGCTTGACGATCCACAGCGCTATGCGACTCTTGGAAATTTGAGCTCGGCGCTCGGCTCTCGTTTTACGCGAACTCAGAAGCATGAAGATGTCGAGGAGGCCATTCGACTCTGCCAAGAGTCATTGGTGGCATTGCCTTCACTGCACCCAGATAGATGTCTCATCTACTGGTGGTTGCAGGTAGCCTATCTATCTCGTTACCAGATGGAGCACAACCCCGGTGATTTGTCACTTGCTGTGAATAACTTCAGACTGGCATCAGGACACCCTACTCAAGGCTTTCCGCGTCGAATTAAAACAACCTTGAACTGGGTTCATGAAACTAAAAGTCATCAACACGAATCTGCCCTCGAAGCATACAAAGTATGCTTGGAACTTTTCGACAACCACGTGATGACGCGATCGTCGATCATCTCACGGCGCGAGGCTGCAACAGATTTTGCTGGTGCACAGTCACTGCCAGTAGATGCAGCATAATGTGCTGTTCGTGCCAATGATCTGAAACGAGCGGTCGAACTTGTGGAGCAGGGTCGCGGCCAGCAATGGTCGCTGGCCTCCCGGCTCAGGACTCCGCTAGAAGAGCTGAAATCTGCGAGTCTGCAACTAGCTCAAACACTCGCGGACCTCAGAACACACCTTTCGGACGCTCAGAGTTCCACCGGCAGCACTGACAGAGCTGCTGCTGATCGGGCAGCAACCGACTATAGGAGACTTACAAGGCAATGGGAGGCTGCGGTAGCTGAGATACGCAATATTCGAGGTTTCTCGCGGTTCCTGCTCTCGTCGTCATATACAGAGTTGCAAGCGGCAGCGCGCCACGGCCCGGTCATTATCCTCATCGCAAGTAGATAGTTATGCAGCGCCATTGTTGTCCCGATGTCAGGAGAGCCCCACCATGTTCACTTCCCGCGCATCACTCTTGCAGATCTGAAGAAGCTCAAGAATGACTTTGCCAAGGAGATACGACAAGCATCTTTTATGCACGCAAAGGAGCCGAGGAAGGATTTGCGAGTCCTCTTGCGGACAGTATGGGACCACATCATGCTACCCATTGTAAATGTCCTCCAGCGTGATCTCAAATTACAGCGCCGCTCTCGTATCTGGCTGTGTCCAACTGCGGCCTTCACTTCCATTCCTCTCCATGCAGCTCACCCCTTTCGAACGAAGGCAGATTACTCTGGGAAGGAGCCGTGCTTGGAGGATCTTTACATCTGCTCTTACACTCCAACACCTTCGGCTTTAATCAGAGCTAGACAGATGATGAAGACGCGTGTCACTCAATCCTTCGCAGCGATCGGACAAAGTAAACCGGGCGTAGGGCAAGGCATGGTTCTCGCCACTGTCGACAGCGAGCTTGAGCTCGTCCATACACTCGTTCCTCCCGAGATCGAATTCACTAGCCTTTCGGGAGACGAGGCTACACAAGCAGGCTCACTCAATGCTTTGCAATGCAATAATTGGGTGCACCTCGCTTGTCATGGCAAGCAAGACCGAAAGCAGCCCTACAATTCACGTTTCGCAATGAAAGACAAACCCCTCACACTGCTCGACATCATGGAGAAAGATATTCCGCACGCCGAGTTCGCGTTCTTATCGGCGTGCCATACCGCCGCTGGCGATGAGAAGACGCCTGATGAAGTCATACATCTCGCAGCTGGCCTTCATTTTTCAGGTTTTAAGAGCGTCATTGGTACACTGTGGGCAGTCGATGACGCTGTCGCAAAACACGTTGTCGAAGCTTTCTATGAGAAAATGTTCGAGGGTTCGAAGGACGGCGGTATCATGGACTGTACGAAGGCAGCCCAGGTACTCAACCATGCTACAGACGCCGTGAAGATGAAGGTGCCGCTCGAGCAGAGAATCGTTTTTATTCATATTGGTGTGTAGTTCTATTATGTCATATTATTTCCTCTGGTATGGTTTCACGGGTATATTGTGTTCTCTTTCGTCTACGTTGTACTTCGAGTTGTAGGAATTACTGAATCACTAGGGTACGGACGAAAAGTGGGTTGTTGATAACATTGCTAAGAAAGGTACGTTAATAACTGTTACTGAGTGTAATCATGAAAAAGCGTAATGAAGACCGAAAGGAAAAGCTAAGTCGACGAAGTGCGCGATGAGGATGGTCGACGCAGCAGAAGAACACATCAGGAA